ACAGATTCTAATAATATATCTTGAACATAGTTTCGTTGGTGAGTCGTATAAGGTAAATAGAAGCCTAAATACCGGAGAGGGGAAGGATAGAACTTAGTATAGAAAACAGAGATATTATGCGACTGTAATAAGGATGTCCAAGACATGGATTTATCCCCTGATAGAGAAAAGGCTTCCGTCTTGTGTTGGTTGAACTGAGCGTTAGAAACTTCTGCGTAGCGTCGAAGGTGCTGATTTAACAGTTGAAAATCATTCGCATCTTTAACAAATGCGCAGATGTCGTCTGCATAAGCGAGACATTTGATTCGCTGTGGTGATCCTTGAACATACGAGTAATAACCCTGAAATGATTGATCCTGTTGGATAGATAGAAGCAGTGGTTCAAGTACGAGGCTAAAAAGGAGAGGGGATAATGGATCCCCTTGTCTTAGTCCCCGGGTCTGGGCAATATCATCGGTGAAAAACCCGTTGGTGTTGATTTGAACAGCATTGCCAAAGAAAAGTTGTTGAACGCAAGTAATTAATGTGGCAGGGAAACCGAAGCGCTTCATGACTTGTTCCAAGTAGCTGGGGTGAACACGATCATAGGCCTTTTCTTGATCTAACAAGAGGCCTATTCCTTCTGATTTGAACTGTCGCGCTTGTTGTAAAATTAGATGTACTATCAATCCATTCTCACCTATGAAACGGTTTTGAAGAAAACCTTTCTGATATGGGTTGATTATTCTAGTCATAATGGGAGCCAAGCGTTGTGTGAGGAGGCGTGTAAAGATTTTCCCGTCGCAATTAATCAAAGAAATGGGACGCCAGTTCTTCAAAGACGTTAAGTCACCTTTCTTGGGCAAAAGGCGGACCCGTATATCTTTCCATGAGATAGGAAAGATCCCATCACTTAAAGCATAATTGTATACCTTGACGATAATTGACTGAAGAAAAGGAAGGCTGAATAAAAATGCTAAGTAGGGATATCCTAGTCCGTCATTTCCAGGGCTACTCTGGGTAGGAGACCGCTTGGCCAACTGGCGTAAGTCATCGATTGTAATAGACGTTATTAAGTTCTCAGATTCGAATGATTCTACTTTAGTTGGGAAGTGGATGCTATCTAAATACGCCCGAATAGATTCAGGTGCAACTGGCTGGGCGGTGTACAATCTTTGATAAAATTCTTTGACAAGCTGTTGCATACCCTGTTGATCTATGATCACGTCATTAGCTTCATTGGTTGCGTCTCGGCGGATGCCGGCCATGTATTGTTGTGTGCTTCGTTGTTGATGTAATCTTTTCAGGTATGAGGCTGATTTTTCGCCCTGTTCCCTCCATCGAACGCCGGATTTTAAAGCTGCTATATCTGTGAGCTCCTGTTGTAGTTTATAAATTTTGCCCATCAGTGAAGGTAATTTTTCTGCAAGAACGGACGCAGGTGGTTTGGACCGTAACAGGCGGTTGCGTTGTTTTTCAAGTTGAGTCAGAGTTTTTTGTCGCCAACAGGAGATTTTCCTTCCATACGTTTTGGCTGTTTCTTTTGTAATTTGCTTTATTTGTTCCCACTGGTCTTGAGGCGTAATTCGTGAATCAAACGATTCCACGAGACGCTCTAATCGATGGGTGAGATGTTGTTTGAATTTATCTTGTCTTAATAAGAATGGGTTCGCCCGAAGCATTCCAGGACCTAGTTTGGATTTGCCTACCCGTAACTGGATGGACAAAATCGAATGGTCAGACCATCGAGGGTCAATTCTTATATTAGCGTTGTCGTAAATACCGTGTCTAAGGCTTTCGCCCAGATAGATATAATCAATGACGGATGTGACGAGCGATGTCGGTCCGTGTTGCCGTTGAAAAGTGGGTATGCTGTCCATATTGTTAAGTATCATACTATTGAAAAAGGATTCGGTAAGCAGTGCTTCCCAAATGTTAGATGTGGCAGAGGTTAAGTCATTTTCACGGAGATGCGAATAGTTAAAGTCTCCTGAAATAATTAATCTGTCTAACTGGATGGTTGTATTCAAATTGTGTAGTAATTTAGTCAAGTCAGCAAAGAAAGAACGTCGAGTCGGTGGGGATGAAGCGGGTGCATAGAGATTCAGTATATAAAAAGGTGTAAAAAACTGTTGAGGATGGGTAACTTTACAAAGCTGATATCGATGGGATGAGTACCATGCTGAAGTATCAAATAAAGTCAATTGATAATTTGGTGAGAAAGAGATAATGCCTACATAATCAGTCCAAAAGGCTTGAGTAGGTTGTAATTGTAGTTGTAAGCGATCGATTATGTTTGAGGAGTTGGTATGCGTTTCTTGTAGACAAAGGATATCAAATTTTTGAAGTTTAAGATATCGTAGATAGTTATGGGTTGAAGTTGAGGTTGAGGATGTGATGGTCTTCACCAAGCCGTTGGCGTTCAGTGAAGCGTAGTGACAAGAGATATGTTTTGTCATTATATATATATTGTTTAGGGTAATGTATTATTGATGAGCCTCTTCGGCAGAGGCGTCATCCTGACGTCTATTAATTTCCTTTACTAGCACAGTTAGATCATCATGAAGCCTGCGCAGTGCATTTGCATCTTCGGTTGATAAGTCTTCCACGGCTAACCCGTTGTTCTCCATTTGGTGTTCAAGTTGAGCTTCGTCAAACAATTTACGTTTATATGCGATCATTAATTCATCCAGAGGTATATCTTTCTCTGCGACTAATTGTTCAACTTCCATGTCATCAATATCTTCGTTGGCGTCACTGACGATATCTGTATCTGATTCATCCTGAAGGCTCTCAGCTTCAATTGGTTTACTAGGTGATGCGGTTTCAGTACTGGCTGCATGAATAGATTCGGCGATTACGGGAGCGGGAGTTGTCTTTCTTTTCTTAGCTTGCGGATTAATCGTCTTACGAGGGCATTCAAAAGCCCGATGGCCAAGTTGGTGGCAGTTGTAACAGCGGATTCTTGCTTTAGATTTTTCACATTCAAATTTAGTATGACCAGTTTCATGACAATAGCGGCACCACGTGGGCATGTTGTTCCAAGTACAATAAAAGACTTCATCTGTATTTTGCCACATAACAGTGTGTGCCAATGGTACTATAGTGGAGTCGGTGGGGTTTGTGCTCAGTACAGCGTAACCTGATCCCATGAACAGGCCGGTGGTAGGTTCAGTAACGATGCCTATGTCAACTAAGTTTCCAAACGGTTGAAGGCTTTCTTGTAAACCAGCCAATACTTCGGTGGGAGGCAACATAGGTAAATTCGTGAGAGTGACTTTAGTAATGGTGTTCGTGTCATCGATAGCTTGGCAGGGAAGAATTTGTAGCTTGGCGTTGGGAAACTTGACGCCATTATAAGCGAGATCATTACTGTCCTTCTGGATATATATCTCAAGATATCTGTGACTACCGTCGTTTGCAATGGTGCACCCATATACCTCCGGGTGCTGTTCCTTAACTAATTGCATACATTGAAGTTCGGAGTAGTCTTTGAGAACCGGTGAAATAGATAATAGCAAAGCCCCCATTGTACGTGAGGACCTATAGACACGTGTTTGAAGGCGACTATAAGTCGTGCCTTCATCAATATCAGGAGCTTCGATGCCTTTATGCATCAGCGAAACACGTTTAGACGCTGTGACCACTTGGGCATAGGAGCGTTTAGAGTGATTTTTGGGCTTGGAGGCCGAGTTGGACTCCGCTGACCGAGAAAAGTGTTGGGAGTTGGGAAGAGCCATGTCATTTGGCATTGAGCATTTTGACAGAAAAGGTATGATCTGAAAAATTATACTTTTTATTCAAAATAATTTCTGAACTAATCTGAATTTTGATTGTAAGATAGTCTCAATTTGATAGCCATTTTGTGCGAAAGTAAAGCGAAAAAAAGTAGGAATAATGATCTGCTAAATTGTCAGAATTTTATATCTAGCTGTTTATTAACTTTAATTTTCTGTGTCGCTTGTGCTTCTCTAGCCATACATACTTATATACTTCTTTCAAGATACAGTATTTGCCTATCAATTTTTCCTTTTAGCCAATCAAGGTATTTTAACACAGGCTTTCATAAAAGATTCTTTCGCAGCTTAAAACTCTTAGTTTTGTGGTGCTGAAAAAGGACAGTAAAAAGAGCATTAACAAGCTACAGCTGATAGTTAAGGTATAATTTTCTATTTTTAGTCATTCAAATAGATGCTCCCCGCACTTTAAAGTATAAAAGTGCAAACTTATATTTTTCATCAAATTTAACCCACGAATTTATGCGTATTAGGCCAATGTCTATTCATCACCAGAACGTTCGTGAGGTTTTGAAGTTTTGCCATCCTTCTCTTTTGGTTTGGAAAGTAAATGTTTCTGAAGTTCAGCTTATTTCATAAACCATTGTTGAAGAGCAAAAAACCTTTATTATAAACTATAAGAAAATCTAGTTAATTTTGTTTTTGAGAGCTACACTACTATCCAAAGCTTGTTTTAACATTCAGCATAGGATTAAGGGATTCTGCTTCAGCAACTCTTTATCCGAATCACTAATTTGAGATTCTTGTGTGAGGACGCGTACTCTTTCACCAGGCAAATCCGTCAATAACCAAGCATACGACACATCCAACTTCTCTTTAGCTTTTCCAGCTTGTTTTGCTGTTCAAAAATAACGAGCAACCTCAATTCACTCCCTTCAGCCGAAAGTATTTAGATTGAAGTTTTTGTTTAACTCTCGCATCATTATTGGGAAACATAATATTGAAAGCATTCTTGTAGGATGATTCAGTCTTTTATGTTATTGACGAGATATGATCAACCGTTTTTGACAGAAAGACTTTGTTGAAAACGTAGTTATCGATTTATATGGCAGTGTATTGTTCGGTTATTATTTTTTTTTTTTCTGGTTTTTTGACTTTTCTTTTCAGGAGCTCATCTATCAGAATATATCAGCCTATACAATAATCGATCGTAGAATTTATTGACTTTTTTCAACGATTAGAAAGGTTGTGAAATTTGAGTTCAGGGCTGCTGTATCTTCCAGTCTATCGTCTCAAACGTAAAAAGAATGCATTTTTGCTGTATACACTGTCTGCTGGATAGTATTTGTCGTAAAAGTTAACAATGAATTCTTCAGGTTTAAATCCAAATTTTTGGTACAAAATCTATAATCAATTACACAATGTAAGTTTCATCTTCCAATGATCATCTAGAATCATGTGTAGTATAAACGTACCATAGCATTGTTATTGGCAGACACATGAAGAGTGATATCTTTACTAATGGCTGTCTGAAATAAGTGGTACAGCATGAATCTATTGAGTAAAGACAAAAACCAAGCATAAATCAGTTAAAAATGCTTCGATCAAAGACATGGTTTTCATAAAAAGAACTTTACTGCCCAATATTAGCGTTTCGCCATCCTGAATCAACTGCAAAATAGGTAATATATGCTTCAGGCGTCATAAAAGCACATCCAATGACATGCCGTTTGTATAAAGCCACAATACTAAATTCAGGAAACAACAACGACTCAGACGCATCGATACCTTCCCAAAAAGAGCGGCACAACAGTGAATTCACTTGAACCAAATGCTCCTTTTGAAAATATACATAATCAATACTATCACCCGCGACGAGACCTGAAGGTTCTGCTTCACCCTTCTTCACCGGTTTTCCATTGCAAGCTTTAATTTGACCCAACAATAGCATTCGTTTCGGCTTTGTTTCGAAATCACGTCGTATAAATGGCCGCAATTTTCGACCGTTCCACGATGATAGCCAAGGTTCATCACGAGTGATGGTATGGCGTTGTCTAATGGAACCATAAAGACGTGATGCAAAAGAGGAAGCATAGGGTGTGAAAGAGATCTTATCCAGTAATTGTTGCTGATCATCATGATGGTCTACTTCAGCATGCTGATTGAAGGCGGGCTGAATAACTGTTTTTGTAGATATGGGCTCTAAAATATGATTTTGCATTCGTAACAAAGAAAGCATGTGGTGATCTATATCGAATAATTTGATGCCCACGCTTCGTTTCAAGCGACGAACCGCGAGTTTACGTTTGTATCGACGAGCAGCTGGTGTTAATCTCTTCGTCGAATGTTCGAGTTTTTGCAGCAATAGCCATTCTTCTTTTGACGTGAGGGTTTTATTGCTATTTACATTGACCGAAGGCTGGGCAGATTGGTTATCACGTAGTGTGGGTTTTAAGGTATCAGTGTTAACTGCTGGTATCTGGTTTTTTTTAGATTCTTGAGGGGTATCGATGGGCGAAGAGGCTGCTGGTGAGGATGTCTGCATGTCAGACAGAGTTTCGCGTGACTCGTCGACAGTTGTAATTTTGTTTGTACTTTCGAGATTAGGAACCACAGTTGACGTGGACGCTATGCGTGAACCCTTCTTTAAAGACGCTTTCGCTGTATCAGACGCCTGTTGCTCTTTCGAGGCTGGTGCTGCTTGCCTTGTTATTTGCACATCCACTATTTTTGACTCAGCATCATTTGGTTTTGAAGGCTTTTGCTTTTCTACAATTTCTTTTGAGGTATCCTCGTCGGATAGAAGCTCATCAGCAGAGGATAGTTCCGATAAAGAACTCATATCGAATGCATCCAAATCATCATCCTCTGTATCGTTGCTGTACTTTTTATGTCTCTTTACACTTCGTGTCTTTATTGCTTTGCCATCTTCCTTTGCTTCTTTTGTTGCTGGCGCAGGTGACGGCCTCGATCTTTTCAAAGACTTTCTCACTATGGGTTTCCGGGTTCCTACCATTTTTGACTTCTTTTCACCTGTTGGAGGGGCTATTTCATGCAAGGTCCACCAAGCTTTTGGTTGAAGAAATACCAATCAGTTTCATGGTTTTGTATACTCAGGATGAAGAAAATATGCTACAGTGACATACCACTCTGGTGAAATTTCTCAATACCAGACAGAAAGATAGTACTATGAGTTGATAAAACGCTAGCAATTGTATTATTCCAAGTGATCGATCTTTGCTTTCCAGGTGTGAAATATTCCCAGTAATCATCAATAAATGCACAAACATCATCTTTCCACCTGAAATAAAAATGCTCCCTTCTGTCCTTCTTAGGTTTTCTCTCATTGTCGATCTGTGCATTTTTTATCAAGTTATAAATAGTAAGGTGAACAATGGTGACCCAACTCATTGCTTTTCTTTCAAACGTTTCTTCTCCTCCATTACAGACAGAACAACAAAAAGTGCCAAATATGTCTCCAAATAACAAAGGTTTGACCATACAAGTCAAACAATCTTAACCGAAAAAAAAGAAACATATCAGTTTCGATGCACAAATCGATTCCAATGGTGCTGCGTTCAGTTAATTACCGCGATGAAAAAACTGTTTACAACTATCACAGCGGATCATGGGCTGATCGCTACAAATAGAAATTCGGAATTAGTTGCTAATCGTTATGAGTATAAGGTGTTGTTGTAAAAAACGCTTTTACTCCTTCTTGTCTTTTCCACAATAGCAGTATTTGCCTTCAAGGTTTGTATTGTGTTCTTTGTCCCAATTCAAACCTTGCAGCTATTTGTCAAGAATGTTAGTTTTGAGAATCTTCTTTGATCAGCTTAGTTTATTGTGAAAAATTACATTGTATGGAAATTTTTTCTTCATTCTAGATAATGAAAGAAGTTATAAAAAAGCAAAAATGGGTGAAGCAAGCAAGGTGGAATAAAAGCAATAAATAAAAAAGAAAATGGAGGTAAGAAGCCGATTGAATTAAGAGAAAGTGTAATAAGTATTGAAGTATTCTAGCAAATTTTTTTTGTTTTTTTTTTTTTTAAGAAAAAAAAAACGAAGGGCTAATATTCTCGCTGATATTGTTGCTGTTGCTGTTGCAACTGTTGCTGTCGTTGAATAGTCGCAGGCAAGTGCGGAAGGGCTGGTGTTCTAGTTGACAGAGTTAAAGCGTTTTGTTGATAAGATGATGAGGAGGGCGCCGCCGAAGAAGATATAGGCGGTAAAGAGGATAAGGATGAAGAGGGTGAATAGTTTGAATAAGAATAGAGTAAGTGATTGTTTGATGATTGATGGTGACTAGTATTCGGTGTATTGAAAGCAACTTTAGCGTGAGAAGATGGAGCAGATGGTGTGCTTGTTGGTATAGACGATGGGTAAGGTTGTTGTGTTGGTTGTGATGTTTGTGGTTGTTGTGGCGGTGGCGGTTGCACTAATTGTGCAACTTGCGAATGTCGTCGATCTTATTAAAAAGAAAAGAATTAAAACATTTATCAGTATTCCGAGATAACATTCCCATAGTACTAATTAATCAAGAAAAGTCACTCACCCGTAATCATGGGTTTACTGTCATTGATACCCATGCTTCTAGGCTCAGGTTGAGGATGATAAAATCGTTGTGTTTGCTGATGTGTATTAGCTGCTGCCCATATTTGCTGTTGCTGTTGTGGTCTAGGATTGTAATTGATGTACTTGGCTGGGTTAGGTAACACATCCAACCTGATTTGTGTTGAAGCTGCTGCTGCTGAGGGAGCAGTTGGTGTAGTGGGAATTGAATTATCGTCAATTACTGTCTTGGGTCTTTTCCCTGTTGCATCCGGATCGTTCAAATAGTTGTCTTCTGAATCTGCTGTGATTCTGTTCAGTTTTCTTCTTTGCCGCAGTTCCTTTCGAATTCGAATCTTTAAACCTTGGTCTGCAAATGATCTCGATAAAAAGGTCGATTCTTCCATACCAGGAAATCTACATTTCATAACAGTAATTAGCATAATCGATCAATTTAAAACTGCAACAGATTCATTTTACTTTTTTGCAGAATATACGAAAAACTTGTTTGAGATGATTGATCTGCAATGAAAAACGTCTTTGCCGATGATCTCGAACAAGCTCAACTTCAATCTATAACTTCCTTCCATTCTCACTGAAAGATCTGGAAATACAAAGAAACCAGCATCCGTATTATCGATATCTTTCAGGTGGTATAAGGAAGAAACGACTGAACCCGTGGTACTTCGTGTTTTACCGTCTTTTAAAAGATGCAATTCTTCATCCAAATCAGCGGCCATTAACGAAGCATACATAAAATAATATGGATTTTGCAAATACGTACTGAAATAAAAAAGGAATAAGAAACAGTTACTAGACATGCAAATTGTATTAATATCCCTTTTTGAGTTGACCTACTTTCTCTCGGAAGGAGGTAACTTATTGTCAATTACTTTTAACTGGACAATAGCTAGATATTCAAACAGTCATTAGCGAATGGATATCAGATGGGTAGTAGTAATTAGTAGTTATTACGTGGTGGGTCAATCGGCCTTCTGTCGGCTGCATTAAGAGGTATTCATTAGAAAATATTCAAGGTGATATTCATGTTTATAAAGGCTTTACCTTTTTCACCGACACCACACATGCGCGATTGCTTTGGCTGCTGTCTCAAAGTCAGTTGGTATTCACTAAGACAAAAACAGCAGAATGAGTTCTGGTAATCGTACTGCGAAATCTGTCAGCAATTTACATTTCATGTCGATTTTGTCTTCTCTGCTTAACGCTAGCAAAATGATATGAAACAGTTTCGTCCATGTACGCATCAAATAGACGTTGTAAAAAAGCACTCTGGGAAGAAAGTGGAAACAAGGACTTCAAAAAATGAAAAAAGAGGGGCAAAATCTTTTCCCTGTTGGTTTTTTTTTTTTTTTTTTTTGAAAATCAGATTTCTGTTTTCAAATAAAACACACTAGACAGAAAGGATAGAACGCAGTGCATCCGTATACGAGCCAATCAGAATTGTTACCGCAACGTCTTCCTCAATATATATTTTTTCGAATTTATCTGGGTGCTTGAAGTTGTAACTGCAGTTTTTTACAAAGTGGTCTCTGTCAGTCTATTAGCCTTCCTTTTTATCACCTTTTTTGAAGCAGAAATTTGAAAAGTAAGGAGCTTTTCTGTTTCGAAACATGGTGTTCCTTTGTAGGTAAAGTTGGCAGAATGATGGACATGTAGTTCGCTTTTAAGCTTTGGATGTAACCTACCAAATATATACCACCTTACCGAACCTCAATAATAAGGTGTCTGTGTTACGTATTTCTTTCATTAAATTATTCCGACTTTACGAAAGAGCTTGCTACAATTGATGAGGTTGATATCATTGGTACTGTACGCTATCAAATCTTCAAAAGGAAGTTGATATTAAATATGGCAGGGAATGTTCTCTTTTTCCATGCCTATGAGTGAAGCTTAAACTGTCAATTTAAATGCCAATACAGTTTATTCCGGTCCAAAGGATTAAACCAATTTTTCCAAAGGTACAGACTAAAGACTTATAGGTACAGTCCGATGTGATATCTGCTTTTTTAGAGGTTCGAGCCGGAAATTGGCAAAATAAGACAAGGAACTTTATAAATGGAGTGTTATTCATTGTATTAGGTTAAAGTATTTCTGCGAAGATTTCTATGGTCAAAGAGGTAAAATCTTATCGCAACTACTTAAATTTTAAGTAGAGCGAACGAAGATGTAGGCTCATTTAGTAGGAGAAGTTATTCAGGTTAAAGTAAAGGTAGAAGTATTATTAATCGGGCATAAACGAATGACCTGTTCTCGAAGGATCATCAGGGAATTAAAGAGAGCTTTTATTCAAAATTCTATGGATATAATCTGGTAGCTCCATGTAATATGTATAAGTTTGGGCCAAGAAAGTTAGAAAAGATCCTGAGTGGAATACTTACGAAAAATAAACCAACAAGACAAACACCAAAAAAAGGTCAATATCAAGAGGAACATAAAGAGCGGGTTTATACCATTTTTTGACGAATAGTTCTTGCCTGAGTGTCTTATACACTGTTGTACTCACCCAGAAGCTTTGAAGGTTCTAGCTTGAAAAAGAAACTATAATTAGAAAGTTTCGAGTATAACATAAGTAATGAAAAAGTTATTTGTCATCGGCCACACGTAACCGGAGTACTTAGATTATTGAAAGACGTAAAGAGTTGAAACTTGTTCAAAAGCTGGTATGCACTATATGAAATTTTGAATGTTCATTAATCAAAGTGCATTTGACACTGATAGGACACCACTTAAAGCAAGATACCCTATAATTATCACAACACCTTCACCAAAACAGTTAGTCTTACTATTCTTGGTGCAATCAGTATGCTTAAAGTAGTCAAACTGGAAATCTGCGTGCAGAGTCGATATAAGTGGGTTACTTTTCTAGCTCTTGTCATCTTAATTATTCTACAAAGACAAGTAACGGTTGAATTGAAAGCACTGTTAGCAAAGTATTGAATCGTGACAAATAGTCTTGTTTATTTTTATGAAAGTTCTAATACTAGTCAGCTGAACAATTACGCAGCTTCGCCTGTTTAGCAAATCAAGACATATAATGCTATATATGTATTTATACAAGCTTTTACCACAAAATGCTCGAATCTTAAATTAGGCCTTGAAGTAGGCCTTGAAGTGGCTGAATATCTCGTGTAAAAGTCTGCCATTAACCGACAACCATAACATTTTATTATAACTACCACCAATTTGATTTTTCTGCCAAACAATTCATTTTCTGTAGCCGACAATATCCATCAGCCGGACTGTATCATGCAAAATTACACTCAACGTTTAGAAGTTTATTCATGGATCATCCCTAACAAATGTTGATCGCGCTAATTGACGATCGTTCACAGACCATGTGACCATTTTGATATATTCTCCTAAGTGCATTGACAATAGTCATTTTTCCTTTTGTTAGTCCGGGTTTAATGGAGTCCTGATTCCTTCAAACGTCTGGCAATAGTGTCCTCACCACGTTCCCTAAAATTCAAAATGACAATAATATATATCAATAAATCAAAAGTAACCTTATAGTAATACTACGAGGAGTGGCAGTGTTCTTTTACCGAGGTTCTAACTTCAGACTGAGATTATAAAGCTCCTCCTCTTCTCTACTCGAATGCAAATGAGTTTTGATAAATTCTTGGATGTCGGGTACAGGTGTAAGCATGTAATGGGTGGACTGATATTGTTGAAGGTCTCTGATCACCTCTGCTGTCTTCATACGTTTTGCAAAATTAATGAGATTGTTAGACTTCTTTAAATAGTTGGAATTGCCGTCTTCAATGAAAGTCAAGTCCTGTAAATAGATACCCAAGAAGGGAATACATGGTGGGTTGATGCGATGAATGATATCGCGATATTCACTAAAATTACGGTTGGCCCCCATCAGTCGTCTTATATTCTGCAAAATCTGCATAGTTCGCGTACTGATCAACTCCCATGTACGCTTAAGCCGACCAATAGAACCGTTATCAAATGCTGATAAGATTGCCATGCATGTATTGTAATTATTAAGAAAACGGCATCGTTCTGCAACAAAAATCCAATGCTTCAACACAGCAGCTCTCTTCTTAACTTCTTCTTTGCTCAAAATTGAATCCGTTACCCATGCCGTTACTTGGTTTGAGTGCTCAATGGACGCTTTGACATTAGCGGCAATATGATGTCCTCCATGCTCTAGCGCTGTTGTATCGGGCTTTCCCCAATTTTTATCCAAGCACTCCACAGGTTTAATTTTACTGTACAGACGAAAATCCATAATAGTCATTTGTCGAGCTAGTTCATGGGGATCCAATTCGAGCAATTTGATACGTTTCATATTTTTAGGAAGGATAGGAACGGGCAAATCACCTGTGCGCACATTCAATTTCATCTTTCGAATTTGGCTCGAGTCCTCAGATAGCATACGCTTCTTGATAAGTTTTGTGAGTTGCTCGGCACCAAACCTCATTGATTCGACAATTACATTATCAGTGAAATGACTGATTTCTGGAAGTATTGAACGATCCTCTTCTTCATTGAAATATGTTTCTAGCCAAGATTTTATAACATTGAATACTCTGTTATGGAGAACCAAGCAAAGTAAAATGTGCAAAGTAATCAGATCGTGCTGTGCTATGTACCCAAAATAGGTGGGTTCACCCAAAGTATTTTTGCATGCTTACCTTAGCCTTACTAGTTTCAACTTTCTCTCTTTCCAAATGTCTACTTCATCCGTAGATAGTCCATCGGGTGGTGCTAATTGATATCTGCTAAATAGCTCATGGAACAATTCTTCAGTAGTACAGAAAGATCGATATGTCAAGAGGAAGGTGGTATTAAACTTAGAATCTAAATTCAAGGGATCAAATAAAGAGCCAATGTTATTTTTCTGTTTCCCTGAGCTAACTATAAACATATTAGAAGCAAGAAAAAATTTTGGTAATACCTAATTGATCATGTTGTGTTAGGTGTTGTACAAGACAATGCAAAGAACCTCCCTTGACATTTCCTTCTGCATTGATGATCATTTCGTTGGGATCGTAATCCGTTTTCAAAAACCAGTGCAATGCTTCATTTAGGTTTGAGCTTGGAGCAGTTGCCGATGTCGGTGTATGGCCGCTTCCTCCACTGCCATTAGTAGCCACCGTGGCTGATGAACCATTGACATGGTTGCTAGGAGTTCCAATGAGGGTATCACGACGACGAGAAATTGGATCTTCAGTACTTGGATACTTATTCGTTATTGTTTTTGCTTGCTGACGGCTATTGGTGCCTGTCATTTCGCTGTGATGGCCGCTACTTGTTTCACTCGGTAAATCGTCGTTACTATCTAATAAAGGGCCGTTGGGATTGCTTACAAGGGAGTTCATTAATAAGTTTAGTCCAATGTCTGATCTTTTAAGATTGTCGATGGATGTATTTTGGCCTTCACGCTCATCTTCTGTTGAAATCGAACCAGCATGGCTATTGCTGGTGATATAGTGTCGTTGGGTAGGTGTTGGTGTATTTCGCGATTCGATAATATTCTGTTCCGTAATATATTGTTCCGTTGCACTAACCATTTTTTGTAGACCTTTATCAATAAGATGTACGTGCTCTTTAATTTGCTCGTAACTTTGTTTTATTTGTTCTTGATTCATAACTGCATTTGTAATTGCTTGAGAAATTATAAATAATGACCCCATTGCCTTATAAATAGGTTGCTTCGATTTGAGTAATGTTTTGTATTTTTCGTGATTATGCGTTGCTTGTGTTGAATGATGGCATGCTTCTTCTGTAGCATTTAAGAAATTGCTCGTCGTATTGCTAAGATTTCGGAACTGAGCAATCAGCAATGGTGCATTTGCTTTTAATTCATTCAAAACAGCCTTAGTACTGTTTTGCTCAAAGGCAGCGCGTATACTTTCCATGTATGAGCTTATAGCTCCACGTACGTTTTCTTCTAATATATGTATCGAGGTTATACTGTCGGATTTGCTCATTTCAGGATACCCTTTATTATGTTTAGATATAGATGGGTGTGAACGCCAAATATTTTCATCCTCATATGTTAACACTGGCTTGCATTCTTTGATAACTATTTGAAGTTCCTGTGCGCATGTCATGAAGTTGCGCACAGCAATAAGTAGTTCCTCCGCATCGGTTTGTAATTTGATAAGAGATTCGGATGTTGGCCAGGCATTTGATGCTACTTTGGTTGATAGTACAAGTTTTGCTAGTGATGCTAATAATGATCGATGTAATGCTCGTAGTTGCCTATTTGATTTTAAATGAAGGGAAGTCTCTTTTTCGATGCAGTCGCTTGCATGTAGTAGAAGGCGAATACGTTGCACAATGGTATTGGTATCTTCAGAAAAATGTTGGCTTTGGTTTTGACGTATGGAATCTTTCAAACGTTGAATGGCTTGTGCAATAGCTGTTGAAAGACCCTGCCAGGTCATCTGCACCTTATCGTCACGGGTGTACATTTGTTGCATATAGTCTGAGATATCGTTTACGTCCGACAAGTCCGTAATATAAAACTTTGCTTGCTTCGGTGAGTAAGGAAAGATATGTTCAGCAGACTCTGCTGTTGTTGTAGGAGAAGTGAGCAAGATTCCCGTATCCGGGTCGATCTTTTCCAACTCCCATGTCGTCTCATCAGTTTTAACGTTACAATAAAAGAATCTCCCTTTCGGTGTAGTTTTTCGAATCCAATTAGGAGGAAGTCTTTCATCATCTACAAATTTATGCTCAAGCTCTTCTTTCAGGGACAATTCTTGCTGAGTATTCCCTTTCCTCAGATCAATTGCCGATAAATTGTCAATATTGCTCGAGTGGAAGTCGCTTTCATTTGTATTTATTCTGTTGAGAGCACGCACAGGGCGTGTAGGCTGATTGATATTTTCGTACATTAACTGAGATGCTGCCATTGTATTAGCACCATTATGGTATAAAGAATTCTCTAAAATGTTATGATTGTCAGCAATAGCCAACGCATTTACATCTCTATCATCCATATATAAATCTGGCGGCATTGAGTATCTCATCTCCTGTGTTAAAGTGTTGTAGTAATATTGTTCTGATCCATCTTCTGTTGTTTGCAAGATCCATGGTGATGATGAAGATGGAGAAGACGGAGGGCTTTCTTGCTGTCGCTGTTGTCTCTGTAGTATATCTGATGCTTGTAGACTTAGCCTTAATTGCCTTTGCATATCTTGATCTGTTACGCGCTGCTGGCTACCCATTGTTCTTTGAAGCTGATGTTTGTGCCTCCACTCCTGTTGGAGGTTCCATATCTGCTGTTGTTTTAACGTAAAAGAAGGGAACTTAGATAAGCTAGACCTTGCTTATCATCATTGTTGCATTGGAACTTACATTGTTTCCAAATGACTCCTCTACATTTTCTTTCAATATTTCTACATAATTGCTGGGAAACCATCCTCGTTTCCCTTCAGACCTGGAAAAGAAAAGAGTTAGGGTCATTGCTTTTTTTTTCCCCCCCTTCTTCTTCTTTTTCTTAAACAAAGCATATGTGTCGCAAATTTTTACCAGCCATCCCACCATCCGGAGTCCAACTGTGCAAGGACTTCAATTATTGCCCCGGCTTTAAACGATAATGAGGAGGGATCATTCGATTCGTATTTATATAATGCTTTCACTCGACATATAAAGTCTCTGGAATTCATAGATGAATCTAGAACAGTTATATCTTACTACTTTTTCTTTTCTGTTTGTACTGCTTAAAATAGTTTTAAGGCGTTAAATTTTGTAAATAAAACTCAAAAATAGATAGTGGTGGTAATAATGGTAAGAAGACCCTTGTTTCCAGATAACAGGCGATGAAGGAAAAGAGGAACAATAAGAAAAAAAAAAAAAAAAAAAAAAAAAAAAAAAGTGAAATAAAAAGCGTAAATTTTATCCTAAATTAGCTTTTTTGTGAAGTGCTTGCACAAAGGCTGTTGTGCTCTGCACGAAGTAAAGCGTGGACTGTAAGTCAACAAGTACAACAAGAAGGTACTAAATCAGAATAACCCCTTTTATGTACTTTCTTTCTTATTATTCAATCCCTACAATATGTTAATCAAGTCTTTAAAACATTTACGGTTATTAACATTAATACCTACCTGCGTTGTTAACCTGCGCAGATTCCCCATCTTAGCAAAATATTTGATGCACTCGTCAGTAAGTATGTAGTTCCGTCCAAAGACCAATTAGAAGTTTGTACGCCAGTGTAAGAAGCAAAAGAAAAAAACATTCTAAACTGTGACACAAAGTCAGCAATTGGACCTATTACTCGTGAGGCACTTTTGCATTCATGATAGACAAATATTTGAGAGGTTGCTTTCATGTTAATTCGCATGAATGTGTCCCTATCCATTGCAACTAAAGATAAGTCCAAAAATAATATAGATATAGACTGTTCTTGGGGTGCATTGCAAATTTTTCTTTAAGTAGAATTATTATATTTATTTCCAGATTAAGGAGAGTTGTAGGTGCAATATCACCTCTCCGTTTCCTTTTTCCGCGATCCCCTTATCGTGATATTCTCACTTCGTCTTAGGAGTAAAACGGTTTTACATGGCATTCATATAGTTCTTAGATAGAGGGAATAGAATATCCATGAGTCTACCCCACTCACGGCAAGATGCAGTAGCAGAACGACGGTTCTTTATTTTCTCTGAATAAAAAATGATATAGATTGTATACAAGGTTAGTTCTAACCGCTTATCGTACCCGTTCCTTCAATGGTACATGATTCTTTCCATAACGACTAATATGCGTGTACGCAGATACAATATATTGTCCCTAGTATGCAAATCTGTTTGCATCGTCTTTAATTTACTATATGTTCATATCAATCACTGTGAGCGGGGTCATGCACCACATCATAACGTTTACCACGGATACCCCAAATGGAATGATTTGCAAAAGCCGTCTGTCTTAAATCCATCAAGTTCACGTCTCTCTTCAAACTACGAAATTCGTTTACTGTAGGCTTCAATAACCAGTCAAACTCATTCGCGTGATCTTGCTCAACAGCCTTTATATCGTTCATTATGTCTGCTTCACTGAATCCTGTAATGAATATCGGGCATTTTGTTTCGAGAGCTTTAGCAATAGAAGGTTTCCAACTTGGACGAGCATCAGGATAGCCAATACCGGGGGAGAATAAAAAGAACAAGTCTGTAAAAGGATCAAACTTTTCAATCGTCTCATGATAATCATGATACATTGCATTGTTGTAAGTAAATATAAGACGCTCGTGCACAGATTCAGTGTGAGGTTTTTGCTTGGGTGCCAAAGCATCAGGCCCAACAAAGTGCAAATGGAAAGGGGTAGCGGGAAATAAGTATGATAATTGAAGCCATATGTGAGAGGGTAACGTAGCTTCTGCACGAGCACCAAGTATATAGATGTTTATTGTCTCTGTATTGAAGGCTGGTGAAGCACCATTTGTCAATCGATCACCAGGATACAAAATTGTTCGTAAAGCTGCAATATACAAGTTCAGAATTCAGGCTCAGTTAATTCATGCATGAATTCTGCTTATTTGACACCTCAATTCTTTTATTACCTGCGATGGACCTCATGCCTTCCTTTGTAATTTGCTCGCCATATTTATAAGGACATGATTCATGCAATAACTGTCCAATTGACATAGGGTATGTCAACAGTTTTGAGACGTGTCTCATTGATCTATCACTGTCCATGGAGGGGAAACTGCGAGTGTAGAAAAACATATCCCAGTTGGCCATATTTACTGTCTCATCAAACCCTTGTGTTGCTGTAAGAAAAAAAAATATCAATGCAGGTAAATGAATATCCCACATAATACTAGAGACAAATATAGCTACAAACAACGCTCTAACAGCTCAACTTACAAGGAAATTCAAATTCGCGCATGGGTCGACCGGACCGTAAATCATGATCATCCTCGTTTATTTGTCGTAGAATATCACAATGATGTTCCTTATGCTCTGCTAAGCCCATATAGTAATGTTTTTCGCTACAGTGTGTAGGATAGCCACAATCAGGGCAATCATAAGCCGGCTTGTGTTCAGTATTTTCGCCGAGAGCTTCACAAACTGGGCATACACCATATTTCTTGACAATATTCGCTCTATCTCTTAGTTCGGGTATAGGTGATTGTGATAATATGTGAAATAGATGATCTTGATCATACAATACTGGATTCTCTTGTGCGTGTTCTTTCATTGCAAAAATGTTTTTGAATGAGACGGGACGAATGACAGACTGAGTAAACGCTCGCGTTTGAGTGGCATATTTTGTTTGTTGAAATAACGTTTTTGACATAGTTTGGAGACATTTGCCATTATAACGGCAGCTTTGATTGCGTAGTAAGCTGCGTGAAGAGGTTGGTATCAATCTTTTCCATGTACTGCTCATGCTGTAATAGTTTAAATAAAACGAACCCACTAGCAAACTTAAAAAGTGGCAGTGAAAAGGGAAAAGGGGTTGTTTATCTGTCAAAAAAAGACGAATTTTGTTAACTAGGGTTATGACTGCTCTCTAACAATCCAGGTTTGAATGACAGCGGCCAGCACTGACACGCGAGAGCAGAAAATTGATGCGATATTTATTAAAAAGCAAAGGATACAGTTTTCTTTTTCTTTTTAGGCCTACTAGCATCACCATCAGATGATATTACAGACCGTTGTGGGCTCGTTTGAAATTGATTGAGGCTAATTACTTCGTTTGTATTTTGCTTAGTAATATTATTGGGAACAAAACAGGCTGCTATTGGCTCTGGTGGATTTTCACGACTAGCCGTCATTGTTCGTTTTGGTTGCTCCATTAATCTAATTTTCCATGGTTGTACGTGATCCATCACGTCGTCATCACCTTCAATATCCAGCAACGGCTCATCCTCATCTTTCAAAATGAGCTGTATACTTTCTTCTTCCTTTATTGCAGGTTTAACGCTTTCTTCGCCAACATTAGCGTTACTTTCATCATTTAGGCTCGTTATTCCATCGTCAAGCTCCACATCAATATCATTATCGACTTCAGCATCATTTACAGTTGTTCTTCTAGGGGTCTCAGCGTAGAAAGTCGTAACATTACTGTTGCTAATAGCGTTTCCCTCAACTTTATTGCTGTCGATTTGCTCATCGTTCAACGCCCTTTTTTTTTGTACAAACCAAAGAGGAGCATTAAAAGGGACGATCCGTTGTCGAAAAATGCCAGTTGACTCCTCTTGAGTAATACTATCAGGCAAAGGCACAAAATACGCATGGTTTAGAATATCTTTCAACTTGGAGTCCGTATAGAAATCGCCTCTCTTGAGGTTTTCTTTATCATTATCACTCCCCTCCATCACTTGATGATCAGTCATTGCTATACGGTCAGTTTTTACAGAACCCAAAAAAAGGGCTTTATCAGTTAGAAAATCAGGAAACATTTAGAACAAGGATCAGTGTTTTCGATATACCTTCCCCACTTGATACTTGATTCCTTCTTTGTAATAACGCGTCCTCAATCGTATTTTGAATGACGAGGGTTTCAACGTAGACCGGTCTTTTTTGTCCAATCCGATGAGCGCGCTTGATAGCCTGCTGTTCCATTGCTGGTTGCCAAACAGGACTGACAAAGAACACTCTTGAGGCCGACGATAGATCAATACCATAAGCAGCCTTTTGGACTGCCATAATAATCACATTTGCGTTGTCAGAAGTGTTAAAAGTCAAAATCATCTGTGATCTTTTTGCATTACTCTAGCATTAAATGAGGACAAATTTGAGTGCCAGTTGTTTACGTAGTATAATCATAATAAAAACACTCCAAACGAAATATCCTCATTACCATTTCAGATTCTTGATACATTAGAACACGTATTCTAGTTAGTTGTAATGCTAGATAAATTTCATACATCTCATTGAAATGCTGAGAAAAAATTATGCACTTCTCGGTCTTTTGATACTTATAAATTTGATCAACAAGGTAGTTAATCTTGACACTGGAGCTCGACAATACCCTTGCATCGGAAAAGGCATTAAGCGTGTAAAATGTTAATTGCTCATCCTGTGTCTCTTCATCGCTATTTTTTGCGTTTGATGTGTCGGTTACTGCAATTTTTGGCACCAAAGGCTGCTTCCCTGGGAGTGTCTTATCAGCTACATTATTATGATTGACATTCAACGCTTGGAGCTTTTGTTGCTTTAGATTCTCATGAAATGCCTCTTTTTTTCTTCGCGCTTCACGCGTTCTCCTTTTCTTTCTTAACTCATACTCTTCCACGCTGATCAATGTTTTACTAAGCCCATTGTAAACGAATAAATTTTTCGAATCATTCGCTTTTGCTGTTATCACCTGATCCATGACATCTACTACCCTCTCAGCATTTATAACACAATGATCGTCCCAAGGGAAAGAACCAACAGGAACATAGGCACCATGATCTCCATTCAGCCAACCCCACGTCTCTTTGAACAAAGCAGGTAAGCCTTGAACCACGTAAGAAGGGGAATGATGCGTCATCATGCATAGAAACATATCATCATTCAGCGCGTGTTCCAATACATCGCGGATACGAAACAGATCTTGATTGTCTTTTTCGTTATAATCAGTACGACCTTCCACGATTTCCGTACATTTCTCAATGCAGTTGTTATAAGCGGATCGAATAAGGTTTGGTTCAACAGAATGCCATAAACAGCTTTGCCATAGGTTATGAACTGTTTCTCTCAGAGCTTTATGATTTTTGGGTGAAAAGAGATAATCGGCACCTTCTCTCCTAGATAGAATTGCATTCAAACTAATCATTGCAATTTGACAATTATGTCCCTGTACATTCATCAAAGGAATTAATTATATTAAGGACTCTGTGCTTTGCCTATGCTTTACTTTCTTTCTGTTATATTGATCTTACAATCCATTGATAATAGTCAAACCCCAAGTAAACTATTTTTTGATGCAAGGGCGGCAGTGTCACTTCTCTTTCAATATCTATCCGTTGATTGCGGATCATAATGCGCTCCAACATTTGTTTCAAATTGTTTACAGCCCATGGTTTCCGTTTTAAAAACGGTTGAGAAATCAGGCGGGACCAAAGCTTCTTGTTCGACTTGAATGGCTCGATGCCCAATGTTTGGCCTATTAATAAACCAAGTCTATATAAAATAAGTGTTAGTAAAGACCTCGCTTTTTCTAGTATATATATCGACTTTCACCTATTCAGATCGTCGGATTCACTATCTTGCGTTGTTTGCGTCGAAGCGGTTTCGGTAAGATTTCGAGTGGGCGTACCCGTACAAATCCACTTCCAATTAGCAAAGAGTTTTGCTGATAATTCAGCCTGTCTGTTTTTTGAAGATAACGTATGACCTTCATCTTTTGCAACAAAGAATTTTCATATCAGCATTACAAGAATGACCATACTCATTGTTAAGGTAGCAGTACTGAGCTTACCAACAATTAGACGCTTCCAATGCACCTGTAATAATGGTGATACATATTTTTTTCTCTTTACAGAGCATTCGCATTTATCAAAAGCTATTGAAGAACAGCGACATAGGTGACCTATGAAGCAGTTTGAAGATCATTAATTATTTCTTCTGCCAATAGCGCAACTTCTTTCTTTGTATATTACTGCTAAAGTCCAATCCACCTATTGAATGTTCATGGGAAAATCGGTTTTGGCTAATGAGCACTAAATCATAAGCTATTAATTCAAAAGGCGAACAGATGGTCTGTTTGGTATCATCATAAACTATAAATTTCAAGTGCCCATCTTTTATGTGCTTATAAACTTCACCCGTCCACTGTGCAATTAAATTATCGGGTACGACGACCAGCGTGGTGGTAGCAGGGTATATTTTAAGAGTGGTGAATATTGGCTTAAAACGGCGCGATCGTTCAAAATCAAAATGTTGTGGTATATTAGTCCATTCATAATATATGGGGTATTGTTTGAACCAGTCATCGACAATATCTTGAGGAAGCTGTTGTTCGACAGGCTTCCAATTTATACCGGATCCTAGAATTAACAGAGCGGCAGTGTGCTTTAAACTTGTTATTCCTCCTGGCCTATTTGCCTCTGTTAAAATTGAAGGGAAATCTGTCTTCAAGTATTTGCCATCATGTTGAAAAGGATTTGAAAAGTCTTTCGTTACCATTATTGCTGCTAAACAGATGCAGGTCTTTCCTGTACCCTTTTGCATTATTGATATGTTTTGGTTAATACTAATAAAGACGCCAGTTCTTATCTTTCTTTTATATTACCATGTCTTCACAGATGATGCCTCCCTGGGCATCGGGTAAACGATAAGTAGATTGAAGTGTAACGGTACCTGTCAACTGATCGTAATAGTACGGAGTATTATCAGCTGATCTGAGTTCAACTATCTGGTAAGGGGTGATTAATGACGGCGCCAACTCTCTCTGCAAGATCTTCCATAATGAATTCTAACATAATGGCGAATGATTAAGAAAAAAACAATTCTTTTCATTGATGTATTTGTCAAGACTTGATTTTTTTTTTTTTTTTACTTTTTGGTAATTATACAAGGTAGTTTTCATCCCAGGGATTTGAGTAGTGATATCTTCCAAAAGGAAGCTTAATATGTCATTATTGTGACACCATTGTAATGTTCGTTTGTCTATCTTTGGTGACGGTAGATGAATAAAGATGTCTAAAAGGCTACTATGTATGAGAGCTGATTCATTCCTATCGAAAGATCGCAAGTCATAAGGCGACAATGACCGCTTTGGATGGGTTGATCTATTCACATAAGTCAACAGATCAAGAAGATCTGAAGAGGCCATTTGATCTTCGGCGTCGTTTCTGATTACAATATTAATGTCGACGCAAACCGAGGTACCATATTCGTTGTATGCAAGAGTTGGGAGTATGATTGATTTACTTTTTAGCTTTCTTATTAACTCGAGTATCCTCAATTGAGTAGGGTTGTTTAAGTGGTTTTCAATAGTGCTGAAAATTTGTTCGTCACATGTAATTGGAATAGGCTCATCTAATTGTAATAGAATATAGCCAGCAGGGATCATTAACGAAAATTTTTAATGATATATCAGCAAACGAGAAGAAGAGGCAAAGGTAGATCTACTGTCTTAAATTCCAAAATATGTCGAAAAACTACGTTTTCCGATTTATGGTGTTTCTGAAGTTACAGTATAGACTGTGGAATTTTAAGTAAGCATAATTATTTTTTATAGAGCACAGTCTGAAATGTTGTATGCTTTGGTAAATGTACAAAAGAGTAGACAAAAATAAAACCAAAATAAAAAAGCAAGATATCTCGCAATCATACATGTAAAGTAACATAGTAGTATAATCATAAATGAATATGACTGATTGCTTGTCCTTAAACACTCTTCAGCTGAACTTCCTTCCTGCTAGACCGAATCCTCTATGTAAAATATGTAGTAATGTGAAAGATGACATTCGAGCATGTTTTTCATCTCGACGAAAAAACGTGAATATGGCTTTCAAGTATTGTACCTAATTCGGGATAATTCGCAGAGGTATATTTATTCACATCTCTAAAATCAGGGTATCGATAAACACAGTGAATCCTACATAGAGAATTGTCAAACGGTTTTACTGTTGATGAGTGGTCCGTTGGTAATTTAAGTGCTAAAAAGTTATAAGATTAGTTAAAATTGGCCACAAAAAACCTCTAACCACATAGTTACGCACACTATCCTTATTAACTGTGGCAGTACTGCTGAATAAATATCATTTCTTTCTAAGGACTTCTGTAGATTTATATGGCTCTTCATTTGTTGAGCTACTTGAAATTGATTACCAAAACGAAGGCTACTGTGGAAGGCACCTACAAGTTAGAATGAGGAGAATAGAGTAGAACCTTCAATATCAAGTTGGAAATATTTGTTGATTTATTAACTCCAATTATGCATGCTTGTTGTCGAAAGGGTTCTGTACTATCATCTTCTAGAAGATGTAAGACACAACCCACTAGTACATAGTCAAAAAGAGTAGCTATTATTTGTATTGAACTTTCCAATACAAAAAATTTAAAATACACTGATTGTTGTACTTGATGAGCTTTACTAAATATTAAAAAAAGGCGACGGGAAAGTTGTCTACTTTATGATTAGGAAAGGGGTAAGAAATAAGCATTTGGATGACAATGGATTAGAGCTTTATTTAAAAGAAAAAACATGATAACGTTCATGCTTTTTACGCTTAATGGTACGACTTGATTTTACAGACAAAACAATTGATGATGCAATCTGTTATTCGCAAGGGGAAGTTTAACTTTAGACGAGACGTTGTATTGCAATTCACGCAAGCGATCATTCTTTTCGCTTTGATAATGTTGCTGAATATGGATTTAAAAACCAACTTTTCTCGTAATCAACAATGACTGGCAACTCTGAAATCAAAAATGACCAGACAATCAGCAACCGAACTTGCTGTTGGTGAACCTTTGCAAACTTTAGTCTTAAATGAATGATTATCTTCAAACACTGCTGGAGAATGTTTGCTCTATTTCTGTTCACTGCAAACAGCAATGAAGTAATTAAGCTGTTTGTTGACATAAGTATAGTGGATAAGCAAGTAGCCGAAGATCGAATCTTTTAGTACCATTTATATCTAGCAAAAACCAATCATAGACCATCCATTGACTGTGGCTTGAAAGCCTATCAACACATTCTATGTTAGCCAGGCGTTAAAGATTGAGCTCCAACCTCTTTCTAGCGAATAGCCATTTTATAGGGTAGAAACTATCATCGTACAGGCGTTATACAAATTTTTGGCTTTGGTTAAAAGGGTAGATTAAAGTCAGCCAAGGACATAGGGTCGGGTATTCAACACTTTTCTCTATTTTTACCACTGCCAAACTTACCATTTTTCAAAAAAAAAAAAAAGTTCATCAGCCCGACACTGTAACTTTCAACTGGTTGTAGCTGACAAAAGATGGGATGACCCTCAGTCGAACAGAATTAATCAAATTATAGAACCGCGGCAGTTGACTTGACAAAAAACGCCAGATCAGCCTTGAATGTTTCAATCAAATACATCTTTGAAATTTGTCATTTTATGCAAACACCCCTCGAAGCTTTATCGTCTATGATCGATTGATGTCTTGGTAAGTATACGCCCTCTAACTGCTTCAGACACAGTAATAATCTCTCTTTCGTCGTTAGACAACCTAGATTTGTCCTTTTACTACTGCAAAGCAGGATTTTCGTCAATAACTCTTTATGAAAGACGGTGTAGTAACAATAACATTGATATTTTAATAGGAAACCATCGGCATCGGAAGTAGTGTCAACTATAGCAAAAAAGAGTTAGTGATTGAGGGCCCTTTTATTGGGCCATACTTACCCATAGTTATAGTTGCGTAGATAGTTTTTACTGGAAAAATGCCTAGGCAACATGCATTCATTATATCTTCATCAGAAAGTAGGTTCTTTAAGATATGTGACTTTTTGAGAAATTCATATATCCTATTATAGAATTGGTATGTCAAAAACTTTAGTGCAACAGAAGAGAGTTTCTATTGTTCAGCTAAGACTCCGTTACGAAAGAGGTAAATAGGTTTGACAATAACAAAGCATCAAAGGACTTCTTATTGTTGTTATTGTAGAAGGCTTATTCTCTACTGCTATAAACCAGAAGCAATAGCTAAATAAGCTCAGGCTTGGGACTTTATATATGTATGGAAATCCGCATATAAAGTTTTTACATGCTACATATACAGCATTTTATACTAACGTCAAGAAAAGGACAGAGGTAGGCAATTGATTTAGAGATATCATTATCGATCACACGCTTTCTTTTTCGGTTTCCATTTGCGCCCCCTCTTTTCCATCCCCTTATTTAAGCAACTGTTGTAGCTCACTAAAGACAAACTGTTTACAAAGTCCCCTTAACTCTGTGTATCTTTATTACTCCTTAATTTCTTATTTGACTTTATATTTTGTTATTACAACAGCATTTCAATAACACTTTTTAATTTCTTTTTTTCTTTCTCCTTCCCCCAGTTTAATAACTTAAATGTTCACAAGCACTTCTCCAAGTATGACTCTGTCACCATTGAATGAGAAGAAGAGAGACTCGCTTCCTTTATTACATACTGACAACGAGGATCAGCAGTCTCTAATTGAAACGAGCCAATTGTCCATTCGTTCACCCTCATCCATTTTTAATGATGTTAACAATAACAGTAGTACTATTAACAGTCATACTAAAAGACCCCATTACGAAACAAACTGGGCATTTGATACATTATGCGCGCATCCATATAGTCCTTTAGCATCCATAGATTTGCAGGTGCCTACATTTTTGTCATTGACATTGTTCACGTAATATATCCCTTTGTTTCTAAAAGCAATCTATTTCTAGTCGGTATTCAATGTAACCAACTTCCAGTTATTATCACAAGAGAAACGAGACGAACTTTACTCACTGCTACCTGAGGCAGATCAAAATGCATTCTTTCATCCACATCATCCTTGTGTCTCCCCTCCTCCTCCTCCGTCAGCCGTAGTGTCTCCTCAGCATTCTCAGCATTATTCTCAAAACTATATTCATCGTCACTATCACGAAAGCCCTTACCACCATCCCTACTATCAATATCAACACCCGCAACAAGCTTGTACCTCTACGAACCGCATTTTCTCGCCACCACCTCATCAAACTACGGCAACTACCGGAAACTTCTTCAACAAAGCAGAGAACCCAGTCTTTTGGGATCACTTGACAGACTGGCAAACGATGCTAAGTCGAGGTGATTTCGCAGAACGACCGAACAGTCCTCTGCCTTTATCACCGTCACCCCCAACTACTGTCAATCACAGTGCTACTCATAAATCGAGTAGTTCAACCATTTCTTCGTCGTATCACAGTGCTCCTACCACTGCAGCCAATATGAGTTTTAGTAGTAGCACTACTGACACTAACCATCGATCGCCTCACCGAAAAACAAAATCGAAATCATCCATAACCAGTCCAACAAAAAAACGGGATAGCAGCAAAGTCAAGGTAAAGTAGATTATCGACTATTTTTCTTTCTCTTTTAAAAAATCTAAATAAGATGTTGTAGTCATTTGAGGTTAAATTAATTATAATTTCAATTGGATGTAGGACGAGCTTTATGATGACTTTTGGGCTTCCAGAGTTGCATCTAATGATAGTAATAATACTAGCAGTAGGAGTGAACGAGAGAAGGCAAATAACGTTGCTGGGTAAGCTAACTATACTATCTTATTTCCAAGTTTTACCAGCTCATAACTCATCTGTTTATGAACTGCATAGCGAATCAAAGTGTATTACATTGAAAGATATGTGCCGAAAAGGCTTGATACGCGTGGGAGATGTTATTGTATATAAACGCAATTTCAGTGCTTCCAAAGTAATTGTGTCAAAATCAATGATGGTAAAGCATTTTACTACTAATATCTACAATTGAAATGCTGTATGTCTGTGTTTGCTTAATCTCTTTACAATGATAAGGTTATAAAGGCATGTGGTACTTCTGGTGTGTCTATTGAACTGGACGGTGAAGTGTACGAGGATTTTGAAACGCCTACTGCATTGGAAACAAAGGTCTTAGATCATCATGGTGAAGTCACCAAGGATAAACGTCCCAACGGCAATGCATTCAAGAGTATACGCCTTATTCGCAGTGGAAAAGACTTGGGAAGGCTTTTTGATATCAGAAAAGATGGCTTCGGCGGCAATGATCAATGATGATTTTTAAGTTATGGCACCCTGTTTCTTTTGTTCTGTTTTCTTCTTTGAGGAAAACAAATAGACCTTCAAAAAAGTTTATCATGCAGCAAGTAAAAAAAGGAAAAAAAAAAAAAAAAGAAGAAAACCCCACCACAACAAGCAAAATATCTTTAAACAGCCAACTCTATCGTGCAGCCCATTTACAAAAAGCTCCAAATAACAGCTCTTAGTATTTAATTTATTAATGACAAATTACTACCTTATCACTTTATTCTTTCTATTCATATTTAACCCTTTTAAGCCATTCTAAGTTTCAAGAACCTAGTTTTTACTCATATTAAATATCTTCTACGTCTTTTCTATATGATCTTAATATATGTACCTGTGCTGAACTGTGCACATACTTTCTATGGCTTGGATGAATTCGTCGTCATCCATCTTTTTTATGAAAAGTATATCGCTACATGAAACCGTATAAGTGATAAGAAAGAGACTGTACTGGCATCAAACAAAAACTGCTTTTATGCTTAGTCAAAGCAGAACAATTATGTAAATTACGCCATTTGTGAATATACTGCTTCTCTAATCAGCGACAATAACAAATGTATGACTGACACAGCAACACTACTTTTTCTGTCAAATGTGTCATTCTGCTCAACTCTAACATTTGGCACTACACCTCATATGTAAGTATATTTTTCTTTGTGCCTCTTCACGTACTCATAGCATATACATTTATCATTTTTCATTGATCTATCTCGAAATCGGTCTCAAAGTACATATGCTCGCTCTATCAGTATAGTTATTTAAGGAGGGTGAGTTGTCTGCATACAGTCGTTCCAACGCCAGAGGGCGGTTTTTTTTTTTTGAAAAAAAGTGCGGCCAATAAATTTCCCGAAAGGCGGTTCATTTTTTTGAAGGGCGGTTTCTGAACTTGTACTTCTTTAAACTCTTTTCCCCTGATTTTCTTTCTGACTTTCTGACCCTTTTCTTCCTGACTTTTTCCTCTGTTTCTTTCTCTCTGGCTTTTCCCCTCTGACTTTTTCCCTCAAAAGAACAAGGTGAATGTCTTAGACTGGCCTTCATATTCTCCGGACTTTAATCCAATTGAGAATCTGTGGTTCTACTTGAAGTGCAAACTAGCAGCGTACGATACAGCACCGTCGAACCTAAATGAGTTATGGAAACAAGTTGCGGAGGTCTGGTATAATAAAGTTACGCCAGAACTACTGACTTTTTCCTCTGACTTTTATCGCAAACATGGCTCACAACAAAAATCTTCGTTGTCTAGTTTGTAATCTTGATTTTGAAACAGAATCGAAATTATCGACTCATAATTATGACACGCATTCTGACTCTATCCAGGTGACTTTTGGTGACGGTAAGACAATACATGCTCATAGTAAAACGACAAAGATTTGACATTTCTTTTTTCAGAATTGATTACAGTTCAGAGGAACAGTAACAGTAACAAATTTCATTGTCCAAAATGCGAAACAAAACTAAAAACACTGACAACATTAAAAAGGCACGTTGGAACACACCGCGAACCGACAAGCAATGCTGGAAAAAAACAAGGGCTTTCTGAATCAGGAGATGCTAAGGAGGAGTTTCCCTCAGTCAGTTTAGATCACCATGCACCTAACACTGAAAGAATTGATTTACAAGTGGAAGGTTCAAGTTCATTTCCTTCCACCTCACGCTTTGAAAAAGAGACTGCAATACTTATAGCCATGAATGCCCTCTCTCTGTCAAAAAGGGAGCAAAAGAAATGTTCTATGCTTGCCAACATGGCATATTTGGAGCCAATAACCTTAACCTCTAAATCAGGCAGGAATTATTGTTTATTAGGTAATGCAGCAAATATCAATGATATACTTAGTGACCAACCAGTTGGCAACTGGGAACTCCCATTGGAGAATTTGGAAACAAGTGCCGAATCTCCAGCAGCAAGCCAAAGCGTTGCTTTAAATCACATTATTAAAACCTCACCCTTTCAAGCATTTGTCGGATACGAAGTATGTTGAACTGTCTAAGTCTATTGTCAGCATGATAAGTAAAGACTGGATTCAATTTCCGCCACTCCGCTATGCAATTCCACAACTTTTTTCTGGGGCAGTGATTATAGATGAATATGCAGCACTATTGGTAAATGGCTTGGAGCCCTATGGTAGGCTTCGAATTGTTGATGCTCATTTGAAAGACGAACAAAATCAACCCTAAGCCAGTCATCATTTCCTAAGAAAGAAACCAAGTACGGTTGGATTACAACCGCTGCAGTCGAAGATGACCATACAACCAAACTAAAAATTGGCCTATTGACATGTAACTTGTTAATTACTTCCAGTTTAAGAATCGATAATAATGCAGCGACTACAAACGGAGCGGTAGAATTAGGCTCCAACACTGATAATTTTTTTCCTAAAGAAAACGTTTCGATTTACTTGGATAAAGAATCTATCAAGCTTGCCAATATGATTATCGAAAACAAAGGGACAATTTCAATCAATTCATGGGACTACTTGTCGCAATTAAGACAACTACGCAGCAAGTTTCACTGTATGTCTACATGCACCCATTTACTCTGTAAGGTTTAAAGGGATTTTATATAATTGTGGAGAAATGTTGCTAGTCATTAATTTCAAATTCAGATCTTGTGTTTACTGTTTATACTTCCAATCCTCTATCTTGTTATATACTTGTACATAACCTTTATTAGATGCAATATAGATAGATTGTAACAGAAACTACTTGATTGTACGTAATCGAGTATTGTAGTTGTTATCTTACCAAACACGTCATCGCCTTTTGGAAGAATTAAAAACCGCTCTTTTTCAAAAAAAAAAACCGCCCTTTGAGTGTTGGAACGACTGTACATGAAAACCCGCCAAAAAAGTTTGCTTCTCACATCATGTGTTCAGGAGTTTTCGGTAACACAAGCATACTTACATAAATCAAACTTTAAAACAGCGGTTCCTGCATGTACAGTCATGGTTTCAGCAAGATGTCCCCTAAACAATAATGTGATTCCCAGATTCAAGCTGGACTTAATGGTGCATGCTCTCACCCTATTAAGAAGCTAAAACTAAAATGTGAGTAACCATATATGAAATTTATTCTGCCTATTCTAATAGAGTGATTCAAGCCTTATTGGTTTTTTTCCTTTTCGTTTTTATATATGAAAGAAATACAATGTTTTAGCTTCAACTTTATACTTTATACAAATTTTATTGGACAATATATATATTTAATTTAGATAATTTTGAATTACTTTAGGATGAAATGGTATAATATTCTTGGACGATTTATTGAATAAATAATTGGAGACATTATTTTGAAGGTCAGTGGACATTTTTCAATTGATAGTGGCATTACGTTAAACTACTACGAGACTTATTGAGTATTTTAGTGTGACACAGGTCTTATGAGCAATAGATATAGGATTGTGGTTTACGAGACTTTATTTATGGACCATATGAATTGAACTACGCGTTAAACTGATCCCAGGCACGTTCTTCCGCCATGTTGATAACGGTTGTTGTTGTCAATCGTAATAAAAAATAGATGCTGTCAAACTCAAAGATAAGTCCTTCCGTAAGTAACACATGATCGCGCTGCCACAAATAGGTTATAGTAGTAATCCTCAGATTATGTTTTGTATGACTAGTAAACATCGAGTGCAAGGATTGCAAAACACTCGGACATTTCAACAAGGCATACCATGAATGCAAGTTTTACAAAGCAGTTTCTGCGGCTGATGGTAAGTATCATGCTCTCACTGCAAGACAAGTTTATGTTTGCTTAACGGAAATTTAGTTGGAAGTAGCGGTAAGAAACGTAAGCAATCAGCTACAATCAAGGAAGAAAAGAAGCAAGCAAAGAGAAAGAAGAAGCAAACAACTGGAGATATCAAGTGCATCAGTTGTGACTTATAGGGTCATTCTACTTTTCGTTCCCTCGAATGGAAAAGTTGCCAAAGGTTATACAGCCCAACTCGGACAATTCTGCAAAATCTTCAACTTTAAAAAGTTTGGCTTTAAGAGAAGAACTTCTTCAGCAAAACTATCCCTAATAGTAGACACACCCCTATTTTTGCTTGTGGCATAGTCTAACCGCTTTGAAGGAGAGTTCTGATGTAATGTTTCGACACATGGTTAGGTCGGACGGTTTTACTATCTTGTTCAGCCGCAAAAAGAAAACAAAAGAAGACTTGGCCATTCATAATCACACCTTGACTTTGGAAGATTTTATTTATGACGAAGTACAAGACGATTACCCGCTTTTCTTGATCCAGGGCGAAGATCTGTCTTCACAGCGGCAATCGGACTAGACCGTAACAAACATCAAGTACGCAGCTGCTCTACCAAGGAATATTATCATATGACCGGCAGTATCAGATACGCTGCTAACAACATGTTGGCAATTAGCGTTTCGATCTGGAAGTCAACGGGAAGACCTGCGGAGTTTTCTAGAAAACCAAAATCACCCGCAACAACCACTTAACACCATCCTCTAATCGCCAGCACGAAGCTGGTTTGATTTTTACAGGTAAGCGTCTCAATTTTTGTGTAGTTTGATCTTGAAACTTTAACTTAATGATCTCAAAAATTTACTTTTTTTTGGCTAGTTATATTGCGGCTTCGTCTAAACCCAAAGCTAAAAAACTGTTCATTCAGAATTTTCATGCATTTGGCAATCCGAATTCAACTCACAGAGGAGGCTTAATTATGTGACGTCTTTTCTTCAGTTATTTGAAAGGTTCCCTTTAGAGCTCAAGAACCAATTTCGATACTCCAAACAAGGAAAATTAACCATCTTTTTTGTTCAACTTTTAAGTTTTCTTCTTGTCTCATCGTTCCTTTCCTACCAATGCCACATGTCAATAAAAAAGTAAAAACAGCAGCAGAAAAGGAGCTTGATAATTTCTTGTTTGCTGATGTTGATGCCAACATTTGGGATAAAACTGGTCGCGAATTGAATCCCGAGTCAAAATCTGAAGCTACCGACACTGATGAAGAAGCAGAAGAAGAGAAGACAAAAGATGTAACTAAGCTTGTTTTTTGTTAAGAGAAAAAGCGTAGATGAATTCTATTTATTCATTCAAATTCGTCTTCTACTGCTACTATTATAGACTTTTTTCTTGGATTCCGGCCCAGTATCATTTACTCTAGATGCACCAGTATACGGTAGTGAGGATTCAGACGAGGAAATTGACTACGAGGCAGAACAAGAGACAGAGCAGCAACAAGTCGAAAGTAGCGATGAAGAAAGCAGCAGTAGTGAAGACGAAAGTAGCGATGAATATAAAGATAGCTATGCTGCCTGGGAAGACGAAGACGATAAGAATATTAAAATTTCACTGACTTCGGCAAATATAACCAAAAAATTGCGAAACACAGTAGACGAAGATGTAGTAGATGGTGTTGAATATACCAGAAGATTGCGCAGACAGTAAGTTGATATTGCTTGCGATAGAGAGGGAAAAAATGGGATGATGTGTTCATGCTTTCAAAATTCTAGATTCAATAAAATCTACCCTAAACCTGAATGGGCTCGACTTCCATCCGAAATAAAAGCAGAAAAGAGGAAACGCACATCATCAGATAGCTCAGATGAAGATGAAGAAGATGGCGTTACAATGGATCAAGATCAGTTGGACGAAGAGACGAGATTAGATTTGCTTAAGAGCACGATGGGCATATTAGATAAGCGGGCGCATAAAAAGAGTATTCCACCTAATAAAATTGACATAATGCGTGTAAAAAATGCGAATCGTGCAGTACCGAAACCGAAGGTAAAGAATTTTTCTGTTAAAACGAACTAGAGAGAGAAACACTCATTTTTAACCTATTGATTTCATTATTACCACTAATACAGAGGGTTATCACATCAGTTGCATTTCATCCCAATGCTCAAGTCATGTTAACAGCATCTCTCGATAAAACACTCACACTTTTCCAAATTGACGGCAAAATCAACCCAAAAATCCAATCTGTCAGATTTAACGATTTACCTATTTTTCACGCTGAATTTCACCCTTCTGGAGATCAAATCGTTGTGAGTGGTAGACGATCTTATTTCTATATTTATGACATTCAGTCAGGCGTTATCGACAAATGCCCTGGCATTTGGGGTAAAGAAGAAAAATCCCTAGAAAATTTTTCTATCAGCCCTTGTGGAAGATACATTGCATTTTTGGGCACAAGCGGTACCATCATCATTGTCAGTTATGTGACAAAGAAATGGTATTGTGATTTGAAAATGAACGGTACAGTCAGCTCGGTGAGCTGGTCTTCTGATGGAACCTTTGTCTTTGGATTTGGAAGTACAGGAGAAGTTTATCAATTTGATGTCCAGAATAAGGAATGCGTTAAGCGTTGGCAGGATGAAGGTTGTATTGGTGCTTCCATTATCAGTGTCAGTCCCAACGAAAAATACTATGCTACTGGGTAAGGATTTTCTTCTTTGACAAAAATGAATATCATCTTACGAGAAATGCCTACTCATGTTTTGTTTGATTTGTAAAAAAAAACCAGCTCCTCCACTGGTATAGTGAATTTGTATGATCGCTCTGTTTTAGATCCAGAATTGAACAAACCCAAGCCTATCAAAGCGATAGGCAATCTTACGACCAGAATCAACAATATCAAATTCAATCATGATTCACAATTAATGGTTATTACAAGTCAACAAAAGAAAGATCAACTTAGGATAATTCATGTCCCTACAGGAACAGCTTATGCTAATTGGCCCACAGATAGAACACCTCTTCATAACGTTGTTCAAGTAGCGTTTTCACCAAACAGTGATTATCTAGCAATTGCGAATGCAAGAGGTAAAGTTTTACTATATGCTTTGAAGCATTATGCTTTAGCGTAAGCTATATTGATATAAGGAAGGGGTCCCTTTCTGTACTATATTCAACATTGTCCGTTTTGTTTTTTTCATTCAACTTGTATTTAATCCTTTTTCTTTTCTCTTTACTAAACGGTAACACTTTGACCGTTGACAATAAATACCTCAACCTTACCCTGTTGTTTTGTTGCAATATATACAGTTGAAACGGGAAAGACATTTTTTCTCCATAGCCAACGCCTTCTAATAGTTAATGACCATCGGAAGTTTGGTTACACGAAAATGTTTGAATATGTTTCAAGCCATGCTTTTAGCTTTTGTTGATCTTCCTTTTTACTACTTTTTCGTTATACCATGGCGATAGAATCTCAAATACCAAATTTTCAGACATGAACAATAATAAAAACCGCAAAAACGTAGAAAGCATCGTGGAAATCACCCTTTTTTTAGCTTTCCTTCCAGCACTTCTAGGATACTATTTAAATTACAATGGAAGGATCTTCTGGAGTCTACTATGCTACTTGATATCAGTTGCCATATTGATTACGCCAGTCGTATTTTACGCCATTTATAGATGTATCATGTATTGTATACCGACCATTGGAAAAATACTTATACACTTCAATAGACGGCTATTACCCATCGTACGCTTTTTATCGCGCACTAAGGTCATCGGACCTCTGATCAGCTTGTGCATTCGGTTTCAATTCTTTTGTTGGTTTATGGTCTTACTCATGGGTGATCAAGTAATTCGTATAGTGTTAGGTCGATTTGCTGGACAACATATAACTAAACGTTATCTATGTAAGATTCGCTCTGATAAATGTGGCAAGCATACGATTCAGGGCTTTTCATCATTGACTTAGTCTTTGACTTCTTTTTAAATTCGTCGCCACTACAAATCAACAGCGCTAATCAACATTGTTGATCCACATTTTTTCAATTTGGAAAAGGAAAAGGCTTTGGAAGAAAAGGAGGAAAGAAAATTCAGCAAACTCGAAGATCATTCTTATGGCTCTAGTAACCCTGATTTCAAGCGACCACAATATTCATTGGCTATTGCTCATACATTAGCAGTAGCAAGTAAATTAGTTTATGAAGATGTAACAGTGGTCAAATACGAGTTGGCCTTAGCAGGGTACGATGTTGAGCATTCCTTTAAGGCTATGGGCTATAAGGTAACGTTAAAAAATATGTTAGTGCATGAACAGCGACGGATACTTTAAAGCTAAACTTGGTTCAATGTCCTGTAAGAATTCAATAGAATGTTTGTGCTTATGTCGTCGAAAAAGATAATGATGTCATCTTAGTTTTTAGAGGGTAGTACTAACGTTGTAGCAAGCAAATTACCATTGCCTAAGACTAAATGCAATCTTACGTAGTACCAATCCACTCAACATCCAAAATTATGTCACCAACATTGATGCTGGCCTCACAAAAGTCGAATCAGCAAAGGGGGATTATATGGGCCGAGTGCATAAAGGATTCTGGGATGCAATGGGCACAACAATAGAACCGCCCGATAAGGCATTGGAAACTTCAACAAGCAGCGGTTCCATCATCAAAATCGATTTGAGTCATGCGTCCTTATTGAAATCTGTATCAACAGCTGTTATTGGTATATTACGCGTTATGAAGGCACTTACGTTCAACGTGTTTACTAATGTGATCGACCCTATTGATTCAAGCTGGGCTGGCCATAACGCTTTAATTGTTCGTCATCAAAGTATGTACTCTCAAGCTGAAAAGTTTATACTGGACATCTTCTCGAAGAAGGATATTGTATCTGATAGGACAAAGGAAAAGCGCTTACTCATTACTGGACATTCTTTAGGAGGCGCGCTTGCAACAGGTCAGTCAAGAAAGTAAAACAGCTATGGTAAGCTAGTTCGAATTCGTCAGATTAAATTTTTTGTTCGTTTCTCGAAACAAACGTAGTTTTTTTGGCCAAAATGATACAGAAAGATAGTCCACTATTAAGGAATTTTGCTGGATTATATACTTACGGCCAACCTAACATTGGAGACAGGCATTTCAGTAGATCTTTCAGTTCAGACATCACCTGCAAAATCTTTAATCACACATATAACAATGGTAAATCATTTGCTTTTCAAGTAGCGCTATAACTCTTCCACACATGCTCATATGACCTTGTACACAAAAATAGATATCATACCTAGAATTCCTCCATGGTATAGTCCACCGCCTGGGACACTCGTCTTTCTTGATTCAACCTACAAGATTTCAATTTACCCTCCTAACCAAATCACTCAGGAGCCTGTGCGTGTCCGAAAGATTTCCTTCTTACATTTATCGGGTTTATTGAACAAAAATATCATTTGCCGACTTAAAACAGAAACACCTTTACGTGTCGTTTTCCGTATCCTTTTGCCCTTTATTCTGAATGATCACTTCCCCTCTGATTACTGCCGAGCTTTATTATCTGGTAATGTAGAATGGATCATTGTCGGCGAGAAGGAGGGGGGCTATGTGAATGAAGAAGAAGAACAACAGTTTAGTGACGAGGACCTCCAACAAAAGCATCTACAAAAGCATGGACCCTCAAAATTAGCAACAACAATGAAATAATATACAGTAACCCGAAAAGCTCATGAAAAATATATAGAATCTGAATTTATTTTTTCTGTCAAATTATACGTATATTTGTACTTGAGGATCGCAAAAGTCCTAGACTACAGTAAATAAGCTCAATTGAATGGAACAGATAATTTTGGAACGTTGTATTGATGATTGGTTGACAAATGATCATTCAATGATCGGCACTCTTTTTTTTTTATTAGATCAATTCAATATTATAGTTTTGATGTTGTTTAGATTTAGAATAAAGCTGATACCCCCGCCTCCATTGGCAAAGAGCTCACTTGTGCAATTGTGTAAGTTCATTTAGGCATTAAGTATAATTCAAACATTACCATTTTTTTCGAGAATTTGACTCAATGACGGAAATAAAGACTGGGACAACAATCGGTTTCTGTAGTTGGTGCTGTGGATCGTTTTTCAAGACATCAGCAGTACTATTATTTTGTGCTGTTTCTCGCAAAACACCACGCGGATAATATGGTGTAAAAACTAGTGCAAAGTCGTAACGCGAAGGAGGGTATCGAGCAAAAAAATGATAGTTGGGTACTCGCCATGAGATTGTTCTGTGAATGATATATGTTCCTCCTGTTTTCATACTTAATCCTTTGGCAATCTCAAATGAAAGAGAGTTTAATCTGTTGGTTTGCTCTGTCCAAGAAAATTCAATTTGTAATGAGCTTGGTAAATATGTATTTGACTCTATTAGTATTGAACAATGATAGAAAGCGTAATGTAAGAATATTAAAGCATGATTAAGCATATCTATTTTCGAGCAATAAAATACACACTTTTTTCACTCGTTTGTCGCTGTTCTGCCGCTATTCCAGTGAATGTATACGATATATTCAAGAGTTGTTGGCTGCTAATCACATCGTTCAATTTAGGAGAATTGACGGAAATGTAATCTTTACAGGTGGTAAAACTGCTATTTGTTAATATAAAGATTATAACAAAGGGCAAGTTGAAACGCATGATGACAAGAAGAAAGAATGCAAAGCTAGTATCTGAATCAGTAAAAAAGAGTGACTCTAAGCATTGTCAATACTCAAGATTATTTATATTTATACGTGTAAGAGCGTTATACATATTTTATGCACATCGCCTGTTTAGTTGGATGTTACCTATGTGTAACAACTCTCAACTATAGAAATGCTTACTTAGATCAGCTACGGGAACTGTACATGCTTGTAAGCGAAAAAAAAAAAGAAGTTTTGCTCAACTGCCCTTTCATTATCTATATGTTGTATTATAAAATCTCATTGTGCATATTCCTCCAATAGTTATTAGGTGGGTGGAGTCTGAAGAATTTAGCTATTTAACTCTTTTCTTTTAAACCATCCATGAAAACGATAATATAGTGAAGCAGTAATAATACACTTCTGATTGCACCTCATGTATTGCAACTTTCTGTTACACCACTCCTATTATTATTCAAAGAATAAATCCTTAATACAGCATTAACTCATAAGGACATCGATGAGTAGAAAAAAACAGGTGCTTATTGATTAGAGAATAAAGAAAAGTATATAAATGGTTTCCTCTTTGAGCACTACTTTGCAAGGAACTTCCCTTTGCAAAGTAAAGAACAGTTCATAGGAGAATAAAAAAGCTGAAGAACATACTAGCTGAAAGAAGGCGGTAAAAGCTTCATACGGGTATAGAAAAGTCATAAATAATTTCTACATGCATGAGGCTTACTTTTGTGGAGCAATGCCAAACTAATTCATTAGTGCTCAAAAAAAAAAAAAAAAAAAAAAAAAAAAGAGGTTAGACAGATGTGAGCAGGGTGGTTTAAAATAAAAAAGAGTTGAATGCTTAATGTCCACTAATTTATAGCTTACATTATCATTCTCAAATACTTCATGAAAGTAATACAATTTAATTGAGGAAGAAGCGAAGAGAAAACGAGACCATCGGCTCGTCAATAAGCTCAAGATGTACAAGAGGTCGTTACTGAGAAATATACTCAATAAGTCAACAGGTATTAAGTCAATAAATACTTGTATTAATGATGAAAGGTTATATAATTTACAGTGTAGATAAGATAGATATAGATATAGTTCAAGATCTTGCAGGATTAAACATTAGTTGTTGCTGTCACTGCCTTTTTCCTTGGCTGGAATAGGAGGAGTGCAATCACTGCGCTTCGTTGGCGGTAACGGTGGTTTTTTGGTGGTATCGTTATATGTTTCAATGTGGCAGTAAGAAGAATTATTTGGATTGTCGGATGGAATAAATGGCGTTATCTCTGGCGTATTCGATGATGGCTGACCAGGCTTTCTATGAGTTGCTTTAACCGTGCTGGTGGACCTTGTAATTTTCGATTGTCCTCTTGCTGCATTCTTTAAATTTATATAAGTAATAGCATCATCTTTGAGTACAGATCCCATACCCACTAGATCAGCTAATGTAAGGCCAGTTTCAGAATCTTCAATACTAGTGTCAGCCCCATTTTGCAAAAGTAGTTCTGCCATGGGAAACACAATTATCTTCCTCAATGCTGCAGCTGTTGAAAGATGACTACAATGTTCACGGGTAGGAAAAGAAGTCGACAACGTTGTTTTATAGTCTGCTTCATCGTCAGTAGTTGATGTAATACTACTGACATCACCTGAAGTACTACAGCTACAACTTCCTAATGTAATTGACGAAGATTTGTCTGTAGAAGGTACTGTTGGATCATCGATGACTCTTCCATGTAATAGAGCGTAATGAAGGGCGTAACGAACAGTGTAATGATTGTTATCCTTTTGCTCATTTTCCTCCAACTGTTTTTTTAGCACTGATTCATCATCAAAATCAAATAAAAATGGCATAAACCTAGAAACTGAAGAACGATGAGTTGATTTTTCGTCAAAATTCGTCTCTTCAGCTGTAAGTAATGAAATACGACGAGGTTTCAGTCTTCGAGGTCGTGTTGAATTGACGTTTGCACCATTGGCTAATGCCTGAAGTGCTTTTGGTAAATCGTCTTGGTCGATAGCTTCAAAAAGCAATTGATTAGCAACATCTATTATAGTCTCGTCGCCACGAGGAACGAGCTTTTTCACAAAGGCCCGGTCGACATATTTATTTTTGATATATTCGATTTTCGATTGTCGCGAGTCTTCAGGTTTTGGTTTATGAGTGTTTGTAATACTTTCCCAAACACTATCAGAACATGCATTGCCGATAGATTTTAAGAGTTCAATAATATCTGGTGTGAATGAATTGCTGTCCAGTGTGAGTGATCTTATTTTTGAAACGTGCGTTCCTAAGCTTCGGTGAATACCAGAACATTCTATCAAGTTAACATATCATTCTATGTTAGCCCACACGTTTTGTTTGTAGTTATTAAGGTTGTTTAATATTTTTACCTATGCACAATAAGCAACCTAGGTTAAGAGAACACCATTCAGGATTCTTGGCTCCACAATCAGCACATGCAAGGTTTGAAGGATTTTGTCTCAAACTTTCCAATAGATACTTATTTGACTTGACGTCTGTTTCGGATGTTGAAGAGATACAGTTTTCAGCAAGGAATTGTTGCTGGCGATGTTTATTGGACTTATCATTATGGCCGAAACTGAAGACAGACCATCTACCCGTACGCTGATCATTCGAACTACTGCTTAAAGAGCCTAGCGTATCTGTACCGCTGATATTTCCACCTTCCATCGACGTTGAAGTGTTTGCTCCAAACGTTGCTGACATATTGCCTACAGATCGTCTCTTTTGCTGTCCCTTCAAGGATGGCATCGTTGAATTATTGGAAGCAGTAGAGCCGTGAGTATTGTGATTATCAATGTTGCTATGAAAACTATGTAATGCGTTACTATTCGTTACTGCTGCGAAACCATTTCTGAACGCATCGCTAAGGGTTTTTCTATGTCGCTTAGATGCCATCGAAGATGTTGTATGTGTACTATCCTTTAATTGATTCATTTCTTTCAGATTGGATAAAGATTCACTTGTGCCATTTAATATACCCTCGATTGAATTGTGTATAGTCCTGATCCAACTTTGGGCCTCTTCTTCTGATGTCGCTTGATAAATTCTTCTAATCTGTGGTGTAATAACCTCAAAACAAAATCGACGGTCTGAATTACGTGCTTCGCGTACTGTCGCAAAGCTCAAATTGATAGGTTCGATATGTGGTTCGAGTTGTTTCTTCCAGTTAGAATACTCATGTAATTGTCCGCCGCTCAAAACACACCAATACCTTTAAAAAGAAGACGATATTAAGGATGTATGGTTCTGCATTAATCATATGATAAAAACTTACTTATGCCACATGACTGAAGAAGCTGAAACATCAAATCCACCATTGCTTTTTGCAGGCTTCGAAGTCGCAAATAGAAAGCCTTCTTTCTTACGACCTTTTACGGAATCTTCATCTATATTATTTGTATTATAATGCTGATGGTCCAAGTCCCTTATTCCTTTAAATTTATTACTGCCATCATCTTCCACTATAGCTGTTTTCTCATTCTCCAACTGCTTCTGGTTAACTAATGAAGAAGGCTGGGAAACGGTTGGCTGATCGATCAAGACTGCGTGTGCTGCCTTTTCTTGAATTTCTCTCCTTCTAGCTTTTCTATTGCCATCTATCACTTCTTGTTCCTGAGTGTTCAGTGAAATGAGATTCAACAAACTATCCAAGCCATGCTTCTCGCTTTTATATTTATTGAGTATTTTCTCAAAGTAATCTACTTCACAAATTGTCTGTTTTGTGATGCAAAATAAGATTTCGTTTTCTTTTTTTCCGCCATGAAGATCCAACAGAAAATTAAGGTAGTCAAACCGGGCAAGATCAAATCGGTTCTTCTTTTGATGCTGCAAGTGTTCATCATAGAGCTGTAGTTTCTTTTTTTGCTGCTTCAAATACTTAGCAAGCGAATTGTAGTAATCTTTACTTTCATCTTCAAATTGACGCTTTTTGGCATCAGCAATTTTGATATCCTTCTCGTATAGACAATGTAAAGGCTTGAGCAACTGGTTAACAAAGCTTTGATCAAGCCGTGTATATTCCTCTTGTCGAATTTGCCAGATTTGATTTAAGAAATGGCTCATCAAAGGCTCAACACAGTTGGTATCTCGTAGACTGCTGATATAAGTTTCATCGGCTTTGAATAGCTGACGGCGAGTGTCGAGTACATTGTGGGCTGCTTTAATAATACGTTTAACAGAAGATTTGAGAGAACTGGTGCGTTCCTCTAGCTGCTTAATGGTGGCTCTGAAGAGCGGTCCATCCTCGAGATAAGCATTTTCCATGAGGGAAGGTTTGGAAGATATAGTGGTAGGCAGTTGAGGTGTATCTTCGTCTATCGTGGCCATCACCTCAGGACTGTGGGACATAGCTGGAATGCTTACAATAATTTTGTTAAGTTATTTTATCGAGCAATTTGCTATGGGGAAAAATGTGTTGAAAATGCGTATACGAAGAAAGAAGAGAGAGAGATGAAAAGCATTAATTTGTTGGTACTACTCATTTCGAAACATTTTCCTCTTTTCGGAACAAACACAGTGTTCATTGTCTGCATGAATAAGGCGCGGTTATATCTCAAACCAAAGAAAATCAAAAAAATCACCTTCTCATTTAAACAAATTCAAAAAGAGTTTAATGATAAACAAAGCGTAATGGTTTGCATATACATACATATAGAACAGAAGATAAGTGAATCTGAGCAGCAGCAATCCAGAAATATTTGCATAACGCTACGATTGAATGTCAATTATTAAAAGAAGAAATGACATTGGTTTGAATCACTGAAGATCAATGATTAGTGTTGTACAACTGCAACATGCACATTTTGCTAGGTTTTATTCCTAATATTAGAGAAGACTTAACTTGACACTTTCTAAAATCATTAAATAGTAGAGACGGAACAATTTGTCTGGCCTGTCCAATGTGAAAGAACGCGACCAAATCAAAAAAAAAAAAAAAGGCTGAGTATTAAATTCTGCTAGCTTGCTTTTTTCTTTTCACAATTCCCAAATTGCATGCAAACCTACCAGGAAAATTATTTTTTTTTTTTTTTTCTTTTCCTCAGTTTTGTTTGTTCTTGAAGATTCGTTTTATAGCTTGTGAAGGGATCTGCAGAATCAGTATATATTAGATCATGACCGATGCTATCCGAAAGAGATCCTTTGACGATGCTAACGATACAGAACTGTAAGTTCGTTTTTTCCTTTGTTTTCATTTAAAATGAAAGAATCTAACAACGACAAAAAAAGAAACGAAGTTAATACTCTTGAATCAGCACAAAATGAACCAACACCGTCTATTATTATGAGTGCTTCAGAGAAAAAATGGTGTAAACAAACAATCAGAGCATTGAGAAGGAACAAGTATGCTGTTGCCTTCAACCAGCCTGTTGATCCTGTATTTTACAATATTCCTGATTACTTCGACATCATTAAGAGACCAATGGATTTGGGAACAGTCGAAAAAAAGCTATCAGCAGGCAAATATGTCACAATGGATCAATTTAAAGAAGATATTGAGCTTGTCTTTGACAATTGTTATCTATACAACAACCCTGGAGATCCCGTAACGCAAGATGCCAAGAGACTAGAAGAACAATACCACAAGCATGTAAAAAAAGAGCCTACGAGACTCACACCAGCCATGACAACAAATGGAAAAGTTGAGCCAACAGTAACTTCAACCTCCACAGTTTCATCCAATGCTACAATAACAAGTAACGACAATACGGTAAATACAATAAGCTTGCGTTATTTACATGCTTTACAGCTCGCATTCTTAGTGCTACCTTTATCTTATTCATTTTCGTTTTATTGTCTTAGGTTAATCCGCAGAAAACAGATACTATATATCCATCACAGCCACAGCAATCAACACCTCCTGATACAGTAATGACAAATACAACGACATCTTCACCTGTGCCTACTTCTGCCAAACCACTACAAGTGAAATTATCATTACGAGCAAATAATAAAGAGTCCCCATTATCCAGCCAAAAGAGTATTAACGAACAGCAGCAGCGAAAGATGCCTGATGATCAATATAAACGGTGTGAAGCTATAGTAAAAGAATTGAAAAAGCCTAGGCATCAGCATTACAACTGGCCCTTCCGAGAACCTGTCAATACCGAGATCACACAGGCTACTGATTATTACGATGTTATAAAAAATCCCATGGACATGTCAACCTACGAGAAAAAACTTTACGACAATCAATATACACATCAAGATGAATTAATTGCAGACATTCGTTTGATGTTTCAAAACTGTTATGCTTACAATCCACCGGGTCATTTAGTTCACAAACTAGGAAAGGAATTTGAGGTTAACTTTGAGAAACAGTGGAAGAAGTTACTAGCACGGACATCAGGGGATGGTCAAAAAGGGACGTCAAATTCTTCCTCAGTATCAACGAAAAATGTGAAGAAGAGGAAAACATCAGGTATGATCATTATACACTGATTGTTTTGCGGGTAGAAAGAGTTTATATTTATGCTTATTCTTCTATACCACAGATATAGATACCGAATATATTCCCTCGGCGGCTGACGAAGGATCACCGTCAGCACATCAACTACTACCAACAAATAAACATAAACCTCATACTACAGCCAAAACGATAGATGATAGTCTATCAGATGCACTTAATTCGAATAATAATTCATCCGCTATAGCAACGACCGATAATGCCACTGTAATAACGAGCACCTCCAGTGATACAGCAACAAGTGAAAATAAGGAAGCGATAAGTCGTCCTATATTACGACTCAAATTATCTGTTAAACCCAAGGATGATAAAAAAGAAGAGGATAAACCAAACCCAGCAGCAAAGGCATCCGGTCTAGCCTTGAGTAAAGAACTTCCAAACCCCAAATTAGCTATCAACAATGTACCACCTGCTGCAAATGAGAAAAGGGCAGATGTGAAAAAAGCCTCAAATTTGAATGGTAATAGAAGAACTGCTCTTGCTATTTCAAAACCACAATCATCACAAGTAGCCACCGCAATCAAGAAAGCATCTTCACCACCAACTGCGCCCCCACCCAAACCAAAAGAACCTGCATTACCCGCATTTGACATCAATGCAGTATATAATCAAATCCATAACGAAAAAAAATTGAAGGAGCAACAGGTACAATAGTAGACGTTTTCTGATTACTGATTTACATTTTGATGTAACATTGCCTGTTATTTCCCTGTTATTGTAGAAACGTGAAGAACAAGAAAAATGGGAACGTAATGAAAGAATTAGATTGGAGAAAGAACGGATCGCAAGTGAAGAAAGAATGAAACAGTTGAGGGAATTCAATCAACACTTACAAGCCAAACGACAACAAGATAAGGTTAAGAGATTAAATGCATTGGTAAAGTAGTAGTTTGGACAGTCTTATAGCCAAAAAGTAAAGCAAGCTTATTTAACACTGTTACATTTTTCTCGAACAACTGGATTATAGAATACTCGAACCATCAATATCAGTAATCAAAAAGTGACACTAACTAAATTTGAGCATACGATCATGATGAGAGACAAAGATTGGCATGATATGTGCGACTGGCAAAAACAGACTATTGATTACCGTCATATACCTACACCAGGATTTGTAAAAAGGGCCCCCTTAAAAGTCTCCGAAATCCGTGCTCGACTTTTGAGTAAACAAGGACGCTTACGGTCTCAAACGAGTAGTCAGGCTGATAGTTTGATAGAAGATGATGGAGGCTCCGATATGGACATTGACTAGATTTAAAAGAGAAAGGACTCATAAGGGTTTATACAACAATAAACATGCTATGACACCATTGACATTTGGTCCGTTTATGGACCTTTCATTAATTAGTTAAAGCCTGAATTATATTAAAGTGAAACAGGTTTAAACATTTTTCCCAATTCTATCAAACAAAAATCAAGGGGCAGATCAGGAAGTACCAACTTTATTTGAATAATACTAATTCAGACAATCTCGTTCAAACTCATCAACTCCATAAAAGCGTGTCCTCTGAGTATCATAAGCGATAAAGTAAGGTCCAAAAAGGAAAATGAACAAGAATTTGCTTGTGGCTGGTAGCCACATGTTTGAGAGAATATAATAATATGAGGAGTGAATGGTCTTCCTTCGTGAAACGTCTTCCTTGTGTCATTTCCTCCTATACAAAGGAATATGTACATAGGAAAGGTGGGTCAACTAAGTTAGCAAAAAAAAAAAAGAGCTGTAAATAGTTTATGTTTATCCCAAACATGCCCAAACAGGCTCCGATCATCCTCTGTCTGTAGCAATAAAGTTTCCAGCACAATCCAAAATTATCAGGTACAGAAGGTTTCTATAACTATCAAGTGTATTCAAGCAGTAACCATTGAACCCTGCTGCATTCAGCTTGATGAGCCCATAAAACGGTAGTTATTATGTAACTTTATTGCTACTTCATGCACTCGTTCTTTTGGGTTGCCTAGAATAGTAGTAAGTATAAATAAAGAACGGTTCATGTGGGATGTGTAGCTCCGTTTGCAGATTTAAAACTTAAATAAGTGCTAAAACTGTCCTGCTTTTGAGTGATCAGCAATCTAAACAATAGGATTTTGTTCCTTTTTATGACCGCTCTCTTTCACTGTCTGCAAATAACCCACTTCTTTCTCTTCTTTTTTATTGCTCTTTCTTCTCTCACATTGTAAATTTGTAATTATAGACAAAACTTATAGAATCTGTGCATATAAAATTCATTCTCATGGCATTCTCTTTCGTACTATCTTTTGCGTTCTACTTCTATTCATGTACTACTATCAATTGCTTAGTTGAGGCAGCTTCTATAACTCCAACCTATAAATCTTGTAAGTGAAAAGATAGTGAAAATGTCTCAATTAGTTTTTGAATAACAAGATCAATTACTCTCTATACAAACAATAACATCATAATAGCATGCGTATTTTTAGACAACAAAGTGTATTGCTATTCAGGTGGCTACGTGCCGTTAGGTGACATACGAGCGAAAAGAGCTCTCGACGAGCATCACTATCTCGATTTAACACAGAATTTAGTTCTTGATGAGATATCTACAAAATGGACCACAATACAAAATAATCCTGCAGACTATATTACAGAACCAGTGATGGCTGCAACTATTAATACTATATCTGACACACAGTATCTATTTGATGGTGGATTCACTAATGCTCCCAATGTGACAAATATAACTCGCATATTTGATCTAGAGACAAATCACTGGTCGACGGTTGATAACAGCCAGCGTGAATTATTTAATAACAGCGCAATGTAAGCCTTTGCTTGTATATACCCTCAAAAAATGTACGGGGAAGAGCGAGCATGCATTTTGCATTTGCCTATTACTGATGCATCTTCTATCCACTTACACGTATATCATAAAGCTACATGGGAACAGCCGTCAAAGTGCCTAACCAAAAACGCATATACTTTTGGGGAGGTTTAAGGTATAGCATATGTCTACCTAGTGTAAAAGGATTATTATTACAGACTAACCATAAGTAAATTTCTATCAGTGGGCAGTACCCAGGCGCTCAGGTTACCGCAAGTACTATGTTAGATTACAGCAAGGTATTTTAACTTCACGTTTTTTTTTTTAAAGATGTATCATTGCTGTCTTGTACATGAAGTTCTTGGATACTAAAATCACGATCACAGAATTTTCAATGGGGAAACGTTTCCGAACCTTTACCCCCAGGCATTTTGCCACGTTTTGGACACACAGCTACATTGTCTCGTGACGGAACCTATATATTCTATATAGGAGGAAGAATTAGAACCGCAAACGCAACTGACGCTTCCAATAAAAACATTACAAACAGCATTTCTCGTACTGTGCGAATCGTACCTTATTATCAACTCGTGTCGATGAATGATATTCTTATTTATAACACAATCAAAGGAACCTGGTCATTACAACAGAGCCCTTCAGCTGCAACTGTTTCTTCTCGTTATATGCATACAGCAAATTTGAGTGAGTGATTTCTCTTTGAAAACAAACACAGATTGCAATACAATCGCGACTTAATCATATTGTTCATCTCTGTAGTACCCGGAACAGATAAAATTCTGATTTATGGTGGAGCGACGGATGAAGGCAACGAGAAACGTAAGTAATGCACTTTGACATAGGTGTGAACTTACCTCATTTTTAACAAAATACCTCTCAATTCGATATTGAAATAGATCCAACAGCAGTGCCAGATTATCTGTACATCTTCGATACGCAAACATTAGAGTATACAAAAATTAATGAAAACCAACCGGAATTGGGTGCAGGCCCTCGATTTGGTCACTCTGGTATGAAACGTTGCTAACTTGCGCTTTTCTCAACTCAACCACTATTAACATATAATGATAGCTGTTTTATGCAGGAACAACACATTGATTGTATTATTTGGTGTCAATGAAATGGGATTGGTAACCAATGATGTCTATTTCTTGGTACTTTCTGCGTCTGCAACCTGGGTGAAATCATTCACTTTAGCGCCCACAGCTACGCCAAGCTCTCCAGTTAGCAACGATATCAACAAAAATAACATGTTGAGTGACAAGGCTATCATAGGCATATCTATCGGTTCAGTTCTAGGGGTGAGGGCTGTACATTCTAAAATTGATAATTTTAAACAAACTCTTCTAAGCGAAACTCTATGTACATAGATTGTTCTTTCACTAAGCTGTATATTATTTACTATTCACAAATGGAGAAAAAAAAATCGAAACCCATCATTACAACAGAAACATATATCTGAAAGTAACGAAAATATAATGCGCCATCAGCAATCAACTAGCACTATGTTCGAAATCACAAACCATGACTTTCTTAACGACAGCAACAATATCAGCCATAGTAATTTACCCCAACTACACAAAGAGTATCAAAGGTACAGTACAAACTTGTTTGATAACTCTTTACAGCCGCCATTGCAATCAGCTACACCTTTTGATGATTCGATCTGTCATAGTTCGACACCAATGTCAGCTGCTCCAACAACTCCTATAATAACGACAAACATTTCAAGTACAGGTAATTTGTTGCCAATCCATTATTATTACACTGGAGACGGATTGACTACGTCTCCACCCATTATCGGAACACCAACAGTAGGAGGAGGTCAAATTGTGACGTCAACAGCTATGGCAGCGGACACGTCGTCTGAAACTGCTGCTACAGCCACTATTCATGATAGTATAATACCTCCGCGAGGATTTTTCACGGGTACTGTTAATTATGACCAAAGTAATAGTCCATTAAACAGCCCAACCAGCTCAGCGCTGGCAACCAATCATTCTGCTGTCCATAAGCCTAATCAAATAGAAAATCCGGCAGTGGATGGAGCACAAGCAGTAGTATATGATAATCTCACGGAAGAGAATCGGCAAGTTCAGCAGCAGCAGCAGCAACAACAGCAGCGGCCCTATTATCAACAACAATTGCAACAACGCGCTTCTACGTCCTCGTTAACAACCTCGGCTTCAGCACTTGTAGCTAATAGAATATTTTATCGACAGCAAGGTGGAAATACAGGTTCTTTCCGTTTGTCATCAACAGCAGTGACGGAACTCAATGACGGCATAAATAATAATGCTGGCAGTAACAGTAGACCCTCTTTACCTACAAACCTTAAACCCTCCCTTTCTAATAATAATAAAGTATAGTATCCGCAATTTTGAACATCTATGGAAGATAATATATCTCAGAGTCCGAAGTCTGAATACATTAAGAAGTGCGCGGTGCTTACATTGCTCGATGAGTATTTTGTGAAATGAAATAGTTTGTAATGTTACAGATTTATTTAAACACTTAAGAATTGTTATACAAATGTCATTTATAAATATTGCAAAGTGACATTAAATTGTTTTACCAATATCGGCCAGCATTTACTGTTTAAGGATTTTGTCATATTTCAATTGCTAATTGTGTGTGTGAGATCTATTTGGTTGTTTAAATCCAAAGGTCGTTTAAATTGTGCCTCCCATGTTGCTTCCTTCTTTTCTTATCATTGAAAGTAGTAGCCGGCTTGAACTTTCTCTTAGTTCTTCGCTTGTTGACAACGGTAGAAGAGCGTCTAGTTTTTGTCGTGCTCGTTCTTTTGTTAGAGGTTGTAGTGGTTTTCGAAACCTTATTAGTAGAGGATCTTATCTTTTTTGTACTCGATGTTACACTGACAGTGGTAGTTTTCGAAACCTGAGTAGTAGAAGATCTTGTACTTGTTTTACTTGATATTACACCGACAGTGGCAGCAATTCCTTGTCTGGTATTGACCTTCCCTGGTGTATATATACCTTCGCAATAAGAAGAATCTACCGTAGACCAGCTTGCGGGAGACGCATCGTAACTTTGATTGAACAGGTAATTGAAGGCAGGTATACTTAGCTACAAAATAGGTATATAATAAGTTAGGATAGATATGGATACCTCATTTGGTTTATTATAATAGCACTGCTATTATAAGGTTTTGCTCACTTACATCCAAACCGCTTCCACCTAAATCAACAGCTAACACGTAAATAAAAACAGAGGGTTTACGTGTGTTTACAACCTTTAAACACTGATTACAAGTGGACGAAGTATCCATTTTTTCGACAGCAGTAATTAAGGCCAGATTTAGTTGGTTATAAGGCATTCCGCAAGCAGGAGGATTGTTAGCAAGGGCTTTAGCAGCTGATGAAAGACAAACAATTGTTAAACAAGAATCCATTAAAAAACAAGATAAAGAATATGCACTTACGAAGTCCATAGTAATCTTGAGGTGTGATTACTGCCGAGCCACTCAACGAACCAGCGTTAACAACGAGAAAAGACTGTGCAATACAGAGAAGCATGCATAGCAAACGTAACTTTTGGCAGTAGTTGTTCATGAAATAGACGTGAAGTTTTTCGTATGAGATAATTCCCTCATTTTCCTCTTTATATACGTTGAGGATTTCATGATTCTCGTGTCTTTTAGCAAACGAGAAGAATTATGTTGATCCCGCTTTATTAAAAATATATTAACGATTGATAAAAATTGTAGATCTGTGCACATACGATCAGAAATAACAAGCGAAATCAATGTAATACAATAACTGATTATTCTGTATACCCAACAGACATACAATTAAGCATTGATTCATATGAAAAATAGAAAAAGGGAGGAGAAGGGTTAGGAAGTTTGATATAAATATGCGAGGAGGAATGACGAATTATATGGCATTATAAATGTACGGTTATAGAAATGGACGGGTAAGTAGAAGCAGGATATCTTTTAAATAGTTAAGAAGGGGAGGGAGAAGCAATACCGTCAGAAGCCACAGCAGGATGACTTGGCGGTGTTCGGTTCCTCTTCCAAGGGCAAATAAGTTGATGCTTTCCGTTTGGCTGACGGCATGTACTGTTTACGTTCGACAAGTGTTCGTGCTATGTGTATAAACAAATCCTCAATTTGGCCTATGTATAGTAGTGCGTCAATAGTTGAACTACCAATTTTTCTTATGAAGAATCTAAACCATTTTACCGTCATCTTCTTTGGCTGATACTTCATAGATTAATGCCTCTGGTCCTAGGGCACGTGTGATATATTTCTGCGCTTCATCATATGATACTTCCCTTCTATTCTGTGCTAAGTCTAATTTGTTAGCTGCTACTAATATAACAAGCTCTTCGGTCATATTCCGTTTTAACTCTTTTTTATGATATAGGAAAGGAGCATGTTCAGTCTGTATACTCGACTTATGTTTCGCACCAATTCTACGCAGTTTACCTTCAATCCAAGAAGATAACTCTTCAAAACTGTCTTGTGATGTGATATCATAAACCAATAAAGCTGCTTGAGCACCTCTGTAATACATAGGAGCCATTGCTCGAAATCTTTCTATATCCATAGACCCTTATCAATCAACCTTTCCTCTGTTGTTTAAGCTAATCATTTGTCCTTTGATGCTTTTACCTTGTCCAGCTGTATCCCAAATTTGCAGCCTGACCTTACAATCGTCTACTGTTCTAGGATATGCAAATTTAAAAGCAGTAAAGATGTTCGAATCAAAATTGCAATTTGTGATCGAACATTAGTCGAATAACCTACTGTTTTTTGGTCATGAAAGAAGCACCAATTGTCGACGTCGAGTTTGGCGAGAATGTCCTTTCTATATATCGTATAACAAGAGAAGTTTTACCTACACCTTTTTTTTTGTTCGTCAAATTGATGAGTTGTTAGCTGTTGAATTATAGGCTGTGTTTCAAGTTCCTGAGATGCGTTTATAGTTAATTGTTCAGCTCACCTTGACTTCCTAAGATGACTACTTTTGCTTCCAATGTTGAAGCTGAGGAGCTATACATTTATATTACTGCTACTAATATATTGTTTATTGTTTATATATAATGTTATCTAAAAGGGACAAAAAAAGGGAGAAGGGAAAAGAGAAAGGAAAAAGAGTAACGAATCATAAATTCCTAGTGTAGAAAGCTTTTTGTTATTCATCCACCTAATGAGTTTATTTCTTATTCCGATATTATGCCCTTATTGCTACAACTATACTAATATGCCTTATTCACCGCTAGGCTTGAGAGCAGTCTTGAGCTCTTTTAGTATTTGTTCGAAACTCTGAGGTTCTTGAAGCTCAAAATAATTGAGCGAGGTGTTGGTAAGCAGTGATCCGTTGAGGCTCGTTGTTACTGTAGATAATTGCTGTTGTTGTTGTTGTTGTTGCTGTTGCCGTCTCTATATATAGCATTGCATAAGAATGTCACTTCCACAAAAAAAAAAAAATGAATACCGATATAATGTATGCAAGCTTACCTTCAATTGCATGTCTATTTGTCGTTGTCGTCGTAATGCTCGTTCTTTAGCTTCATGTATTTCCGTTTGCGCTTTCTATAATAAAAAAGAGAAGCTCAATTGGTACACTCAAAACGACAGTGTACCATATAGACTTTTTAGCTTACCTCAAAAGATCCTAAGAAAGTTGCTATGATGTCAAAAAAGTCTTCGGAATCAATAGCGTTTGGATCTTCACCATAGAACAAGATCAACTCTTTCAATTTATCCTGAATATCATTTGTCATCACCTTTAAATCACTGATAATAGGCTCTGCTTCTAATGTGAATTCCTCCATCGCTTCGGCAAACCTATCAATCTGAAGTTCCGACGGTTTTCGTTTTCTGTTTACGCTAAGTTCATCTTTCACTTGAGATAAGCTGCTGCTGAGTGAATTAACGCAAGCGTTTAAAGCAGAGAAAGATACTATAAAGAACGAGAATTTCACTTTGAGTTCCCTCATACGCAGCAAAAAACGTATTTTATATTTACATCTAGCTGCTTCTTGTAAGTGTGGCATATCTTGTTTAACATTGACGACGTTGCCGTTTGACCTTGACAGGAAGTGCACCAAATAATGGAGCAAAGTAGGCACATTGCCCATTCCCTCCCCTTCTGCCTTTGTATCTCTCATCTGAGATTCATGAAAACGCTTTGGTTAAACCAACAATAACAACAGAACTTTTTAGATTCACTCAGATTACCTTCAATAATGCTTCGAGATGGAAACCACATGCATTTCCTCGAATGGTTTTGTTATTGAGATGATTGCCAATGGCCAGTACAGTCTACAGGATAATGGTCATTCAAACAGTTAGAATAAACAGTCTACTTTACATAATTAGGCAAAATTTGTTACCTTTAAAATATGCTTAAACTTCTCGCTCATTCTAAGTTCTGTAATAGCCATTTGAATGGCGTCTAACTTAGGTAATAATTCTTCCAATTCAGATCTGAAACGTCGACGGAAAATCATACAACTGACCCTGTCCGCTAGTCGCGGTATATACATGATAGACCTAAAGTAACGTTCCGCATTACCTAACATCTCAGTATCACCTTGATACTCTTTGACAATCTCAATCTCTTCCTTCGTAGGTATATATTGACGAATGGCTATCAAATTATCGATAGTCAGGCTATGGTCATCAATGTTCCAGATAGCATCACGAATTTCTGAATAAGCGTATTTTATCTTTGCCAGCATAATGGCGATATTGTTGGCTCTGTTGAATTCCAATAAAGTTACTTTGTTTTGCTTGCGTAACATTTCATTACCTGAAAAGGTAGTGATAGTTTTTGCTGCTGAAGAAGTTGCTTGGATGATGTTATTGGTAGATGCATTAGCAGCGCTTGCTGTCTTTTTGAATAAACGCTCCAGCTCAACTGTATCAAGTTGCAGATTCAACAAGTTTTGCTGACCAATTTCAGCAGAAGCAGTAGCCGTGGAAATGGAATCATCCTCATCACTACTACTGCAGTCACTGCTTTCAACGCTGCTAGTATCTGGAGTAGGTAGTCTATTTGATGATTTCAACAATTCACCCCACACGGTGTTTTCAATTTTATCAGAAGACAATTTGGACCAGAAAAATTGCTTCATAACAATATCCGTCTGTGATGGTTGTGATGAGTTGTGACTCATGGATAACAAATGTTGGTCATCGCGAATATGCACATAAGCGGGCGACATTGCCGATATAGATGATACTGGAGATTTTGGTGATGTTGGTGACAGAAGACCAGCGTTATGTGTGCTATTCTCATGAAGTGATTTCAGGTCAGGAAAGCACAGATTTAATGCTAAGGGGTGTAGATATCGAGAAGCTCGTTGAGCAGGATTATGAACTATAGGTCTTCTACGTTTCAACGTTGACTGTTGCAGACCGTCTATCTTTTCTATGCCAATGTTTAGAGTAGCTGGGGATTGTTGATAATAGCTGGGTGCCAGCGGTGGTGGAGGTGGAGGCGGTGGTGGGGGCGGTGGAGGAGTAGCATCCATGAGTTTTTGCTCAGTCTCATCGAAACAAAATGTGTTGTTACTGGGTGAGTCGTCTTTTTTCAAATTTTCTAATTGAATTATACGGTCATCTCTCTCTTTAACGTCGGCTAGTGCTTTGGATACTTTCATAAGTAAGTCGTTCTTTTCTCGTCGAATCTTGGCTGTCACTTCCTGACATTCCTGTAAATTTGCTTTAAGTTCCTCTACCATGTTTCTTAGTCCTTCCACATCTTCATCATTGCTATTATGTCCTTTCGACGGCGTTGTGATGCATGAGCTGATATCCAGTGATATGCGACGCTTTGCTTCAGTCTCTTCTTTTGATGAACTTAGTTTCCCTACAATTGGCTGCGCTGATGTAATAAATTGCTGTAAAGCAGAATGAAAGTCGTCTTTGATAGAAAAGCGCATGAATTGTCTGTATAAGCTACTATAACCGCATTCAAAGAATATGACTTTTTAACTTACCGCTTTTATGTACCGTTTTTAGGTGTTTAACAAACAAATGTACAATACTCCAAATATCGTGTACTAGCTGTTTATTGGTTGATAACTGATCTGAACCTGTAGTGATCAGTTCGCTCATGCTATCCAAAACTAGGTAATAAATTTCTATATCATTTTGATATAACTTTAAAGCAGCACCAAGAACATCATCATGTTGTCTAATAAAGTTTTCTATCAGTAATTTTTTTTTCTCAATAGTTTTCTTCGCTGCATAGATAGTGTATGACTTACAGTTGTAAAAGACTTTGTCGCTTAAAATTTTCGGCTACTCGTTGCTTTTTTTGATCCAACTGTTTGTTTTGAAAATAAATACCAATCTGTTTCTCCAAAGCACTTGAAAGATAACCTTTTTTACGCTCTAGCTTCTTTATCAGTTCTTCATATCCTCTTCTTTCAAGTTCACTACGCAGTGCCACTCGTTGTTCAACAGATTCGGGTGCCTGGACAATATGGCTGAACAGGGTGAAGGCAGAACTGAGACAATCTAGGAGGACTGTGTCATGTTGCTGTATATCATCTAAACAAGCAGAACGCCGTTTCACGTGGATTGGGGTAGTAGGTACTTCTTCAGTTGCATACTGGTGCTCTATCCAAAAATCTGCGAGATCATGTAAATATTGAAAGATACGCTCAAATCTGTATAGTTCACCTTTTACTTCAGAAAAGATAGTTTGTACAAGATCATATGCAGACGGCGAAACGGTACAAAGCGACGCAAAGATGTCAAATAGAGATGTGCATATCTTGTACAAAGTAATAGTGATGAAAGTAGTATGATTGCCTGTTGAGGAGATGGTTGTAGAAATGGCCGCTTCTTTGGTTGTAGAAGTAGTTGATTGAGACGGCGATAAGACAAAACTATTTATACTGTTCATGGAAAACGAAGGTATGAGCTGTGACCCAATGGAGGAGATAGATGATGACCGCTTGAAGATAGATGATGAATTAGCAGTAGAAGTACCGGCTGCGTTATATACGCTGATAGATGCCAATGAGGAAAGTAGAGCAAGCAGCAGTGTGTAAAGTATAGTAGGCCGCGAGAGTACTTGTTGAAGTCCAGGCTATATGGAGAAAAGGGGATGTATAGTTAGTTAGCCATCGAATCGTTTTCTTTTTTTATTATTTTGAAAATTGGAAAAGAAAGGAACGGTGGATTAGAGTTAGAAGAGGTGGAGTGGTTGTAGGTAATAAGTATGTAATGAATAAGTTCCATTAAAGAAAAAGAGGGGGTTGGGGCAGGTGGGGTCACTTACAGCCGTATTCAACAACACTCGAATGCATTTAATACATTCGAACAAGCACTGGCTATCGTTATCTGTCAATTTCAACAAGTTCTTTTTTCTAAATACAGAATAATACATTTAGATGCGAATGAAGACAGCCATTCGTCATTAGTTTTATGTAGAAAGTGCGCTTACTTTGACCTTTTATTGAGTAACTTTTCAAAAACATTTTCTAGAGCTCCAAGCCCACCATGGCGCCTCGACAAGAATTCATTGATCCAAGATACATTGCCTGTAGCCATTGTAATGCGTAAAGACTGTAGATGCTTTGTTAAGTTTTCAGAAGATACTGTTCTGTTATAAGAAAATAAAGATGAATTTACCACTGGATATTCCTAGCATACGTTTCCCCCCCCCCCGCTCTTTCTGTATTTTTATTGTTCTTACCTGCTTCGTAAACGCTCAACGTAGTAATACGGACTGTTGCGATCTTTATTCCGTTTCATGCAGTCGTCCGTCATCGTCAAAGAAGCTGTGACCAAATTAGATAACCGACCTCCATCCTTCTTTGTCAAACTCTGATATGCATAGCTGTTTGTCAACAGAGAAGTTGATGTGGATACCTCTGGAGTAACTGATTTCAAAGAGTTGTTATGGTGCGTGCTGTTATTAGACGAAGCAAAAATCTTACTGACGGCGGGACGTGATTTTATTGAGTGGGTGGTGGTGCTTATATTGTTTGTGTTAAAGCGATGAGAAAGTGTGTTATTAGCACTACCCGTATTTTTACTGTTAAGCAATAACCAGACTGCAGACTCATCCGTGGTAGCTTCTCCTGTTTTATTGGCCAATGCATCGAATTCGAGCACTATGGAACCCACTTTAGATCGATTACTTCGAACACTGGAAGATAAATTTTTTCGGGCATATTTGTAGGTGGTTGCTCGACTGTTTGTGTTCATTCTATTCAATGAAGATAGTGTTTGTTTTTTCTCCTCCTCTTCATTTAATAATATTGACTCCTTATTATCGCTCGTCTTTCTTTGTAGAATATAAGCTGATGAAGCCGGCTGTGAAATTGTAGGAGATGATATGACTGATTTTAAATCTGTTGACGGCGTATTCATTTTTGGTAAATTGGCATTGCTACTACTACTTTTTATTTCCTTATGGCTCGTCTTGGGGCTCTTTATAGCAGTAGTAGTGGTAGAAGACCGTCGACTTTTTGAAAATTTGGCGGCGTCGCTATTATTGTTTTGTTTGTTCATGGTATTTGATGAACTTGTATTCAAGGCAAGTAAAACGCGACTACTACTAGTAACACTGGTTTCACTTCGCTTTAGTGTTTTTGGTCGAGAACCTTTCTTACTGCTGAAAATAGATGAAGTTGATGTAGATAAAGGTGTGGACTTTCTTGATCCAGTAAAACTACTCGAGCTACTTTCTTTCAAATGATGATTTTGCTGTAATAAGTAAAGCTTTTGCTCTTCAGAAAGCTGCCGTAGCTTTTCGCGATTAAGATCTTTCATATTGAGTTCATCCTAATTGATAAAACATGGAAAAGAGTAAAAGACTGAACATATTATTTTTGACAATAAAGTGAGAGATGTTGCATCTTTTTTTACCAATAGTGTCTCGAATGTGTTTGTTACATCCTTTGCGTCCATTTCATTTGTTATGGTGCCTGTTGAGGAAACGGACCCTATGGATACTGTGGAGGGAGATAGACTAACAACAGAAATGTGTCTATCTTTTAGACTCATTGGGTCAGTTTTGCTATTCGTCGAGTCGCCTTCTGTTGCGGTAAATCCACCACCGCTAAACCAATTTGGCAACAAACTTTTGCCAAAGCGAGAAGATGCACTCGTAAGTAATGATGCTCGATCTTGCGATGAAGAAGAGGCGATTGTATTTGGAGCTGTAATTGTTGGTAAAAGTGATGTGTTATTGTTTATATGTTTCATGCTTGATCGCGTTACATTCGGGTCTTTTTTCTTATTGTCATTCTTCTTTAAGCTCCTTTTGGATTCTGATGATGTTGATGGTGTTGTTACTGTCTTTGTAATAACGTCACCGACTTCGTTCTTTAAGAAATCTAAACGAACCATTTAAACTTATAATAAAGACAGGATATTGTTGTGATTGGTTATATATTGCTATCAGCTTCCAGTAACGAATGTATGAATAATTCCAAATTTCATATAGTTGTTGAACAAGAATGTAATCGATTGAGTTGTATATATTATTTCAAAGGAATGAATGGGCGTAGTAAGAAGGATCGACTTGCTGTAAGAAATATTTGAGTAAAAAGATAAGGGAAAAAAAAAAAGGCCTAATCGACCATTAGTAACTTGTACATCTCTTTTAAAGCATTCGCTGCGTCCGAATACTAATTATAAGACCGTTAGCAGAAATTAAGGTTGCCTTAGGAGAAGTTTGTCTTGAGGAGTAACAACGAAACAAGCAGCGAGTGCAAATGGCTGATAAGGAGTAGTTCAGTAGTTAGACTTTATCTCCTCATTCTATTATTGACAGCGACTTTTGGAACACATCAGTCTACTGGCTACGTACGATATATTGAATTACTGTACTTCCTCTAGTACGTCTTATCTGAGCTCTAAAATGCGAATACTGCAAACCCTTGGTCCCTAAGTTGCACAAACCAAAGCCAATTTTGACAGCTCAAAAGCATAGCTGTCAACATTTACGTTTTGTTTGTTTTCGATTTGAGTTCAATGTCGGGTTGTGTGTTCAACAATGATGTCAATTGACCCAAAATAAAGTCATGTTCAGGACAATAAACGACCATGCCATTTGAAATAGTATCATTAACTTTTTGGAAATAAAAATTGAAATCGTCCAATGAAATGCCCTCATCTGAGAGGTGAGTTATTCAGACTGGAAAAAAAGAGTGCTCTCGAGATTATGTATACAGCTGATTTATCAAACTCTCTTAACACTTTTTGTCCATTTGCTTATTGGGTGTTAAGCAAAGGAAGCCAAGTTATGACTAAAACCTGAGCTTGATTGGTTCTAGTATATTCTCTTTGTCTCCTTTTGGGTAAGAAATATAAAGAAATGAACAAGACTGCCAAAAGCCCTCAGTAACACTACTTTTTCTGTCAAATGTGTCATTCTGCTCAACTCTAACTTTTGGCACTACACCTCATATGTAAGTATTACAGCATTTCTTAATTTATTTTTCTTTGTGCCTCTTCACGTACTCATAGCATATACATTTATCACATTTCATTGATCTGTCTCGAAATCGGTCTCATAGTTCATATACTCTATCAGTATATTTCATTTATGCGCGGAAGCTTTTATACAACGCTAAAAGAATAATGACAACAACTATTAATAAAGTGCTGAATCCAAGCGATAAAAACCTATTGAGCGTTCTCCATTTCTTCATCATTTTCATTTCTACGTCTTTGTCTGTCTCTTCTCCTCTACACTTGAAGGGATAAAATGAGCCTAACCACCACAAAGGCGGACATAGAAAACCAAACAAGAATAGGAATGCACCAAATGAATGTAAACTGTCTGGTGAGTGTCGCAGCCTTTCATGATAAGGTGGTTTATGGTTGCCTTGGAAAACTATATCATAATCATGCCAAGGATTATCGTCTCTAATAGAGACAAGCTTTCTTGGCTGTGAACCAGCTTCGTTATTTGATAAGGACGTCCATAAATTGACATTGGAGATTTTGCGCTGGTCGTTATTGTTATTGTTATTGTTATTGCGAGATGATGTAACTGGTGTGATTACACTAAGTCGATCTAAAAGGACCTGCGCATCTTCCTTAAAATGGTCCCCAAGATAAGTATTGAAAGCTGAATCGTTGTCTTTCGGATGTACCACAACGGAATTCGGAGGCAAATTAGTGACAAGCCTTGCTGTTTTACTCTGATTATGATGATGGGCATTTAGGTTAACTGTAGATGGTTGGCTTGTAGAGGCAGACAAGATGCTTTCTGTAAGCCTATAAGAAAAGTCTGAATTTGTTGATTTGAGAGTCATTCAACGGATGGCAGACTAAATATCTCTGAGCGCCTAGAAAGGAAGAGATAGAAGCTCAAATATATTCGGTTTTCATATGAAATTAAATACTTTATTTCAGTTACACCAATGGCATTTTCGTAATTTCATTGACCTTGAAATGTATAGTGTATAGAAAGATCATTTTTTCAAACTCAGAAGAGCTATTTATATAGCTTTGCAGTCAAAACCCATTGAAACAATGTGATAAAGTATGAAATAAGGTGTATTCGTAGAAGGCCTGTTTGAAAACTTCCAATAATTCATAACGCTTTGACCGGTGAGTAACATTGACGAAAAGCTTCTTCTATGTCGAACTGCATATCTCTTTTCATGGTATTCATCATGACAAGACTCTCTCTCGCGTTTCCTTTCCTTATTCTAAAATGATAAGTAATCCTCAATCTCAATGTTATTTATTTGTTTATTCAACGCACTGTTAGTATACGGACGATTTATTATAAATTTAACGTTTTTGTCCCATCAAAAAGAGTATATATTTTTTTTTGGTATTGTTGTTGCTGGCTGGAATCAAACTTTTTCTTTTGCATGAAGTGGGACATCACCGAATTTTATGCTGCCTTTTTCACCTTTGATTTTAAGCTCTGTTATCCGATGAAGAAAGGGGTTAGCTTCGTTCATCCGATGACTTATCGTTTGAATGCTTTAAAGAAATATGTCAGGCATTACCTGGTGCACTTCCCTCGCCTTCTCTGACTGCTTTAACGCCATTCTGCCTTAATAATGAAGCGACTTGGTCAGCTAGTTTCAGTTTCTAATTCCAAAGATAGAAAAGGAAAGAAATCTTCGTTAATAACTGACGTTCATGGCTTATTCAAAGTCAATGCCATCGCACCTCATCTAAAATGTCAACATTTGTCTCATCTTTATACTGCATAAACCGTGAATGTGTTTCTTTTCTCGCAGCTATTTTGAATGAGGTTAAATTACAACTTTCAACTGTCAAAATGTATTGGCTCCATATTGCAAAATACCTTGAATCGCCTTTAAGTCACCTAGTTACGTTAACTGACTGTTACAAGTCTTTTCCTTAAAGTTTGGACGAGCAAATTTTATTTTTCGTACCTGCAAATACTTGTTTTTGAGTCCTTAAAAGGTTGCGATAAGCAACTATAGCCGCTAATTTTGATGGAGAGATAGTAGACATAAATATGATTGTTGTAAGGCTAGAAAAGTATCCTTTAATTACGTAAAAAGATAAAGAGAGCCCCAGAATCCTTTTCATGCGTTACAGAAAATGCGGTACCGCCACTTACAATAAAAGTCGTGTGATGTGTGCGGAGTGACAAATGGATGACAAACGGTAGAGTATCCAAGATCATTCTAAGGTTGCAGGCGTATAGTCAATGGGATAACTGTTTTCCTTTCCTAAAATGCGTTGTAAAAAAGGGCAAAGTTCGATTATCCATTCACTTTAGAGCCCGTTCTATTTGTTAGCGTTCAAGGGATTATGTGAGCCATGTCAACTCGCAAAAAATACAGAGGGGGTGGGGAGGGGTAGACATCTACGAAATGTAGGGGCTTTTGAATTGGAGCACATGAAATTGAATTGGAGAAAGCCCGTGCGGTGGCACTTTGCACTGCTGCTGATCGAAAAGCAAACGACTTGATGAAGATTCAATTACTAAAAACCGAATGTGCACTTTATACAAGTTATGTTTACAAGCACTGAAACATTAGAAAAAAAAAAAAGATTATTGGTTTTTTATCTTATAGCCATAAAATGACTCTAATGATGCAAGGGAAAGAATGCCCATATTTTTAATTTATGAAATGTAGGGATGATTATTTTTTCTTTTGATTTGTTAATAACATGTTAAAGAGTATACTCTTCTTTACTATAGACATTTACACGAACTACTACAAACTTTTACCTTTCTTCCTTGCCTTTCCTTTTCCTTCTTATTTTTTTGGTATTCTAGGGTTACTGTACTCTAATCTTTCTTTTTTCACTTGACTTGAAAGCACCTGTGAACAAATGTCAAGGGCTCGAAAAGAGTCAGCGCTTCATTTGACAATACTCGTATTGCTTCAATGGACCAGCATGTCCGTTGTCATATTAAATGCAATAGCACTCTATCTTTTAAAGCACCAGTCTCGACAACCAACAGAGCAGCAACAGCAAGCATTTGTACATGGCAAAATGAGTCTTTCTGACTATGCTTTACTGATTTTGGGCTCAGTTTCATTTGTTGGTTCAACCGTCTACTTCTGTCTGTATTTGTACTTGTATATACAAATGAGGAAAACGAAACAGTCGCTTTGTCCACCTAAATGGATATCAGCCACCCAAGTCATCCTATCAGTGATATCAATTGCTCTATGGACAGTAGCATGCTCTGTTATCTTGACTCATTCACAAGGTACTTATAAAACTACATTTTTGGTAAAGCACGTTAAAGTATATATACAAACGGATGAACTCATATCGTTATAAAGAGTCTTCATCGCCTTGTAGATTTCCCAATTCACTTCAACCATACAATACCAATATCATATGTAAAGTGTTCGATACAGGATTAATACTAGGTAAAAAAGCGAATATATACTTTTTGAAAGATTGTCGAATAGAATGTAATAGTAAGCGCATTTTATTCTATTCAGCTTTTGCCGTCGTCGGTTGTTGGTTGTTGGCCCTGTTCGCCACATTATTAAATTTAATTCGGTCTCCTATACCTCCAACTACTATCTTCACCATCGAAGCGCCCCCATCTCGATTTTCTCAAGGAACACTTTTGTCAAATAGCAATTTGTACAATCGCTCATCTCTCTCGACCATAGTTGCCTCAGATAACAACAGTAACATAATGAAGCCAATCAATAGTTACACCTTACAAAGTAGCCATGCACATAGCAAAAATAAGATCATACCAGAAGACAAGTATGATGACAGTAGGAAATATATTATACACGAAGAGCTGGAGGAAGAAGAGGATTACGAAGAGCAAATTCTTGGATTAAAGCTAACCCATGACAGCAACCACTTATTGAACACATACGTCCCTCGCCATAGTAATTATTACCAACCCCAGTGTATACCGTTATCACCGACACCTTCTGATTCCATATCTTACATGTCAGCTCAGTCTACTTCTTCTTTGATTATGAAAATACCACTCAATGATACAGAGCAGAGCCTTTCTACAATGGAATCGTTAACTTCTTTACGTGATTTCAAGCCGATTCAATTTGATTTGCCTATCATCAAGTTGGGGATGCTATCCCACATTGGCGTTTCCTTCCTGGACAATCGTATAGATGACAAGAAAAATAGCGATCAGAATAAATACTAAGTGAGAATACATATACATTACTTTAAGTTATTACTATTATCATAATATGTTTTTTAAACGCTAAATCTGTTACTTTATATATCTATATATTAAATGACTGTTGTCATGAATAAGGATCGTTCATTTAAAGTCCTTCTTTGTTTTCTGTAAATTGAAGCTTAGATGGTTTACTTTGATAAAATATTAGTTTCAATCTGAGATGATCCGTGCAGTGGAGAGCTAATCTCATTCCCGCGATTTCTGCGCGTTCGTTTGATGTAAAGTTTCACAGAAAACAACTTTAAATAACTTAGAACCTTGAAGCTATTTTTCAATATATCCATTTTAGTCGTCTGGTGTTCATCCGCACAATCCTCGACAAAGTGTCATCATCAGTTATTTGCATGATCCCATCGTTATGGCAGTCCTTTTGATGCTTTATATAATAAAGATGGAAGACAATAACTGATTTGATTGAAATGTCCTCGATCGTTCAAAGGTGTACCCATTATTGTTACATAGCTTTTGATGAGTTCCATCCAGCTATCTTCGAAATTCTTCCATCAGTTCTAATCCATATCTCTTTTCTTTTTTTCTTTTCAAAGGAGTGGTTGTCATACGTTGGTATGACATTAATCGACTTTTCCCTTTCTTTTCTCTCTCACTGTTTCCTAAAAAAGAGAAAGAGAAAAGCGGGAAATACACGAGTCATCATAAATGGATATGACTTTAGGTTCAAGTCCGTATGCGTTTACTTTACCGAAAAGAAAAAGACCTTAAAAATAACGTCCATTTTTACATCATACAATATTCGGTATTTGGACCATACTACTGAAATGATAATACTTTAGTGTCCAATAAAATCTTTGACTATTTTAAATTGGAAAGTTGAAATACTGTATTACCTATGATCTATACTGCACTTGGGAACAAGAAAAATCTATTAAACTCTGAAATTTCAATTATACTATCTTTAGTAGTAATCACCTGGAGAGCAAAAAGTTCGAACACAAAGTATAAACTTGCCTAAAGGTGGTGTCTGCTACGCATATACGCAAACACACACACACACACAAAACCTTAGACACATATGCACAAGCCAACAGTAGGCTTGGTGTAGCTATCTTTTGTTTACAATACAGCCCAAAGATAACCCAAAGCTTAAGAATAGGAAAGATCATGGGCTTCCTTTTTTTATTTATTTTAAAGCAACAAAATAAGGAAGAAATAAATAAAGGGAATATGCAAGTTCGAAAAAATGAATATAATAAAGATAAACGTTGATAATTGGAAAAAGGCATAGACTATATACTAGAGAGTGTGTGTGCTTCTCAAAAAGTCTCCCACTTTCAAGGGGGACATTCTAATAGTAAACTTCGAACAATTAGGAAATTCTGAGGTTGGATTTATGTGTTGTAGTGATTTCAACGATGAAACGAACCATACATGTTATGGCTATCCATCAGAAATGGGGATTGTTGCGGTTGTAAAAATAAGTCTATTGAATACGGGGATTTCAATTCATTGTGATAACAATTGAGCTTGCTGTGGAAAGTTGTATTTCCATTTGACACGAGACTATCTGAAGAAGGCAGCATTATCTTTCTGTTGTAATCACAAAGTGCCGTAGATAGTTGATCTCTTGTTCTTGTAATTGTATTTAAGGGATATACTGCTGCTGATGCTGATGGCGCTTGATAAAGTCGATGATGTCGATAATGGTTATTGTAACTGCTGCTAGTGGTAGTCGTACCCGGTGACCTAGTACACATTAAAGTGCCGGTATTATGAGGATAGCTAAGCGTCTGGCTTTCGGGAAAGGAGGAAGTCGTAGAACAACCATCACAAGGAGAAAGAGACGGAGGATGGCTATCATAGCAACTACTGTTATCGGTTGTAAAATAAGTGGCTGCTGTATTATAGTAATAGTTCTTGGTTGGAGTAGTAACGGTGCTGGTGCCATTCGACATCAAATCATTATCTGAATAAGCGCCAGACGAACTAGGATAGATAAAATCGTTATGCTGATCGCCAAATAACTCTGTGCTATGTTCGGGATAAACACTGTATGACATGGATATTGTTTCAGGAACGTTACATAACAGTTGATGGTAAGTAGGGGAATTGGTTATTGGAGAAGAGGACGAAGAGGAGTACGAAGAATAAGAAGAGAGATGGTCTGATGATGTGGATGATGCGGATGATGAGGATGATGATGTTGAGATAGTGTGAGGTTCGGATTCCGGAGTCGCATTTAAAGTAGAAGAAGTATTATCTGCTGTGATGGTAGCAGTTGAAGTAGTACTAGAGAAATCAGTCCTTGTTGCACGAGAACCGTTCTTAGTAATGCTGTTTAATGATGACACTGTCTCCAGCGAGCCTGAAGAAGAAGAGAGAGCAGACACGTACTGCCGTTGATGTTGCTGACTGTAGAGCAGTTTGGCTGTTGCCGTTGAAGAAGTGCGGCGGCTAATGACTTCTCTCTTTCCATTCACAGTACGATGGGATGACAATATTTCTGCCATTGAATGCTCTTGTCGTCGAGAGGAGTTGACTGGTTTCTGTAAGTTATCAATAAAAAATTGTTCTTTGCCCGCTTTGATAGTCCAATAGCAACCTTTTCGAGGTGGAGTGTTGGCCTTTGCATCGCGATCTATCTTTACAAAAGATTTATGCAAAGACAAATTATGTCTTATGGAGTTCTACAAATGGAAAGCAAAGCAACTCCCGTCAACAACCATAAAGCCTACATTTACAACAATGCGTATGACAATATTACCTGCCAGCCTTGAGATTCGTTTGTATAAAAAGGATAGTTTTCTGTTATCCAAACGTAGATCTCATGTAAGGTAAGCTTTCTTTCTACACTTGCTAATATAGCGTGGCCAATAATGGTTGCATAAGAATAAGGTGGTTTCTCCTGTCTATTGACAGGGTTCCATGAGGGTACAATCTTTATTGGACCAGGTGGATATTCTATCAAGTCGCTGCTATTACTGTCCATATCTGTACGTAAATTGTTTCTTTTCCATGAGCAGACGCTACGTTTACGTCGAGAGGTTTTGGTGCCAAGTAATAGTTTATCCATTTCTTTTGATATTGAGTTTTTACAGACAAGAAGTATATATTGTTGTTAACAGAACAAATTCGAGTTAAGAATACAAAGAAAAAAGATATTCTACAAAGAAAAGGCAGGATTCAATTTAAAGCTGTTCCGAGCAATGAGATATTGGCCACAGAGAGAAAGTTTACTGTTCGTTCTTAATGCTGTTAAGTCTGAATGGGCCACTTCGGTTGTGCTTTATCGGGATCATTTGAGTTACACCGCTTCCGTTAGCTTTTACTTTTTTCGTACGCACGCATAAAACGGTTAGAAGAGATGGAAAGAGAGGGACATAGAGCACTTCAAAACGCATACCCTTCCTGTTCAGAACCAAGGCAATGTTTCTCATTGATAGCATCTGACATTAGTCTACGTAGACACAAAAAGTGTCGAGAAACAAAACTAATTGTGGTTTTATTCCTCGATTCGGTAATTTACTCTAACGCTTAGCAGCAAAGTACAGAAAAAAAAAAAAAAAAAGCTTCGGTCCCTTGGAAAAGTAAAGCCTGCAGTAATCCTGATTATATGTCATCGAGCAAATTCTTGCCTGTGATCCCTTAATTTCCCATACGTCCTCCTATGTACACCAGTCAAATGCCTCTTCATCACCAGAAAAAAAAAAGAGTTCATGATGATATTTACTCAAGAAACCTCAAAAATATACGACATACCATGTATGCAACGGCTCAAATTCTGAAACAATGAATTTTTGCAAGTACCACACAACTAAAAAACCTACACAGAGATGGTGATACATGGGAAATGGCTTGGGCGCGCTGTGAGAGGTTACCACAAAAACCATAAAAATCAAGGGCTTTATATCCTCACATCACTGCTTCTTTCAAAGGTCTTACAGAAACGTTCCTCCAAATCAGGACTGGTTTTTGCTTTAATTTTTCAAAAGGATTCGTATGTTGCTTCTAGATTTATTATTTTTATTGCCAAAGTTTGATGCAAGCAAGAGTCATCAATTGCTTTCAAAGATATATATAATAGAAACCTTCTAGTATACAGAATCATGATGTGTTTCTTCTCTGATTACGTAGAAAGGGGAGGAAAAGAAAGATAGGCGGATTAAATTATAGACATATTGTTGTTACAAAGGTTATACACAGTTGTCAAATTACTTAATTCTTGTCACTGCTGCTGCTATTGCTTTTAGTATTGACATTGAGTAATAAAGTATCAGAGTCAAGCATGACCTTATTGCCAGATCTTGAGATAACACCAGCAATTTCACGAGCAGCTTCAATTCTCTTCAATTCCAAGAAACCAGGCTTATTTTCAATAGCTTCACCAATCAATTCAGCAGACTTTGCTTCACCTTGAGCGCGAACAATGATGGATTGCTTTTCTTGACGAGCTCTATCAACAATGAAGGCTGCACGTTGAGCATCTTGTTGAGCAATTTGCTTAGCTTCAACAGCACTTTCGAAAACAGGCGAGAAACCGACGTGAGTAATAGAAACATCATCCAAAATAATATTGAAACGCAAAGCACGACGAACTAAGTTCTCGCGAACAAGACGAGAGACACGTTCACGCTGTGTAATAAGTTGCGAGGCGGTGAATTGAGCAACTACTGATTTGAGCACTTCATTCACAACGGAAGGAAGTACACGTTCATCATAGTCTTGGCCGAGTGTACGGTAGACAGTAGCAAGTTGATCAATGCGAGGTTTTGAAAGTACACGACAAGTGATATTGACCATTTGCAAATCTGTGATTGAACAGAAATGGTAACGTTGATAACAACAGAAGAAAGAAAAATAAAGTTACTACGATGTGCCATTTGAATTTTGAGTTTCTATCACTCTCAGATTCTCTAACTGTCAAAATTGTTCTCCAATCTTTACAGTATTACTCCCATTCCTCCACCGTTTCCATAAAAATTACATCGATTTTTGTTTTGTCTTTGAGTGTATTGTATAAATTACCTTTTGTACCAGTCAAGGAACCGACGTTACGAGGCTTTGCACGAACATCGTAAATGACGGGGGTCTCAAACCATGGGATCATGAAATGAGTACCTTCGTTATATACTTTATCTTGTACACCGAAAAGACGAGTATACTTGATAGCTCTATGACCACCATCAACTGTAGGTAGCATAAATAGTAATAGTATAGATTGGGTTCGTTCATCAGCTAACAAAGTCGACATTTTACCCCGGTCATGACTAATTAACATACTGCAATGACTTACCGTTGAAAAGTGACGCATTAACACCATAACCCAAAGCACCGATAACAGCAAGGGCACCAAGACCACCTGCAACGCCTTTACCGTTGGGCATCATGCCTCCTAATTTTTGTGCTGCTTGCTTAGCTTGTTGAGCCATATTTTTATTATAGAATTGAATGTAATTTGTTAAAGGTGTAGATAAAAAAAAAAAAAAAAAAAAAAAAAGATGGAGATTTTTAAGAGGACAAAAAAGGCCTGGGATTTAAGCTTAATCGAGCATGGGAGAAGACTGCTTGCTTCATGGCTGGCAGCTGAATTTGATAGGTCAGCTTGAACGCTGCGGAGTGTTTCTTCCTAATTCCAGTACGCTTGTTCCCAATATACAAGCTGACAATTTGCAATTCCCTTTTTACTAACCATAATTTATTTGCTGTCAAACAAAACATGATGCAAAGAAATGGTGCTCAACGTCATTTTGACTATGCTTTTGAGGCTTGTTTTTTGGGACGGGAAAAAGGACAGCTACAGCTTCAAAACTCTAATGATCGCCGTGTATCAATTTTAGCCTAAATGTTGAGCTGCAGAGAATCTTCAGAAAAGTACTCAGTTCAAGAGCAATATACCGACTTTTGATGTTCCTTGCAAGGGGCGACCAGATATGTTCATTCTGTCTGTTATGCTTTCCCAGCAACTTGATATACCTTGCAAAGTCTAAGCTGATTTGCTATCCATCATACGTCCCGATGCAACAAAAACTGAATTATTGAGATTGACCGCCTGGGATTTGAACGAAAAGCAACTAATCATTGAAAAGTTGAAGCTCGCAACAAGACCATTTTGAAGTCAAGGCGCTATCCGTGTTTCTCTCTGACTCTGACTCTCTCTCTGACTCTCTGACTCTCTGACGCTTTGACTTGGTGCAGTTCAAACTACCACTCTACCTCATAATGGGACGTACGCGTCTTGAACTGCATAATACATGTCCATTGGCTCATTCGTCGCTTTTTGGTAATTAGGAAAATGTTCCCGACTCTGAGCCGTGGGTCATACTATTTCTATTGAGCTTTACTCTTCATTTTTATGTCCTTGATGGAGGGATCCCTTTCTTGATCAGTTCATCTTTGAGTTCATCTTTGAAAAAGACCTTTATTTAAATCAGTAGCATATCTAAAAATTCATTCCATTTTAATCTATAATTTGGCACATTTTTTTACAGCTTGGCGAACACCAAGGTCAAGCATAATTTCTATTTTGAATGTGAAGAAATAGGCATAATGGTTAGAAGTGAATTGACGTGACAAACTTAAAGTGATGATATTGTTTTATCAGTTAAAAATAAACTCACCTTCCGAACCACCGGGGATAGCATAAGCACGAACTTCACGATACAGTCTCTCAACCTTTTCCCCTTGACCACCGCGGGTATAAGCTAAACCACCAAATATTTGAGCAGCCTCTCTAGCACAGTATTCGAATGTTTGTGTACTTTGTGCTTTCAAGAGGGCGATAGGACCAGCCAATGTCATTGCTTGCGTTTCAGCAGGAAGTGTCTTACACTGGAACAAAATACTTTCAAGCCAGGAATGAGTGGCTTCACATTGCCGGATCATATGACCTAACTTGTTTCTAAGAACAGCATGATCCACTAAACGCTGGCCAAACGTCTTTCGCTTTAAAGCATACTAATTATTCAATGAAAAACGACAAGTTATTCAGTCATGGACACGATTAAGCTAATTTCTTTCATTCTCTAATGTCGCTTACCTTGAGCGCTTCCTCAATGCAGACACGAGAGAAACGACTCGCTTGCATGATGATACCAAGACGTTCATGGTTAAAGTTGTGCATTATATATTTGAAGCCTTCGTTCAATTTGCCAATCAAGTGAGTTTTAGGCACTTTTACATCTTCGAAAACAACATAACTGGTTCCTGAGCCCCACATGCCTTGACAATCCATTTGTCGAGCACTCACACCTTCAAAGCTGCGTTCAACCAACAATAAGGAGATGCCAGCCATGCCATCAGCTTCCGATCCTGTTCTACAGGCAACGACGTAATAATCAGCATAAGCGCCTTGAGTGATCCATTTCTTTTCACCGTTTAATAAGAAAAAGTCTCCCGTATCTTTGGCTGTGGTAGCTAAATTTGCAACGTCAGAGCCAGCGCTTGGCTCAGTAATACAAAGTGCAATGACTTTATCGCCTGCTAAACATTCAGGTACAATACGTTTCTTCAATTCCTCATTAGCAAAGTTCATAACTGGAGGAAGAGCCTAAACACGGATGGGAATTGTCAGCAGATGGGCTTATGGATTAGTTACGTCTGAAACTATGTCAAACAGTGAAGAATCAAGCACATTTTTACGTACAATGGAAAGACCGCCTTGTAAGGCCTAGAATCAAAACACAAAGAATGAAAAGATTTACAGTTAGTATGCGAACAATACAAATATAATTGTTGATAATGGGAGATGATCTACCCAAACAAGGCCGCCAGAACCAGCTCGGGACAGTTCGTCTACACAAATGAACTCGTGGAAAATATCAAATTCTTCAGAAGAGATACCAGCAGGCAAACCATAGGGCAGCAAAGAAGCCATTTTAGAATTCGTACCTGCACCAGAGGCAGCAGCCAAGAAACCAACCTTAGCAGCTTGCTTCAGCACGCTGCGAGGAATTTCTTTATTTTCACTCCATTCATGACAGAAGGGTGCGATTTCCTTATCAACCCATGCACGTATCACTCTGCGAAGCTTGGCATGAGATTCATTGTAATAAGGACTATCAACAATATTTCAATGACTGAATGAATAAATCGAGGCCGAAAGTCCTTTTTGCTGTCAGCAGCTCAATTCACTTATTTAATATACCTGTTCCATCCTTGATACCAGGTAGGATCTCCGTAAGGAAGACCATCGCCAAATTTGGTATCTTTATTGCTTAATATAGTAGTAGAAGCTGTCGTTTTGACGTCGTCTGTTTGCTTTCTCGTGGAAGAATTCTGCTGAACTTTTAATTCCTGCTTTGACTTATTTGTAGCGGTTTCAATGATACCAATTTGTAAGGGTAACCCGGAACGTTGCATAATAGCTTCGTTATGAAATGTATTGAATTGCTTAGTAGCATCAGTACCTGCTACCTTTACAAGAACTTTCTTTCCTCCAGGATGATCATTCAAGAATTTTGTAACGTCAAAAACCTTGCCGTCCACGATGATCCAACAGTCATCCGGCCTATTATGGGCTTTCACTTCCTCCACTGTAAATGTTTTCATCTGGTATACTAATAAAAAAAAAATAGGAATGTAGGTAAGATATAATAAAGTTACAAGAAAGATGTTGAAGATCAAAAAATTAAAAAAAAAAAAAGAAATAGCCCAATTTCGGATGACCAATAAGGTTTCCTTTACCCCACCAAAACAGAAAACGGATTACAAATAGCTTTTCCGTACAGAGAGAAATTTGACTCTTAAACACAATGAAACCCACGGAAAATTGAAGATAGACGGCAGCTTACTGGATCATAAATCCAAAAGAGAGACGCGATGCTATATAGTTTGTCTGGCCATGGTATTGTTCCTGTTGCAAAGCAAGTCACATTATCATCGAATGATATACACAGTTGTGAGAAAGAGATCAGTAATGCCATGGTGATCGACAACCGCGCAAAAATTCATTCTGTTTTATTGTGGCATACTGTGGAATAGGCAAGCAATTTCTTGGGTTACTTTTTTGCACACTTATGTAAACGCTCATTACAATTCACCTACTAATTTTTCGAAATTTGGAAGGTGATAGCTCCCTGTGATGCCATCTAATGTTGAATTGCTTTTGCTACTGTCATTTATTCTATTACGGCAGCTTTATGTGCATTATCTTTTCAGTGAGATTTTAATCTTCCAATGTAACCGCATGGTGCTTTCGTGGTGAATGGAATATTTTTTGCCACTGTTTTCTATTGTTTGGGTCTCAAACAATTTAACCCTATGAGGCATTTTTCTGGCATGAATTTCACTTCTAAATCTGACTCCGTCAATTATTTGATTTGGTTCCTTTTCTTCCCTTATTGTTCCCCCTTCTTCTAAACATAACCTACACCATTGATGAGCCAAAGACGTAGAAGGCAAAGGATCGCTGCGGAACAAGAGCTCTACCGCATACAGCAAGGAGCTGTATATAAACCAGACGTATACCAAACAAAAAAGCATTCAACACATATAAGGCGTGCGCAGCTCCAGCAAACGACTCATAACGACGAAGAGTTTAGCGATCTGAATGAAGAACTTGATCTCGAAGATCACTCGGATGCAGTTATGACAGCAGAATACTTGATTCAAAATAATACCAAATCCATTTTACCATTATGCTTTATACACCAACTTTACAGCATTCTATCGAATAATACAATGACAGATAGAGAAATAGTAGGTTTTTTTTTGATCCGGTTGAACAGATAGCAATTTAACTTTCTAATTTATTATCAACAATGCATTTATCTCCCTTGCAGCAAGCGAGTTTGCAAAGAAATAGCTGGAAAAAGTTTTTTATTATGGGGTGCTTGGAAGATGAATATGTGATCATGAAAACAACCAATTATTGTAATTTGATTGATCAGTCGAAAGCAGACTATATAAAAGAACATAATGAAGAAGAAGCGCATATCTTTAGTAAGAATTAACTTGACAAAAAGTTTGATTAGCAAAGCATTTGATCTTACTTTCTCTTTTGGCACATAGACATATTTCAGAAGATAGTACTGGATAAAGATCATAATAAAATTTCTATTGACAAAGATACATTGATCAATACGTTTCGTTTGACAGACAAAGAGATATCGTAAGTCTCATTTCAATGAAGCTTAGCATAAACTCTATCTATCTGACATATTCGTGTTTTTAGACACCTTGTATCAGCTGGCCTTTTGTTGCCTCACAATATTCAAATCGATCTATTCTGGTTCTCCGTACCCAAACAAGGAACATTTGTGACCAATTTGCTTCATGGCCGAAAATCTATTTTAAACATATTGAGAAAAAGAGCCACCAAAGACATCATGGAAAGTGTGAGTATTGTTTTACTAATATATAATCATCTAATCAGTACAATGCTGACAAATTTGCATTTAAAAAAACAAAAGGTTTTGAGACAAAAGAAATTGCATAAATGTACTTTCAATGTTGATTTTTTATTGCATGATCTAGTTGGTAGTGGCAGAGTAGAAAGGTAATTTGGTTTATATAGGTTGATGGTGTTTACAAGAGAAGATATGTAATTATTAACATGAACATATTGTAGGCATATGACACCGATGGGAAATTTGATCAGGCTGACAAGCAAAGGTGAAAAGGGCATATAGCAAAGAGTCTATTTACAAAAAAGTAAAAAAAGAAAAGGGGTAGCTGTACATATACATACGTAATGACTAATACTGTAAATAATGAACAATGGTATGCATTTGTGCACAAAGGCACGACTAATAAAAATATCAAATATCTGTACATATGAAATACTGGTATATTTGTTGTTGTTGTTGTTGTTGTTTCAAAGAGTGTAAGCTGGTGCTAATTGTAGTAAAGATAGTCAGTCTATCAAGCTGCTATCGTTAGGCCGTTACGTAAGCTTGAACCATTCCCCCAAACGAACTGATCCTGTCTTCGTTGAATGACATGCATCTTTCCAGGGTTTAGCGTTGTATTGTTCTGGCTGCAATAATTATTAGTCATGGCTAGTAGACGGAGATGATTTGGATTCGATCTTATGTCTCTAATATAAGTATGTGTTATGAATTGTGGTGGTGCAATGCAAGACAAAGAAGAAGAGCCTTCTTTCCAGCGATTGAGTACGGCTGCTTTTTTTATCACTGATGAGGACTGATTCGTTTTTCTTGTCTGCTGTTGATCTTGATATTGCTGAACAGTCTGATGGTGTTCAACTCTATGTTGTTGATGGTCAACTTCCGCTGATTGTCGTTGGTTGGCTGCACTGTTATTATTGTTGGTGTAATAATTCCTCAAATCACGGTAAATTTTATGCTCTCGACTAATAGCCGAAGAACTAGTAGCATTGGATGGCTGAGGCGGGGAAGAAGGCGGGGAAGAAGGTGGGGATGCCACCGGTGCTCGGTGCTGCTTCTTTGAGACTATTTTTATGTAGGTACTATTGTTGTTCTTGATGACGGGTGATACCTTACGGTACTTCTTGGTAGCTTGTGATTGCTGAGGTAACTTGGAGATGATACTGGTTACTGCTCTCTTAAAATGATTCATTGTAGTATGACTAGGAGTGCCAGTTAGATTAGCTGCACCATGTGTCGAAGACGGGTAAAGAAGAGCCACTGAATCAGGTGTTGTTGAAAGGCGCATGCTGTATTGATAAAGAAGATCCAACAAGGTTCGGAGATATCAAGAAGAAGAAAAAAATGGATCTCTTTTATATCCAAAAGACAAAACAAGCAATTGACAAAAAATCCCAATTTTTATATACAAATGTGATCACATTAAGGTAACGTTGGACTTAGTGGAAATTCCATTCGGAAATCCGAGTTGTTTCTATTTATGCACTCCGTAAAGTCATACTTTAATTTTTTGTTTATAGCAATTACCTTTCTTCATAGAAGCTGCTGTAGCCTTGCCTCACAATCGAACTTTTTAATTTGTTTATTTTCTTTCTTTTCTTTTGATTCCAAAACGTCAATAACCCAATTGACCTGTCCTAATATGGGAATTTAGTCAAGAAAAAACGAATCTTGAATGCATACTATAGATTCGTTGGCTAACCCCACTTTTCTCAACATCTAACACAATACCCTTGCCTGTTTAGTGGCAAACAGCAGCAACAAAAAGTCAAAGATGATGTGAGCAGAGGGTATGAATTCAATGATGGAAACAACTGATAGGCATTTTTGCTGTCTTTTCTCATCACTGATGGAACAAGCGCAGGGAGGCAGAGGGTTTTTGCTCTTCATGTGGAAAGAACATCATACGACAAATTGTCATGGCCTGTCTCAATGATGAATAGAGCGGTTAGTAAATTTCTTTTTCTGTAATTCAGTCAACTAGGCAGGCAAAAAAAGGTCAAAAAAATGGATCATCGGAAGCAGCCAAGAAATAATTTGATAAATACCTGCGTCTGGATGAAGGGAGGCAGGATACTCAGGAGCCAGATTCAATGGGAACATAAAAGAAATCAAAGAAATCAGAGAAAGAGTTGATTGAGGAAGTGGGCGTTTTGACAGCTTCCTGATGCTGATCTACTCCCTAACCTCACTCTAAGCTTACATAATCGAGAAACGAACGTTTGGTACGTGCTACTTTTTTATATGTATATACATTTCAGAAGAGCTACTAGTAAAGGATAGCTATAGTGTGATATTGAATTCTACTACCAATAATATACAGCTTTTTTCGTTCATTTATGCTCCTCTCCATATTTTACCATCATAGACATAATTTCATAAATCAGATCAGCAGCCAGGAAGGATGTCAATTGAGCTTGTGTATCATAGGCAGGCGCCACTTCGACAATATCTGTACCCACAATATTATATCCATACAAACTGCGTAGAATATATCTCATTTCTCTTGTTAGAAAACCTCCTGTTTCTGGTGTGCCTGTGGCGGGGGCCATAGAGGGATCGATAACATCGATATCAATAGATAAATACACCAATACCTCTTCTGGTGATCCCAAATATTCTCTAATACGTTCAGAAATACCCTCCACGCCCAATGTAAATATATCGTTTGCTTTGATCATTTTAAAACCTAATTGCTCGTCGCGCAGAATGTCATCCTTATCATATAAACTGGATCGAATGCCAACGTGCATTGAGGTGCCGTTGGTGGTTAATCCTTCGACAGAAGCATGATAGAGAGGATTACCATGGTTGTATTTGGATCCACGCGCTTTGACATTGTAGATCTCAGGCGCCCATGTATCCAAATGAGAGTCAAAGTGGACAACAGCAATGGGTCTACCGTGTGCCTCACGCATAGCACGCAAAACGGGCAATAAAATGGTATGATCGCCACCTAAAGTAATCAAACGAGGAATTCCGCCGTTGAGTTGAGAGTGAGTAGGACGAGCAGGACGCGTCAGTAGGTACTTGGCATGTGATTCAATTTGAGACATAGCATGGCCACTGTCAAAAGGCTCGAAAGGTATATCGCCACAATCAACTGCTTTCGCCCATGACTTGAAAGGATTGATGTGCAATTCATTGTTGTAACCCTAAAAGAGGTTGAGTTATGATCATACATCTTGTAAGTCAGCGGTTCGTAGATAATAACATCAATTTCTTGTCCCTCCCGCAAATTAGTTCTCTTTTCAAAGTTTTATTCTCCCCTACCTTGATACGCTTAGAGCCTTCTCTAATAGCTGAAGGGCCGAACCGAGCCCCCGTTCTGAAGGTGACACCGATATCGTAAGGTGCTCCCATTACGGCAATATCATAATCTTCATTGGCATCCTCGGCCCAACATTGTAAATAAGGTAAGTGTGCAAAAGTTGATATGCCTGCAAAGGAAGGATTGTAACTGTCTTTTTCCAAAATGGGGCGGTTAAATAAAAGTGGCATTTCGCTAGGACCAGAAATAGGAATTTGTCCAATGGCTTGATGAGAGCTATCATCGTGGTGGTGGTGGTGGTGGTGGTGATCAGCATGAGCTTGAACACTGATAATGCTCAACAATCCACTTAGAACTAAACTCTTCAAAATCATGATGTCTTGAGAACAAAACTGCAAAAAGCAAATTGGCAGAAAAAGAATGGAAAGAAAGTAAGAAAAGAGATTATTTGACAGAAAATGTACCAGAAAATGTACCAGAAAATGTACCAATAAGGCAGAATTATTTTATACAAGACACAGTCGCCTGTTATATTTCGAGCTAACGAACCATTCACACGGATTCAGTGGTAGAATAAAAAGGTTAAACTGTATTGACTTTAACTTTGAGTTATGAATGCACAGACAGCAGTTCTCAGGGCTGACATAAATTGCCCCTTTTTCGTATCGTCTTAGTCAGCTGTTTACGAAATTACGGGCCGCTTCCAGCGCTGATTGTTCGGCCAATGGAATTTCAGTACGCGTTCAAAGTTTGGTCATTATAATTCGGAACTCAGCAGAGTATCTGCTTTAATTTTTGTGATGATTGTTGCTGTGATAAGCTGTCCGCTTCTTTATCTGCCATCACTGCAATAACGTTGGGCTCAGTCTTTCTCCCATTTTAGCTCATTGCAACCAGATGAGTCGATACAATAGTCCGATATATTGGAAGAAACGGGTGGCGTATTTAACTCGTAGGTTACAATAGGGTTGATTATTGTCAATAGACAATAAGGCTCATCAGCATTTCATTTTTCATACAGCCTTTCTTCTGAGTTGCTTCGCCCAATTAGTTTATGCACTTGAAGCACAGACAATACCAGACCAAACTGTAATAACATTCGAACTACATTCATTCCATATTCATTATTAACACTCTATTTTTGTTTAGGTAGTGACGACTTCCATAGAGAAACAGTTCCTTCATCGCGAAAATGACGGTAAATGAGCTATTTCGATAAGGAGTTGTTTTGAAACCACGATAAATAGCTGACACAAGAGCAATGTCAAACTTAGGCCAATTTTTATACAATGAGGCTATCAAACAGTTACAAATACTCGAAAATAAATACAAGCTGCATAATAAAAAGTCATCGAAAGCAGCAAAGAAGAGTGTCACTGACCACATCATTCACAAAATAGCCAATATTGTTTGGACATCGCATACAGATGGCTCAACCTCTACTACTACTGCTTCGCCCTCTTCTTCTTCAATAAGTACATCAACATCACCATCGTCAACAACATCAGAAAATGCATTAGAACTACAAAAACGAACCGATTTTGAGCCAATAATATCCATGTTAGAGAGATCAGCTAGAGAATATCACAATAATGACGCATTATTATTGCTAGCAGAGTTAAATTTTGTAAGCTTTCCAGGTAGTCATGATGTAGAGAAAATATCCTTCAACTAACATGGCAGTATGTAATTTTTTTAGTTCTCTAAATATACATATCCAAGAAACTATCGACAAGCTTTCGAACACTATCAAGCATTAGCAAACAAAGGCAATGCAACCGCACAGCAAATGGTCGGTTTCATGTATGCCACCGGAATCGGCAATGCTGTCCAACGTGATCAAGCGAAAGCATTACTATACCATACATTTGCCGCTCACGGCGGAGACATTGCTGCCGAAATGACAATGGGATATCGTTACCTTTTAGGTATTGGTAACGAAAAATCCTGCGAGGATGCTCTTTACCACTACAAAAGTGTGGCCAGTAAAGTAATTGACTACTATCTGTCAGGACCACCGGGTGGTCGAACCCCTCCCTTACCAAAAGTACGACTGAGCGAAGAAGAGGGTGGCATTTACGGTTATGGTGCAAGTATGATGACCGAACGAAGATCTCGACATTCAGTATCCGCTGGAGGATCGGACAAATCTGTTAGTATTGAAGAGATCTTACAATACTGGCGTTATTTAGCATCCAAGCAAGATATTGATGCTCAGGTCATGTTGGGTCAGGTTTATTATATGGGTACACGGAATATTCCTCGCAATTTTAATGAAGCATTTACTTTCTTCCATCAAATTGTTGATAAAGCCTCTTCAAGCGGGAAAATTCCTTCGAGAAATAGTAAAGCAGTGGGACAAGCGGCTGGTTATTTGGGTCAAATGTATTGGCGTGGTGAAGGTGTCAAAGTGGATGAGAAGACAGCCTTTCGTTATTTTCAGATCGGTGCTGAATTGGGCGATGCGAATTCGCAAACAAATTTGGGTTCAATGTATTTGAATGGCATTGCTGGTGTGGCGGTGAAGAATAAAGATAAGGCAATTGAATATTTCAAAAAGGCAGCGGAACAGGAGAATCCCCATGCTCAGGTCAATTTGGCAATAGAGTATGCCCAATCAGAAATGACATTGCCTTTGGCCATACGGTTGTTCACGAAAGCAGCAGATGCAAAACACTTGTTGGCGTACTGGTATTTGGCACAAATGAATGAACAAAATTTGATACCTAGGCCTTCTTGTACTGTGGCTGTTTCTGTAAGTGATAGAAAACTGTTTTAGCTAACAATAAAGTAGGAGCGTCTTTCTAACATGCTGATATCGAAGTATTATAAAGCAATTGCTGAGAGAGGAGACTGGCTCAATCCCACAGTTGAAGCAGCTTATAGTGCCTATAAAAATGATGATTTAGAGAGTGCACTTTTATATTACATGCTGGCAGCCGAAAGAGGATACGAAATCGCGCAATCCAACGCTGCGTATCTTTTAGACAAAGACAAAAGAATGTTGGATCATCTGCCCTTATTGGGATCAGTGGACGAAGACATAGATGGACAGCATAAACATCAGAGGAAGGATACCATTCGAGGCATCAATGAGGAAGAGTCAGCCTTTATATACTGGAGTCGATCTGCTAATCAAAATAACATAGACGCACGTATTAAATTGGGTGACTATTATTACAAAGGCATCGGCACGCCTGTTAATTTCGAAAAAGCAGCGGCATGTTATCGTTTAGCAGCCGAAATTCAAGGATCACCTCTAGCATTCTGGAATCTGGGTTGGATGTATGAAACTGGCGTTGGTGTAGCCAAAGATTTTCATTTGGCTAAACGTGCTTATGATCAAGCATTAAATATTGATCAAGACGCGTATCTGCCCGTGAAAGTATCGCTTATCAGGATGTACATAAAATACTATTGGAATTGGATTACTGGGCGCGATGTAGGTACTGCACTTCACTCATATGATAATGATGCCAACAAAAACAGCAGAGAAAGCGATAGTATGACAGAATTCAAGAAATCGTCGGAATATGTGCGAAAACAAGTAGAAGAAGCTAATCGACAGAAGAATAAGCAACAGTACGACATCGGTGAAGAAATGGAACGTCAGTATAGATTGAAGAAACAGAAAGAAAAGGAAGAGCAAGAGAGATTAGCAGATGATGACCCCTTTCATTCCGAATCATCTTACAGTATGGACGGCTACAATGAGGAAGATGAACTGTTCGAAAGTCTATTGATATTGATTTTATGTCTGCTGGTCGGTTATTTGGTCTATGTCAGACAGTTTCGTTTTGGAGGCAATTTGAACAATAATCAGAACAATAACAACAACAATAATAATCGTAACAATTTCAATAACGCAGCCAACGGAAATAATAATGATGCCTATCTGTAACTTTTTGCTTTTCTCAATAAATATGTTCCAGAGAACTACAGTTTTGCTGTATAATTTCAATACACTCGATTGTGATACATTATTTTACTGCGACTGCGCTCCGAATAGTACAATATTTCAGTAACAACAATTTGCTTCATATTATTTTCATCTGTAATTTGATGGCAAGGAAGGGTTCTTATCTACGCTTCCAGTTAAAAAATGATAATCCGTTCCTGATTGATTCAATACACTCTAAAATTTACGTCACCGCTGAAAAAGTTGAAAATTTGGATTTTGTGGGTTGAATGCGGGGCATAATTCCAGATTCAGCTTTTTGGCTTCACCAACTCAGCTCCCCAGGGGGGCGTGTTTTTTATATTCACTTCGACTCTGTGAAAAGAGTCTTCTTTCTTCAAACCACCCTTCTCTTTTCTTTTTTTTATTCCTGTACCTAAAGGAAAAATGCATTTTACTCGTGTTTTAGGAAAGACTTCGGCAACTGCCTTACGTTTGCAAAAGGCTAATGCCCGCTTGATCAACCGTGCACTTGGTGTTCAAACCTCCATGGCTGGTAAATAGTTTGGAGAAGAATATCAACTTGAAACAACTTATTTATTGACGATGTCATTAAACACATGTACACATAGTTCGTAACTACGCCACTGAAAAGCAAACCGCTGGTCAAATTCGGTAAATAATATCTTCAACAATTTTTTTCGACACAACGCAAAATGACGGCTTTGTTAATGACCTTTTGTTGAAAACACATGCCTTTAATTGTAGTTCCGTCATTGGTGCTGTTGTCGATGTCCAATTCGATCAAGAAAATCTTCCCGCTATTTTGAACGCTCTCGAAGTTCAAGACCACTCTGGTGGACGTCTCGTCCTTGAAGTTGCTCAACATTTGGGTGAAAACACCGTCCGTACTATTGCTATGGATGGTACTGAAGGTAAGCGAGGATGACAATTACATACAAATCATGAGAGAGTGGCTTTAGTTTAGTGGGTAGAGATATTATGAAAATGAAATGTTAGCAGAGTATACATGAGAACAATATATCGACATTATCTTCCTTGACAATTTTCTAGGTCTCGTTCGTGGACAAAAGGTCATCGATACCGGTGCACCTATTACCATTCCCGTCGGTAAGGAAGTTCTCGGTCGTATTATCAACGTTATCGGTGAGCCTATTGATGAACGTGGTCCTATCAATGCTAAGGCTACTCGCCCTATTCACGCTGAAGCTCCCGAATTCGTCGATCAATCGCCCACTCCCGAGATTCTTGAAACCGGTATCAAGGTTGTCGATTTGTTGGCTCCTTATGCTCGTGGTGGTAAGATCGGTCTTTTCGGTGGTGCTGGTGTCGGTAAGACCGTCTTGATTCAAGAATTGATCAACAACATTGCCAAAGCACACGGTGGTTACTCCATTTTCTGTGGTGTCGGCGAACGTACCCGTGAAGGTAACGATCTTTACCACGAAATGATTGAAACAGGTGTCATCCAATTGGAAGGTGACTCCAAGTGTGCTCTCGTCTTCGGTCAAATGAACGAACCCCCAGGAGCTCGTGCCCGTGTTGCTTTAACTGGTTTGACTATTGCTGAATACTTCCGTGATAACGAAGGTCAAGATGTGTTGCTTTTCATTGATAACATTTTCCGTTTCACTCAAGCTGGTTCTGAAGTGTCTGCTCTTTTGGGTCGTATTCCCTCCGCTGTCGGTTACCAACCCACTCTTTCTACTGATATGGGTGGTATGCAAGAACGTATTACTACTACCAAGAATGGTTCCATTACCTCTGTCCAAGCCGTCTACGTCCCTGCTGATGATTTGACCGATCCTGCCCCCGCTACTACTTTCGCTCACTTGGATGCCACCACTGTCTTGTCTCGTTCCATTGCTGAATTGGGTATCTACCCTGCTGTCGATCCTCTTGATTCTAAGTCTCGTATTTTGGATCCTCGTATCGTCGGTGAAGAACATTACAAGGTTGCCACTGAAGTTCAACAAATCTTGCAAAACTACAAATCTCTTCAGGATATCATTGCTATTTTGGGTATGGATGAATTGTCTGAAGAAGATAAATTGGTCGTCGAACGTGCTCGTAAGATCCAACGTTTCTTATCGCAACCTTTCGCTGTCGCTCAAGTCTTCACTGGTTATGAAGGCCGTCTTGTTAAGTTGACCGACACCATCCGCTCCTTCAAGGAAATCTTATCTGGTAAGCACGATAACTTACCTGAATCTGCTTTTTACATGCAAGGTGATATTTCCGATGTTCAAAAGCGTGCTGAAGAGCTCGCCAAGGAAATGGGTGGTCAATAAAAGAACTTCTTTTGCGTATTAGCTGTGTAATTTAATATATTCTATACTCTTTTCTCTTTTTTTGGTATGTCTATATACTATATCCTTTTTCTAACTTTTATGAAAAATTGTTTGTGTTTTCCTTACACTTTTCTTATCCCTCCTTCAAAACCTTTTATATGATATTCCAACTTTTTGATTTCCAAAAAAGGAAAAAAGACTTTTAATAAACCCAAAGTTTGAAAATTTCAAGTTCTAGAATACATCATTTCTACCTTCAAGTGGACATGTCAATCCTACTCTTACAAATTTTACTTTTAGCTGTGAAGGAAGAAAGAAAAAAAAAAGAAAAAGAAAACCATTGTCGAAACGTGCATTGTGATTATCATGTCACCTTTGAGGGTAATATTATAGCAGCTTGGTTTCTATGAATGATTTCTTTCGCTGGAAGGATATACTCATGTGTAATACATTATCGTTTGGACTCGAACTATAATTCTTATTGCATATCTTACTCCAGAATCATGGAAGTTATTTGAAAAAGAAGGGAATTGACATTAAGCGTACCTCTGACAGGTGGAAGAGATCGCCCCTTTCCTCTTTAATACCATATTATTCTCATACATCAGCAACTATGTTTACTGATGTGCCAAATAGACGTGCTGCTATTTTGAACGAAAAAAAAATTACTGATCTCATTAGTCCGAATAATATCATTACCTTTTGATACTGTAAAGGTCGCTCTATAGTAAATCCAGCGAAAATTAATATAGATCTTAATAACAGTAGCTATTCAAGTGGTTACTAAAGTGCTTGAATGCTTTGTAAACTTTGACATCAGGACTTATGATATAGAAATCGACCTATCTGAGCGTATCTCATACGATCAGGACTGGATTGAAGTTATAACTTTTGTTCTACCGACTGATCTTTTCCCAGTACACGATTGCACTGAGGTACACATAGGCTATTTGACTTTTCTAATATTCTTCTTTCGTCCGAAAGAAAAAGAAAAATCTTCGCATCGTTCTTTTGTTCAACCTCTCAATAGCAACACTCGGTATAATTGGCTTTCTTTATATTTGCTTTAATACTAAATTCAAACTGATTCAGACTTGAAGTCGCTGTTCCTTTCTAGATAATTAAAACAGTTGTTGAGTGTCAATTAAAGATACGATAACGGCATCGGTTTGAGCACATTCCGTTTCTGTTAGCATTTCCGAAGGTCGCGACATCAAAATACGTTCTGATTACAACAAAAAGTAGAGAAAGAGCGTCTGTCATTTACACTGCTAAAGGTCAAACTTTTACACTAATACTGTTGTGATTCTATATTCATCAATACATGTAACTCATAAATTGATTGATGGGATGGATCTATTTTTTGTTACGGAAGTAGTAACGCGACGCACGTCGGTGCTGAGTCTTAATGGGCATTAAGTCTTACGATTCTGAACTGATAACTCAGTGAATAAATCAGATAAAGGATCCTATGTCAGGAGACTAAACCTCTTCTTTGCTCTAATTTTTGAACAGATGACTACGATAGACACTATGACTGACGGTAACGCTATTTGGAATGCAATTACTCTTGACAGCCTTGACACGGAAGCCCTTAATCAATATATGAACACTAAAGACAGCAGTGCAAATATAACTAATCCCGGAGGATACAGCTTACTATACCTGGTCGTCGCTAATAAAAGTCTGGACGCATTACGTACATTATTAATGCAACCAGGTGTTGACATCAACTGCTTAAATGGACCAGAGCAGGAGACAGTATTACATGCAGCCTGTTCAAAGGGTTTAAATGATGCTGTCGAGTTGCTAATAGAAAAGGGTGCTTTACTTGACATTAAAAATTCTTTGGGTCAGCCCCCTATATTCAAGGCAATCTTTAGTCACTCATTAAAGTCTGTCGAGCTTTTACTTGGTGCTGGTGCAGATATGTCCGTTACTGACGCTACAGGCAACACACTTCTCCATTTAGCAGTGTCAAATCACTTCGAAGAGGCCATTCCTCTTTTGTTATCGAAGGGCGCAAAGGTCAATCAGCAGAATGCACGTGGGTTCTCTCCGTTGGCTGTTTCTATTAATTTTGGATTTACAGATATCGCTATTGCACTCATGGATGGAGGTGCTGACATCAACCAAAAAGTTAGGTTCACAACTATGCTTCATCATGCCATCACTTGGAATCGTCTACCTATCATAAAGCAGCTACTAGAGCGCGGTTGTGAAGTGAATGTTGTGGATGCTCAAGAAGATACAGCCGTGTATATAGCAGTTCAACAAAGAAAAACAGACATCCTGAGGTACTTGTTGGAAGAAGGAAAAGCGAATCCTTGCTATATGGCTATTAATCCAGTTAGCACAGCCAATTTGCCTTTACTCTATGCTGCCAATCATGGATATACAGAAATATGTGAACTGTTGACCACGCCAACGACCGCTACTCCCATTATAGGAAAAGCAGCTGAATTGAGCAAGTGGGCAGGTTTTCCTGACACGGAAGCATATTTACTAGACGTTGTCTCACAGAGGGTTGCCGGCTCCAAAGCTAGACCCAAACCCACTCTCAAGTAATCATGTACAAACATAGCATCGTAGGCCGATCTGACGCTTAATTATACTTACCCGAAGAAGACAATGTAAAACTGAAATAATGGCTAAGATAAATAAAATATCTTCCATCTATAGACCTCATTTCCCTCATTCCCTACTTTTTGTAATCGTACGTAGTGATTTAACTATTCATATTCTTCCGTCATAAAAGCTATTGACATAATTCTGCATAATCTCATCATCAAAAATAAAATTACATCGACTCCATATTTGTATTAATGTTCTTTTTTTTTTTGTGCTTCTGTGAAGTCGGTTGTGATTTATTATGTAGAACGGAATCTACGGCTATGAGTGTAAAATCTTTAGATTTCAGCAAGTTCACGGAGACGACGGATGGTGGAACGGACAGTAGCAGCAGCAACAGTACTGAGAAAAATAATAGCGAACAGAGATTAGAAAAGTTAAATTACTGAAAAGTAACATCATGTTTTGATAGATCTTCGAACTTACGAGACAGAGTAAGCACCACCAGCTAAGACCTTCTTACAACCCTTACACTTCCAAATACCAACGGCAGTACGCTTAACGGCGTCCTTACCACAGAAAGTACAAGTATAGGTGGAATGTTGAGTGATTTCCATCTTCTTAACGGTCTTTCTAAGAGAAGCACCATAACGGGTACCGTATTTACCAGTGATTCCGACCTTCTTAGTACGCTTGACCTGTTGTATGCATTTATTTATAGAGTGTTAACATGCAATGTCGAAACAATATGAATGGATTGATGGATTGATGGATTGATGGATTAATATGTTGATTGCATTTACCATTTCGCTTATACGATTTCGTTCAAAGAGAAGGTTCCCTAATTTTGCTTCTGTCAACTTCTGTTTTGACTTGGATTTTTTTTCGAGCTAAAGTTCATCCGGACATATCAGATTTTTGACGTTCCGCATGAAGCTTCAAAATTCGTTCGGACAAAAATCTTTTCCCCTTTTCTATTTCAGGAACAGCTCTGATCTGTTGAAGCATCTACTGATACCATTGCGCATGGCTTCTTGGACCTCTTGATTGAAGATGAGAACAATGAACAGCCTTTTATCGAGGATTATATTAAGAATGAGCCACACTATGATAGCGCTCAACTGCTGATATTCACATCTTCTGTTATAGTAAATTACTCTCAATAGTCTGCTTGAATACCTTTTAAAATTATGTTCCTCGCAACGTCAATACGAGTTGAAGAATAAACTATCAGTAATATTTTGAAAATCGACAGGATAAAGAGATGATTAAGTTATGAAACCATATACTTGTGTTTAGAGTAATGTGAACCTGCATATACTTTTTGAAATATTTGAACTTGTGAGGCAAGACTGGTCTTATTATAGTCTTGTTTTTGTTTTGTTTCGTTTTTATGTAATTAATTTTTTTATTAAAGCAATTGTACCATGATTTACATTGAAAAAATATTCTAGTGCTTTGCTTCCATTGAAGTTGGATGCGTAAAGTAGGCATAATATTGACAAAGTATTTAGTTGAATTTAAACGTCAGAATTTTGCTACTCAGAGTTGAGGGAAGTTGCTGCTGTAACGCATACCCTTTGCAATAAGGGAAATAAAACCGCACAAAATCATGCTAACTTTATGAATCAAAATTATGTTTTGTGCCTCCATGTTTAGAGCATTACGCTTAGATAAGTCGAAATAACTTAAATAATATCCTTTTCCTATTATTTGTAGCTGTTTCGATTGAAGATAATAGTAAAAAATTTAGTTACTGATGTCAACAAGCTATGCGCGTTTCCTACTCTCCCAGAGCTTCTCACTACTCCTCTCAAAGCTATTATAGATAAATGAAGCTGAGATTTTCGTAACTGCATCAGCAATGTAGTTATTATTGTTTATCTCGACAAATACAAATCAAGCAATTCTTGGATGGAAGGCTACGTGCAGGTGCTCATTATTTTTTTAAGTGCTCAAAGAGGGTCACATTGTCTAAAGCTCAATACGGCTTTTCTTTGTTCTTCATATGATGATACTTTCAATGTCCATGGAAATTAATCCAATAATAATTTCATTGTCAAGATTTCTGAAGCTAATTATAACAACTGTTACCCTTTTGATTGAGGCATAACTATTTTGGAAAAGCTTTCAATACAACCAAGTTATAAAATATTGACAGAATTTCTAAATGTCATATCTGTATCTTTTAACTAAAGTTTTCCTACTCTCGTTTTTCTGAAATTACTTGGTCCACATAGAGCTCATTCCTTTCCCTCAAACTTGATCGCAAGAAGAATTTTACTTACACTCCTTATACCGCACCTTCCTTTTACTGATAGTTATTTCGTATCATGAAAAACTCCAATACGAAAAAGGTGTCAAAGATTCCTCTAACACTGGATGTTATGGAATTAAGTAAGCACTTTACTGAAAAGCAACAACAGGATGTGCTTGACCTTCATAGGCTTTGCTTGAGCACACCTCCAGGTCGAATTCGTGGACCTCGCACGAGGAAGGTGGATCCTAAGCATATTCCCCGACCTGTCAACTGTTTTATGATATACCGGAAGGAGAAGCAGGAACTCATTAGAAGATTTTGTCCTACTGCTAATCATCGCAAAATATCAAAAATTATTGCTGAATGGTGGGCTCAAGAACAGCCTCATAAAAAAGCAACGTATATTACAGAAGCTGATAAAGCCAAAAAAGAACATGCGCAAATGTAAGCTCGAGTTACGTTTCAGGTTATTCTTAATACATATATTTAAAAATCTCTATTAGGTACCCAGACTATACTTTCCGTCCCAAAGCTAGGAAGGCGAAAAAAGTGTTGGAACGAAAGAATCAGATTTTACAATCAGCAAATTCTGAATTTGCTTTGAGTGACGATTGGCCGTTGTTTAAATCAGAGGATAATCCAAACGGTCTACAAGCAGTGAATTATACGCAGTTTGTCTCTCCAGACATGGATTCACTTCTAATTGACAACCCAAGCTTGAATATTCTCCAACAATTTGCAGTGACAGGTCGTAGTGATCCGGCCAACTATTCAGCATCTGTTGATATGGCTACCGTTGCGGGTTTTATGAATAGCTCACAATCACAACAAAGTAGCTACGTTGCACCCTCTTACTCTAGTGTGTCTATGAACGTACTCGATCATCAACAGTTACAGCCACACAATCTGGCCTCATTTTATGGCGATAACGCTCGATTTATTGATCCTGTCTTGATCGACTCAACAGCCCCGCTAGGAAACGGCCCCCCTCAACACGGCAATGGAAGTTACGCATACCATTTACTGGATGCCGCCGATAATGAAAATAATTATCTACTGAATGGATATTTAGGCAGCCTTTCCACAAGCACAAGTTCTTCCAGTCAACCCAGTGCCTCCAACTCCTCTCCTTTTCAAGCAGCCGCAGAAGCCGAACTTACACCTGGTCTAGAGAGTTTCCCGACTCCAGCTATACAGCCTGCCAGCGATGCACTGACGTTGCAAAATACACCTGTATTAATGAACCATTCTATGGCACTGCTTGACGAACTATGGGCACCGAGAACCTTCAAATCAGTAGCAAGATTACAATCGGACCTCAATAATGATACAGGCAGTCTTAACTATTCGTCACCGCTTACCAATAATACCAGTGCGTCCTTTGAATACTTTACCAATCTTTACCAGAGAATCCAGCCTCCTAATTGAACAATTTCATAAAGCAAATTTGTGCATAACAGTATAGCAAAAAATCATGAGATTTGTAACAATAAAGAGAAATTGTACATTTTTGTTTTTCGCCATTAATATGAGTTTCTCTGTCTATATAAGCAAAATTGAAGAACTCTATTGGTTTCACTATGACTGTCTTCGGGACTTCATGTTATCAAAACCTGATCATTTTAATAGCTTATGCTTTCATATTTTTGAAATAACAAAATGATCTACTACAATTTGAAATGAAAGGAAGGTAGTCTACAGAATTGGCTGCCGTAGATATGAACCGTAGCAAAATTTCCAGCGTGTGCAGATATTGTTACAGAACTTCAACTGGTCTTTTCTTTTTTCCCTTTAAGTATAGTTCCAACAGCAATGCCTTGCTCGTATAGTTGCTAGAGATGAAGAAGAACTCATATAACTTACTAAGCGTGTTATTGCGAAGCTTCCATAATTCATTATATCATTGCTTAAATTGACAGGTTGTAAACATAGCAGTTTTTTTATCCAAAATTGGGTTACAAATGTTTGGTCTCCCACGGCCGATAATGCTTGTTGAGAAAGCGTACATGTATAATGCTCACTCTTCTGACATGCTGTTATTGTTAAACATGCAAATGTGCTCAAACCATACATCTCTTCCTGTCCTTACATGCGTCAAGGTCGGGTACTATATCTTCAACAGTATGTAATATTTTGCTTCCCCTTCCCATTGCTTTGTTTGGTCCGCCAATCCGAAGAAGAAAAAAAGAAAAAAGACGATGCGGCGAGCAGGCCTTGACAAATGACATTTTCTTTCTTTTTACTTTTTGAGCAATCAAACTTTCGTTTTGTCCTTTCCAGCAATGATGATTTTGGAAGAGCTCAAGCTACCGGACGTGGAAAATACGGAAAATTATCGAAGAATCCCTTTCCAATTCACGGAAGAATGTATGAATGCATCAATACAGTTTTGAAAGTGTGCCTATTAGATTCATTTACGTCCCTCCCCCCCCCTTTCTGTCATCAAAATTTATATGAAAAGTGTCTTCAAAAAACGTGTATCTCAAATTACCAGATACATTTTCTCCAGTGGAGCGAATGATTCTTCAAGCAACGGGAAACCTGCAACGAATCCTGTCTGCTTATTACAATGTGCCTAGCCATGTCAAAATTGTTAAAAACCAGAGAGTCCCCTGCAAAGATACAACCCATATGCAATTCGATAGAAGGGTTCAGGTTTTCTTTCAAGAGAAACTGGCGTATGAAGCGGATTCAATTCTGAAGGTTAAAGATAAAAATGTACTAGAATTGATTGAAAAACACAAATACGGCTTGGGTCAAATTTTTGGGTAAGATGACAATGGGCCATTTTGATGAAAAAGAATAAGGAAAAGAACCCATAAAACCCGTTCGTACTCACTTTTCTGTCCGAAAAAGTCACACACACAGATCTCCCGATTTTGTATTACATGCCATTGGAAGACATGGTGAAGCACCAGGTGCAAGCTTTTGGCGCGATTACACGCTCACTATACCCGACGTACTAGATTGTTTTGTTAGGGAGACTTTTGTTGAAGGACTACTACATCCTTGCAATGGCAGCATTAATGCAGAAACTAAAGAGAATGCTCCAGGTGTCATCTATTTTAACAATACATCCGAACTATTTCAGTAGGCAAGCAAGATCACAACGATGTTGCCTTATAATTTAAAAAAGACTTAATTTATCCGACATTTATAAAAGACAGGAACTTCAGTAAATAAACTTAGACATAATCCTTTTTAAGTTACTATTAGACTTTATCTACTTCGATGTTAGTTTTCTTGCCTTGACCATGATAATATCATGCTATTCTTCCAAGAACAAACAACTCAACCTAGTCATTTCTCTCTTGCATAACCAATGATATCTAATGGGTTATAATTGACCTCGCCCAACTCCTACTCCTGTGCGCGTTACTGTTGACAATTTTAACGGTTCCTGATGTTTCATAAAAGCCAGCCCTGCCTCCTCGACTGCCCGCTTCTACCACAGCATCATGGAGTAACCGATGCAATGATGATTGATTTCCTCTCTATAGTTGGTAATCCTCGCTTACTTAGCTTGTTATTCGGGGCCGAATACTTTCTTAACATGCTTAAAATGCTTCAACTTTAATAAGAAAACGCGAATAAATTCATACACATGGTATGTACTACTAAAGTAAGCAGCAGCACTTAACCTGCGTCTACTTAACCCAGCTACATATCGAATATAACCAACAAGCCTTGCTATTATATGGCGCGGACAATGAGTGAGTCGTGTTATTGTTTGAAAATATGTGCCAAGGGAATGTATCCATAACGAGGGTTTGTTTTACATAACCCATATGCTGATGAGTTTCTGAGTCAAATTTACCCCCAGTAAAGAAGACTCTTGCCAGATCTGAATTGAAATGGACATGACACCACAATACCACCATGCCCAGTTATTGAGGGCATCTTCATTATCTTTGGACCATATTTTCGGCTATAGTTTGCTAGCACTGACTCCTACGATCATACGTCGCCAACTGTCAACCCAAGTTTCCTATTCGAATCCTCATTATTTCGAAAATGCTAGAAGGTTTTGTGTGACTTTCAAAATCAAATCCCCTTCTTTTTTTTTCCCTAAAATAAAATTTTGATATAAAAACACAGGAAAATAAAGACCTTAGCATACGAATTTTTTTTTGTTTTTCTTTTCTTTTCTAAACCATTCGTATCCTCTTTAACGAAATGTCTGCCGAAACCGAGACCTTTTCTTTCCAAGCTGAGATTTCTCAGTTGATGAGTTTGATCATCAACACCTTCTACTCCAACAAGGTAAATTTATATAGTGAAAAGCTATCAAGTGATGGGGCTGAACAACACGCGACTGACGTATACGTACTTGGACATGTTGTTCTTTCTACGCTTGTCGATCATTATAGGAAATTTTCTTGCGTGAATTGATCTCCAACTCTTCCGATGCTTTGGATAAGGTCCGTTACCAATCCTTGACTGATCCTTCTGTCCTCGACTCTGAAAAGGATCTTTTCATCCGTATCACTCCTGACAAGGAAAACAACATCTTGTCTATCCGTGATAGCGGTATTGGTATGACCAAGGCTGATTTGGTCAACAACTTGGGTACTATCGCCAAGTCTGGTACCAAGGCTTTCATGGAAGCCCTTTCTTCTGGTGCTGATATTTCCATGATTGGTCAATTCGGTGTCGGTTTCTACTCTGCTTACCTCGTTGCTGATAAGGTTCAAGTCATTACCAAGCACAACGATGACGAACAATATATTTGGGAATCTGCTGCTGGTGGTTCCTTCACCATTACCCGTGATACCGTCAACCCCTCTCTCGGTCGCGGTACTGAAATGCGTCTCTTCATGAAGGAAGATCAGGTAAGGATTTTAAAACTTGCAATCGGGATTGAAAAAATAAGGGAGGGGTATGGGGATATTAGAGTTACCGGCATTGAAAAACTAGGTTTGCTGATATATAAAATTTGTCATTGTTTAGCTTGAATACCTTGAAGAAAAGAGAATTAAGGATATCGTTAAGAAGCACTCTGAATTCATCTCTTATCCTATCCAATTGGTTGTTGAAAAGGAAGTTGAAAAGGAAGTTTCTGACGATGAAGCTGAAGAAGCTACCACTGAAGGTGCCAAGATTGAAGAAGTCACCGATGAAGAAGAAAAGAAGGAACAAAAGAAGAAGACCATCAAGGAAAAGGTCACTGAAAACGAAGAGCTTAATAAGACCAAGCCTCTTTGGACTCGTAACCCCGAAGATGTCAAGCCTGAAGAATATTCTGAATTCTACAAAGCCCTTACCAACGATTGGGAAGACCAATTGGCTGTCAAGCACTTCTCTGTTGAAGGTCAACTTGAATTCCGTGCTATCCTCTTCGTTCCTAAGCGTGCTCCTTTCGATATGTTCGAAACCAAGAAGAAGAGAAACAACATTAAACTCTATGTCCGTCGTGTCTTCATCATGGATGACTGTGAAGAGTTGATCCCTGAATGGCTCGGTTTTGTTAAGGGTGTTGTTGATTCTGAAGATCTTCCTCTTAACATTTCTCGTGAAATGCTTCAACAAAACAAGATCTTGAAGGTCATCCGTAAGAACCTTGTCAAGAAGTGTCTCGAAATGTTCCAAGAAATTGCTGAAGACAAGGAACAATTCGACAAGTTCTATGAAGCTTTCAGCAAGAACCTCAAGCTCGGCATCCACGAAGATACCCAAAACCGTGGCAAGCTCGCTGACTTGTTGCGTTACTACTCTACCAAGTCTGGTGATGAAATGACTTCCTTCAAGGATTACATTACTCGTATGCCCGAAAAGCAAAAGAACATCTATTATATCACTGGTGAATCTCGTACTGCCATTGAGAACTCTCCTTTCCTTGAAGGTTTCAAGAAGAAGGGTATTGAAGTTCTTTTGATGACTGATCCTATTGATGAATATGCTGTTACTCAGTTGAAGGAATACGAAGACAAGAAGTTGGTCTGTATCACCAAGGACGGTCTTGAACTCGAAGAAGACGAAGAAGAAAAGAAGGCTCGTGAAGAAGAACAAAAGGAATACGAAGGTCTTTGCAAGTCTGTTAAGGATATCCTCGGTGAAAAGGTCGAAAAGGTTGTTCTTTCTGCTATGTTGACTGACTCCCCTTGTGTCTTGACTACCGGTCAATTCGGTTGGTCTGCCAACATGGAACGTATTATGAAGGCCCAAGCTCTTCGTGATTCTTCCATGTCCAGCTACATGGCTTCTAAGAAGACTCTCGAACTCAACCCCAACCACCCTATTATCAAGGCTCTCAAGGCAAAGATCACTGCTGATGCCAATGATCGTACTGCTAAGGACCTTGTTACCTTGTTATATGAAACCTCTTTGTTGACTTCTGGCTTCAGTCTTGATGATCCTAGCTCTTTCGCTACCCGTATCAACCGTATGGTCTCCCTCGGTCTCTCCATTGATGATGATGAAGTTGCCCCTGCTGACGAACCCGTTTCTGAAGCTCCTGCTGAAGAAGCTGCTGAAGTCTCCAAGATGGAAGAAGTCGACTAAATTGTATGATTCACATTGTATTATTTCTTTTTCTTTTCTTTTTTTCTGTTCACCTCTCATACTTTCGATGCCTCTGTATTCATCATTTAACTATTTCTTTTATTATAAGTAATTATTCTTTCCATTTATTATTCTTTTTTCCAACCAAAATGAAAAAAGTGGGTAGACTTTGTATAAATTAAGGTCGCTTCTTTTTTGTAATAAATCGCTAGTATATATATAGATACTCTTTCTTTATAACTTGTAGCTTTTTTAATTTCCTTTTTTCGTTCTTTCATTTTACAGTGCTGTCGAGGCCAATGGTGGTTTATGATAATTTAGCTTGTCATAAATGTCATTTTCTGTAGGCATCATCTGTCTGATATTGGAAACCTCCATCAATTTTCGTTGTCCGCCATTGGGCGCTTCCAGCACTGTAAAGCCCGTGGTAGCTGTCTGGAATTTAATTTTAAAAGAAAGGAGCTCAACAAACAATTGCTATGCATTTTAGTTGGCTAGGTATTGTAGGGCAAGGTGGCGTTTATCAAGGAGACATTACAGTCTTCCCTCACAATTCAAAACTACCAATAACCCGGTCTGCGTGATCCCAGCTTATGATTGATAAAAATACAATTATTATGTTCGGTTGAACTATTTGATGCTATTGTCCAAACATTCTCAAATCAGTGAATGTAAGGAAAGGAGGAAAAAAGGGGTGTGTGGCGTGTTGGCCATAATCTACCGAGGTGGGCTCTTTACTTACAGATGATGTTCACTTCATTGGTAGGTTTTAAGAATGATAGCTTATTCTCGAGGACTATCTTTAGAAATATGTCTTGCTGTGTCTAAATGCTTTCCCAATGCGGGATTAAATTGTTTTTAATTATAAAGTACCGTGAACGAGATGATGAATGATCCATTTTTTCCAACTTCTTTTCCCCATTTCAGTGCAGTTAAGTGCAGCAGACAAAAAGTATGGGTAACTCACATTCCAAGAACAAGCAGCAGCCTATGAGCGCTTCTGCTCCTGCAACTGAACAGCAATTTACCAATGACAACCCTGCTCCTGCTGCTGACAGCAATAATAATCAAATTCCTTTCAACGGCCCTGCTACCAATGGATCTATCATTGCTGGCTATTTCGCTAACTGGTACGCTCTAGCGCTAATAGGCGTATGATTTGAGTTCATTGTGGTATATATGATATACTTATAATGTTACTTTTTTTTGTTAACAATGAACTTAGGAAAATCTATGAAAGAAAATACAATGTTACTGATTTAGCTTTGCAAGCTGAGAAATTGACGCACATTTTGTACGCTTTCGCCAAAATTGAAGAAAATGGTCAGGTTGTTCTCTCTGTAAGTTGTTCAAACGTTATATATGTGTAGGTATCTTTATATAGAAGAGTTGGTTAATAACGGTACATACCAACTTGTATTTATAGGACGCATGGGCTGATGTTGAACAACCTCTTCCTGCTGGTAAGTCGTTATATATGAAGATAATCATTGCGTTAATTCCCTGTTACTAATTGATCTCAACCTGAAAAAAAAAAAAAAAAGATTTGGCTATCAACGGCGTAGATGATGTGGCCGACCAAGGCGAAAACGTTCATGGTAACTTTAAGCAACTCTATTTACTCAAGCAAAAGTATCGTCATCTGAAGATATCTCTCAGTGTTGGTGGCGCTTCTTGGTCTACAAACTTTGCTGCCATCGCTGCGGATCCTGCCAAGCGACAAACTTTTGTTCAAAGCGCCGTCAAATTGGTTGCCGATGTTGGTTTAGATGGTCTGGATATCGATTGGGAATTTCCTAACGATGACAACGAAGCTGCTTCTTATGTCCAGTTATTGGCTGAAGCTCGTGCTGCTTTGGATGCCTATCAACAACAATGCCAGCAAGTAGATCAACCTCGCTTCCTGTTGAGTGTTGCTGTTCCCTGTGGTCCTGATAATTACAGAAAACTTCGTTTATCTGAAATGCAACAATACGTCGATATTTTCTATTTGATGGCTTATGATTATGCTGGTTCCTGGGATAACGTTTGTGGCCATCAAGCTGCTTGCTATAACTGTCCTCTTAACACCAATCAAGCTGTCAATGATTATTTAGCAGCTGGTGTTCCCTCACAAAAATTGGTTGTAGGTTTGCCCATGTATGGCCGTGGCTTTTCTAATACAGACGGTCCTCAATGTGCTTATCAAGGCGTTCCTCAAGGTACCTGGGAAGCTGGTCTCTTTGATTACAACTGTTTACCTAAGCCTGGTGCTACCGAATATACTGATATGGAAAAGTTAGCTTCCTGGTCTTATGATCCCAATCTTCGTGAATTCATTACTTACGATACACCTGAGGTTATCAGCGCAAAGTGTAACTATATTAAGCAAAACAACTTGGGTGGCGCTATGTTTTGGGAACTTAGCGCTGATCGACATCCTGAAGATCCTCGCAACTTAGTTAACGCTGTATATAACGTCTTGGGTGACCAAACAGATACTGTTTCTAACCATCTTCAATATCCTTATAGCCGTTACGAAAATGTCAGAAGCCAAATGGCATAGTTTTCTAATATTCTCGTGTGTCCTTGCTGCAACAATTAAGGGGCAATTCTTAATGTGATGTCGTGCAACTCTGGGGCACATGGAAACACATTTACAAAGCATTTTAGACTTTTTGCTTTGCTTTTTTTTTTCTTTTTCTTTCTTCTATGTATTTTCTTTTATTTAATAAACTTTTAACATTTTAATACCTCACATTTCCCTTTATTGATCCGCGATTTCAACATGAATATCAGCGATGTTCAACAAATGGGTCTCCCAACAAATATTACGGTTACAATTCCTGACGCCCCTTTCTACGGCACGACGACAATATCACCATCACAGCGACGGCTTGAAAGAATGGGTTCTGGAGAGGACTTTGATCTGTTTGGAACGTTGGTCTCTAGAAGCTCAGTAACATCTCAAATGAGTAACGTCTGATAGATATTTTTCATTTTCAAAAAAAAAACCAGACCGAATTGAATAAAAAAGAAAAAAAAAACGATCTGTATTTTCGACCCATTCTCTTTACTATTAGACTTTGTCAGAAAAGTCTGCACGATAACATTATCCCAACTTTTATTTGTCACACTGTTAACAATCACTCTCACCAACTCCTCCTATTGGCACCAACAAAGGTTCATTCACAATTTTTCATCAAACCATATGTGTCCAACTGGAAGAGCTTTGTATAGTTCTTTTCCTGATCTAACATTGTCTGAATAAAATCTATACTAGTCGTTATATTTGGTGGGTGTTATTGTTTCCGGCTGCTCTGATATCCATCATTTCCGCTTGGCATTTATGGACGCAATATTACCAATTGTCATTCATTAGCAGAGGCGTTGCGCTAGCGATCTATTCGCTTTCTGTGTCATTCATCCTCTCAGATATAGGTACTTTTCCAAGCATAAAAAGATGAAGAATTGGATATTGATATACTAACTACAACGGCTGAATTGTATGATCGAAAAAAAAGTGTCAAAGACTTTCCATGCATATGGTTTGATTGTCTTTCTAATGACATCTTTCGGAATTCTTAGTATCATCTTGTATACGTTCCAAAAAAGGTACAAATTCACTGGAACAAAGCCATTGTAAGTTAGTTATACTGGGGACGCGAGCGGCAGTGGGTGAGGCAGATGGAGGAGAGAGTCTTTACTATTTTATGGACAAACGTGAAGAAACGATCAAAAGTATTCTTAAATCGGCGTGCAATTCCATATCTGTAGTTTTTGTTCCACCGCATTAGTATGTATAAGCTCTCTAGGATTAAGAGAAGTTTATCAATTGAATCCTATGCAAATCCTTTTACCTATCGCTGTTTCAAGTGTTATATGTAGTTACTGCATACTAGAACTCTATTATGCAATGGATGCTATGACGGTGGATGACTATATTCTGGCGAACTTATCTTTTCACATGGACCTGGCGTATCCTATAAATTGCTTACATCATGTATGTGAATTATCTGATCATATCGATAATATTCCAGAGTATTTTGATCCCGAAGCATCCTCTGTTTTGGACGACGATTAAAAATAAAAAAGAGGCTGGACAAATTATGGACACTCTAAGGGTAGCTCACTAAGAATGATAAAGTTAGAAATTTGAAGCCTTGCAAAACTAATTGCAATAACTCGTGGTTTACTCTATGTTACAACCTTGATTTATGATTCACCGTACGGTTAGCTCGTGTTTAACGGGCACCTATAAATTGAACAAGTGAAATAAAAGCTCCAATACTAATAAGAGAATGTCGTGACCGCAACATTTAATATCAATTAAGTTGTCTGTAGGTCGGCGTTACTATTCTGCATATGAGATTAAAGATTAACGCTCAATCAGTATACTTCAGGAAAAAACGCGTGTTTTTCTGATTTGAGAACGGAAGGAGTAAATAAACGTGCCCATCAGCTCTTCAATTGGAATATCAATGATGGATTAAAAGAAAACCCAGGAGCTGAAGTGGGTTGATGTGATACGACTCATTGGTCTATCTATTAGTTTTGAATATAAACAAAAAAAAAAAAAAAAAAAAAAAAAAAACTTTCCCGCCTTGCTTACTCAATACATCGCTTCGCTTTTATAACCAGAAGCTGAGGCTCAAAATATCAGAAACAAAAACATAAAGGGACCCTTCCGTGCTTGTTATTGTACACTCTATTTGGTAAGTAAGTTGCTGTAGGGGAGAAGCGCAGAAAGGAACAAGACAAAGAAAGATTTTGCAAAAAAAAGAAAAAAAATAAATTAACAAAACATTAGATGTCATACTTTTATTAAATGATCAGGATGGAATAAGAAAGGAACTTTTTACAAGACTTGTGTACATGATATACGTGGATATTAAAGAATAATGAGAGGTAGTAATAGTATAATTGTTGGAGGGATGAAAAGATAGCTTACATTGATGATGCATGGTATTTAAAGGTGTTTAACGGAAACGAAGATAAAAGTTGACGATAATAGCGCCGACCAAGAGAACACAAAGGACAGCAGGGCCCCAGAGATCATCATAACGGCCAACGACACGACGATTAATCATCCTAAAAGAAAAGAGAACGAAGTGTTAATTCTGAAACTATAGAACAATTTGCAAATAGATAAAGTCAAAACTTACCAAGCACGCTTTTCGAATTGATATAAGGCATAAATAGCAATACCAGCTGAAATACCAATGAAAATAGCACCTGCAATACGAGACACGCTATCACCAAAGTTAAGCAAGTTGAGCGCTACGGATAACAATAATGCACAGAATTGAAGCCATGAAATGAAGGTACGTTCGTTAGAGAAGAATACTTTAGGCTCTACTTTCACCTTCTTCACAGCAATCATGTTGTTGGGATCGTTAGGATCTTTAACAAACATTTGGGTTTCAAATGGTTTCTTTCCACCACCAGAAGCACCGGCCATATCTAAACGAATGTCACCCTTATCAAAAACGATGTCTTCACCAACAGCCCCATCCTTACGCTTCATCTTCTTGTCACGCAAAGGACCATAATTGAGAGGATCTTCACCTTTTACGACCAATGTCGACTGCATACGATGCGGTCGGTTGTCCCAATTACTGCTGTCGGAACGATTGACTACACCTGTATCAAGGTAATTGCTACTTTTGTTGCCTCTCGTCTTTCCGTCACTAAGGGTATCCAAGCTTCCTCTTCCAAGCGCGGCTTCGTTCACGATTTCCATACGTAATTGTTCTGCTTCCATAGCGCGTTTGTATTGACCATCAATCAAAGGCTTGAAGGACTTGGATCGAGACAAACCAAAGTTAGATGCGCGAGGTTTACGGATATCAATTTCCATTTCGGATAACCACCAAGGTAGTAGAGGAATACGATCACGGAATAGATAAGAAGCACCATGAAGGTATTTAGAGAAATGAGGCACTTCATGAACAAGATGAGATTCTAACAATTTCACCAACCATGCGGGTGTTTTCTTCTTGGACTTAGCTTCCAAAACAGCATAAGGAAAACGTAGCACTTCATTTTCATCAAGTTGGCTGAATGGATAGTCAATACCAACATCAGGACGCCTCCAGTCATTAGGACCTCTGCGCGCACCTGCTTCAGTGTTGTCTTCACGTATAAAGGTCAAATCATTATCAATATTGATCTGCACACTGGGATCGTCAGGTAATTGAAACTTGACACGGTTGTAGAAAACCCGACACATTGGTTTCAGGCCCTTCTCCTTAATGGACTTTTGGATGCCAGATGCTACGAATGCACACTCGTCGATGATTTTTGAATCAATGATGCCTTGTGATTTAAGTTTGTTGGTAAATTCGTCCGCTGTAAGGGTGCCGTTAATGAACTTCATCACATCGTCACTGGCAAGCTGAATACGGTCTTTGACCGATTTGCCATCCGCCCACTCAGCATGATATGTGCTACGTTCCGCAAAGACTTCTGAGTTGGTGGTGGGGCCGTGCCATTTAAATCGGATAGCTTCACCACCTTCATCCCGCTGTAATAAGCTTGTATAAAGACCAAAATCATCATTATCGAGATAGACACTAGAGATAGCAGAGTCAGTAGGTTCATAACGTTTCTCTGGGTCATGGAAAGCGACAGGTAAATGAAGCATGATAATCGACTTGACTTCAGTGATGTTGTCGGGGTGAATCCAATATTTAACTGTGCCTCTGTCAGTAGAAGAGGACAAAGTATCTTTACCGCTTTGAGTGCTAATGGGACGTGGTTTGCCTCTTTGTCGACAAATGTCGTGCAATGCCGAAATGAAAACAATGGCGACATCAAATCTTTGTTTGTCTAAGGGCTTAGCTCTCAACTGAGGTATAAAGTCCTTTTGAAGCGTTAGTCCCGTCCATTTGTCGTGCTTTTTCAATATTTTCTGAAACCCAATGTAATTAAGTCTGGTAAATTTTGCCAAATCATTAACGTCAAATAAAACTTCTGTTAATGCATCGTCCATAACAATCCAATTTTCGTCTGAGCTGTAAGTGGGGTTTTGAATAAAGGTTTGTATAGTACGTTCACAGTAACTGATTCTGCCTTCCACTTCATTCAATTTGGCTGAAACAAAATCATAGACCTTTTCTAATTCATTTTCGAGTCTGTGTACAAAATCCTGCTCATCTTCTTCGTTCCATTGATGATCAAGCTGTCGAGACTTCAATTCTTTTTTCAAAACGTCATAATTTATATAGGATAGACGCCATGGTGGAAACGTTTCTTGTTGCAAGTGTTCGCCGAATTTCATTTTATTTCTTCACTACGTGTTTGTGTTACGGATACAAGGAACAGTTATTTGATGTCGGTAAAGAGTGACAAAAGAAAGGAAAGAATATGGATGGTAAAGAAGTGATTTGAGAAAAGAAAAAAGAAAAAAAGAAAAGTAAACCAAAAAGGTTAAAAAATAGGAAAAAAAGTTAGTTTTTAACAGCAATAATCGTGGTTTCGGCCCTAATACTTTCGCCAGTTATAAATAGCAGGTTTTTGACAAGCTAAACATTCATTGTAAGTTTTTTTAAAAAAGAACAGCAGCACACATATACCAAAAAAAAAAAGACCGGCATTTAGGAAGCCGATTGTTATGCCACATATCCAATGTTTTCGTATGCCATGAAGTAAGCGAAAAAAAAAAGCCCTTTAACCGATGTGTTAAGCCAATGGTTGCATGTCTTAGTAGTTCGGTTTTTGAATATCCTTTTTCCTGGTATATGTGAGTGAGTGTATCTGTCGTATGCCGCCTTGTTGTGCTCGTCCTTTTTGTGAGAGCAAATTTATAAATTGTTCTAATAACAAGTAAGTGTATTTATTGAACTTACATAAAGCACGTTGTTCAATTGAGTAATATCACTTAATAAAGTTGAGTTGAATGATTGATCTGCCTCGGATCCCTTTGCTGAAGAAACGTACACACTGGATCATTAACGGATTCATCGACATTGGTTATTCTGAGTTCAATCGAAACAGAACATAGCAATAGATCTACAATAAATATTCTAAAAGCGCTGTTCATCTTTTCTGAGACAGTTTTATAAACTTATTCACCGGTCTGCACACATAAAAGGTGGATCCTGGGACGTACAAAATACGAACTGATGCTTTCTAGGACATGGCGGTTGTTGGATCTATTTTCTTTTTTTTTTTTTTGAGCCCCCGTGTTCAAGCTGAGTCAGTCAAACAGGGAGACACATGTCAAATTTAGAACGCTAAAAATGTTTCAAAAAAATAAAACAAAAAAAAAGGAAGAAGTATAATGCCTTCAATTGGATAAGCCAGTAAAGGATATACAGTTACTTTGGAAGTGATTAATTCACCGCAATGAAAGCTGTGAAAAATTCTATCAGCTATGAGCTGCTCATACATGCATATCTAATAACCTATTACATCTTCACTGAATAGTAATTGCTGACAAGAAACCTTGGCAAGAGGATGGGTTCATTTTGGTTTCAAGACGTCCCGCCGCCCGACTCCCCACAACCCTCCCTTCATAGAGGGCTAAGCGAAACGGTGGTGAGACTGGCATTCTGAAAAGAAAGAAAAGAAAACGTATTAAATGCACAGACTACGATGGAAACTTAAGCAAGCATCGAGCATGGAATCCGGATAATTAGTTCCGGACATTGACAAACAAAAACAGAAGGTCGATGGACTTAAGGTTATTCTTTTACTGTCGATTAACACTAAAATGTAACAGATTTTTTCAAGCCGCAGGTTTATTTATATTTTGGCGGGAAAAGCTTAATAAATAGTGAGATTTGAATACGAATTCATTATGCATAAGAGTGTTATAAGAGGATATATGGAAAATACAAGTTGTATTATTACGGCGCACAAATAACAAAGAAGTTGTTGTGATGAGGGTCGAAGAAAAAAGGATGATGAGAAGATGTTGGCATTACAAACCACTATCATCCTCTGTCTGAGTTTTGTTTGTACCCAAGTAACCAGTCGTCGGCGACGGATGGTTATATCTTAAAACGGCATTAAGCTGATCGAGTAAAAAAAAAAAAAAAAAAAAAAAAAAAAAAAAAAAAAAAAGAGTTATTAGAAAAAACGTGTAAAAATAAGGGGAAAAAAATCATATACACCTATATATTTCCTCAAAAAACACTTACCACTAAGCAGCCAACCAAAAAGATACACAGAAAGACGGGACCGAAAATATCATCGAAACGTAGATGTGGCTTGTGAGTGATACGCCAGGCACGCCATCTTGAGAAACCAAATGAATATAATGCGAAGACAATAGCAATACCGAAAAAGATACCTCCAACAATTGTGTTGATTCGATCACCGAAATTAATCAATGTAATAGCTAAAGTTAACAAAATGGCTGCAAAGTTGAGCCACTGCATGTAGGTACGCTCGTTGGCAAAGAACACCTTCGGCTCAACGGTCGCGCCGCCAGCATTTTTGTCTTTCTTCTTCTTCTTCTTTTTCTTCTCTTTAGTTGGACCCTCCCCTTCTTCCAGCGCAGCGATGTCTTCATTAAAGTAATTATTTAAACAAGTGTTCTCTGTGACCTTCTCCGAAGCATTCTTTTCATCTGGGCCGTAAGAGTTTGGAGAATTCGGCGAGCGTTTAGCGATAAGATATTCAGTGGATGAAGTATCAATAAAATCCGTTGTACGACGACCGTCTGATAAGCCCATTCGACTCATGTTGATAGAAGAGTTGAGTGAACCACGAGCACCTAAAGAATCGTAGGAAAAATTGTTTTTGGACCATATCGGGTCGACAAAAGGATTACCACTTTTATTGGCATCTGTCACTGAGAAGCTCTGCGACGACAATCGAACATTACCTGTAGTTGCTGCTCGAAAGAGTGGAGTGCTGGGTTCATGAATGGAGTTGGTTTCAGAGGGACGTATTAATCTTGAAGATCGAGTCGAATAACCACGCACCAGGCTGGGTTGTTTGTCATTGTTGTCACTATCAGTTCTTTTCAGAGTAGATACATCTGCTGAAGGAGAATCTAAAGTAGCATAGACGCCGTCCGATAATTGTATCGGTTTATAGCTTTTATAGCTGGCCAAGTTGGACGAATCTGCTGTATTTGATCTATTTATATTTTCTTGTGGTCCTTTATCACTATCCATCATTATATTATGTGTGTGTGATATATGATATCTATATAAATATATTTATGTATATATGTATGTTTGTATACGTTTAGGTTATGTGTAAGAAAAAGAAATAGATAGCAGGTTAGGTATAATATAACAAAAAAAGGGAAAATGAAAGAAATAATAAAAAGATGGGATAAAAGCTAAAAAAGAACTCCTACAAAAAGGAAAGATATATTTTTAGGCACAAAACAATGGCGGTGTTTCTAGTTTTTATCCTGAGTTTCAAGCAGTAATACGGATGTTGTGAGACAGACAAGAATGATGATGCCACACTTCCTTACGGACCTCGCAAGTAAAACAGCTTGTTAGCTAACACACAGTCCACTTTTCGTCAACCATGTGCTACGGCAATTTTTGTATGGTAGTACAATCTGCTCCACTTATTTGTCCTTTTAGCACGTAGATGTGTAGCAAGTAGATCAGCAGCAAAGACACGTATCTAATCTGATTCTCAACATTTAAAAAAAAGTAAAGTTCTTTAAAAGTCTTTGGTCATTAGCCTCGTTGAAAGGTTTATGGCACGTTTCGTATTGTGAATAATTAACTACATCATTTTCGTAAAAAAAAAAAATCAACAATCATGGAAACGCCGATATTCTGCTGCCGCGTTTGGATAGTTTAAAGCGATTAAAGATTTTTAATTCTAATGACCCTTCTTCATTCGTTTGTTCGTTTATTGATTGAAGAGGTGAAGTGAAAAGTATTGCTCTCTTCATTTAAATGTCTCATTTAGCAACTCTATTATGTAAGGTATATCTTTCTTTTGCTATATAGCAATTTATGTGCTTAGAAAAATGTATCAAGACACATTGATCTGCCCTGCCTGGACTTCATGCACGCTGTGCAGCAGTAATGCAGGCAGTTCCCGCCCAAACCCATCATTTAGTTTTTATCTCTGCGTATTTATGCGCGGCAAATAAATGTGGTCGGTAAGTCATCTGCAACTTGCCTTTTCCGCTCAGCCACAAAATAGAAGGGTGACCGACGTCACGGAAATTACAAGCAATATGGGCTTCAAGTGCAGAAAAAAAAAAAAAAAAAATATGGTGCAAAAATCCGCTCTGCTAATAGGGCATAACTCTTCTGCATATTCCTTGTTCAACAATCAAAACAACAACAACAACAAGCTGTTTAGTTGGAGGTGCAAAAACACTGTTGAGCAGAAAACTTAGTTCCTTTATTTTTCAGACTTTTTTTTTGTTAGCCTAATCTCGTAATTCGTAAATTTGCAGTCCTTTGAAACAGTCATTGTAACTGAAAGCAGGAAAAAGATGCTAACTTGTTTATTGTCATTCCTTTATTCTGATATTGTTAGAAGTATTGTTGAACAATACAAAAAAAAAGAAAAAAGCTCTAAATCGTTTTCAGTAACTAAAGAGAAATAACAATAGTAAGGCACACGTTATAATTCTATTACTTTATAGAGACCTTTTCTAAAGAAGAGAAGGATTTAACGTCTGTGCATTTTTTATTTTATTTTTTTATTTTTTTTCAAAAAATAAATAAAAAAGGACGAAACGCAATGAGTGCCTGGCAACCATCCCCTCAAGGTCTTTCTGATCTTTTACAACTCTTACGTGAAGCCATCAATCCCAGTAACGAAGGTGGTCAAAATGTTCAAGAGGTAAACATTACCCTTTGGATTGCAGTTTGCGGTTAATGTATTAAACATTCTTCACCATACCTTAGAGACTTGAATATTTCAACAAAATTCCTGATTACAACAATTATTTAGTATACATCATGACTCAAATGCCACAAGAAGATCAGTATATCCGTTCTGTAGCTGGTTTGACACTCAAGAACAATATCAGATCTTATTACCCTAGTATTCAGCCAGAAGTACTAGAGTACGTAAAGCAATGCTGTATACAGCATATTGGTGATGCCGAAGTTGGCAAACCTGTCAGTTTAGTCATCGCAGCCATCGTCTCTCGTGGTGGTATTCAAAGCTGGCCACAGATTCTTCAGGTTTTATTAGAAAAGGTCGATGATCCCAATCCTTCTATGGTTGAGGTGAGTTATGGGGAACAATCATTTACTGTTTTTTTTATATTTCTTTTTTATTAAAAAAAGAAACCAAGATTTATCAGTATGACTGACCATTTCTTTCTTTCTGATTCAACCAATTTTTGGTACATTGACACGTTTTTTAATAACAGAACGCGTTTAGTACCTTCCACAAAATCTGTGAAGACTGTGCTCGTGATCTTGATAGTGTCATTGCAGGCGTAAAGCCTTTGGAATTCATGATTCCCAAATTCATCCAATTTTTCAACCATCCCAACTCCAAGGTTCGTCATCATGCAGTCAGCAGTGCATCTCAATTTATCACCCTTCGTTCAGAATCTTTGATGTCTCGAATGGATGAATATTTAAGCTCACTTTTCAACAGAGCTACTGATGATGATATAGAGGTCAGAAAGGATGTCTGTCAAGCACTTGTCAGCTTGCTTGAAATCTGTCCTCAGGTCCTTCTACCTCATCTACCTAATTTGATTGAATATATGCTCTTCTCTACCCAATCAGAAGATGCTGATCTCGCTCTTGAAGCCTGTGAGTTTTGGCTTGTCTTTGCCGAACATGAAGAGCCTGAACATCTTCGCCCTTATCTTCCCAAAGTCGTTCCTGTCTTGTTGAAGGGTATGGTCTACTCTGAACTCGATCTTATGACACTTGGTGGCGATGAAGATGATGCTCATATTGCAGACGACGAGCAAGACATCAAGCCACGTTTTCATAAAGCCAATGTGGTTGAAAACGAAGGCGCTGGTAAGACAGAAGATGCTAATGCTGCTGATAAGAAGAAGTCAGGGTTGCTGGATGACAACGAGTCAGATTTGGATGATGAGGACGAAGACGATGATTATGATGAGTTCGAAGATGACGAATTCTACGGTGAATGGAATTTGAGAAAGTGCAGCGCTGCTACCCTTGACGTTTTATGTACTACGTATGAAAGTGAAGTGATTCAAATTCTCATTCCTCTTTTGAAGGGTGAACTTGAAAGTGCGGATTGGCTTCATCGTGAGTGCGGTATTTTGGCTCTTGGTGCCGCTGCTGAAGGTGGTATGCACGAAATCGCTCCTCATCTCCCAGAACTTGTCCCTTACTTACTTAGTAATTTGAATGATCCCAAGGTAAGTTTATTCGCATTTTACTTGGAAAAGAGATATTTTCGTAGGCTGGAATGGCAGTAACCCGTTTATTTATTATTTTGCTGTTATACAGCCTCTTGTCAGATCCATCACGTGCTGGACCCTTGGCAGATATTGTGGTTGGATTGTCTCCAGTGCCAGACAAAGTCCTGAAGCTCGTCAACATTACTTTGAACCTCTTATTCAAATCCTCTTACAGCGCATTTTAGACAACAATAAGCGTGTACAAGAGGCTGCTTGTTCATCTTTTGCTCTACTCGAAGAAGAAGCTGCCGCTGATTTGATCCCTTATCTCCAACCTATTCTTACCACTTTCTCAGCTGCATTCAACAAATATCAACATAGAAACTTGTTACTCTTATTAGACACTGTTGGAACATTGGCTGATATGGTTGGCGATAGCTTGAATAATCCTCAATATATCGAACTTCTTATGCCACCACTTATCAGAAAATGGGAAGAAATTTCAGATGACAGCAATGATTTGTTCCCCTTGTTAGAAGTATGTTTTTGGAGCTTTATCAGCAATCCTTCAATTGTTTTCGTAGGTTGCTAATTCAAGTTTTTTTCTCTTGCTAGTGTTTCTCGTCAGTGACAACCGCCTTGGGTAAAGGTTTCAAACCCTTCGCTGCACCTGTTTACAATCGTTGTATCAAGCTTGTCTGCGGTATCATTGAAGAATGCCGTATGGCTGCTATGGATCCTACATTAGATGAACCAGATAAAGATTACATGATTGTCTCTTTAGATTTACTTTCAGGCATTGTTCAAGCCCTCAACACAGAAGCCGAACCCTTAGTAGCAGCTACAAATCCTCCTATTATTCAACTTATAAATGTTTGCATTCAGGTACAGTAATAGTGAAACTGATTTTTTTTTTTAAAAAAAAAAAAAAGAAGAATGATTAAATGGTTAATACTTGAACAATATGAATAGGATGAAGTTGCTGAAGTCCGTCAATCCACCTATGCTTTACTTGGTGATCTCGCCATCTCTTGCTTCGAGCATATTCGTCCTGTTATCCCTCAATTCATGCCTCTTTTACTTCAACAAATTGTATACCAACCCGATTTAGTGTCTGTCTGTAACAATGCCACTTGGGCAGCTGGTGAAATCGCTATTAAATGGGGAACTGAAATCAGTGAATACGTTGAACCTTTATTACAACGTCTGTTCCCTCTTATGGCGAATGCTCAAATTCAACGTACACTTTTAGAAAATGTTGCTATCACCATCGGACGTCTCGGTAGTGTCTGTCCTACGATGGTTGCTCCTCACTTAGAAATGTTCATCCAACCATGGTTAATGGCTCTCAGTCCTATCCGTGACAATGATGAAAAATTTTCTGCGTTTGAAGGTCTATGTGAAATGATCAAAGTGAACCCTCAAGGTGCCGTGAAGGAATTCTCTAATTTTTGTACAGCTGTAGCCAACTTCCAATCAGTGTCAAGTAGCTTGAATGAATCCTTTGGTAATATTTTGATGGGTTATAAGAACATGTTTGGTGAAGCGCAATGGCAACAAGGTTTAGCTACTATTCCAACAGAAGTAAGACAAGTGTTACACGAACGCTATGGTATTTAAGCTTCTTCTTCTTGCCGATAAGGCCTTATCTAATAACAACATAAAATACACATGCATAGTTTGTATTAATTTAAAGTTTAACAAAAACGAAAAAAACGGGAAAAAAAATGAAAAGAAAAAATAAGGGATTTCAGTTTTGTAAAGCCTTCCATTTTTTATTGCCTAAATCATATTGAATTCATATTAATTGTATACAGATCAACAAAGGTTCAATATTGACATAATTGTGGACGCGTTCTAGCATCAATCCCAAGCATACGTATAGCCAAATAATTGATTAAATTAAAACAAGAAAAGGGTTACAGCAGTCATTGATTTTCTCAGCATCAATTTTATTCAAGTCTTCTTTATTAAAACAAATGGCTCTCATGATATGGCCGCTTTAAATCAAAGAGAAGTTTCGTTGCGTTGGCCTTGATAAAGCAACAGGATAGCCTATAGATTATTGGTTTTGACGACTGTTGTTCAACATTTTTATTATCTTCCGTATTTTCATAATTATATGGTCTAAGAATACCTTTTCGTGTTTCAGCAGGAGTGTCTTGTTCTGTTCGGCTAACAGCCCTATTGCTGATAACAATACCGAGCTCATACCAACAGTCATGATGCGTTTAAGGATCTGGTACTTCAAATACTTGCATATATTATAACAGTGGGTGATATGGGCCTATGCTGTCTTCCGTTGAAGAAGCTTGAATTTGTCCCCTTCTTCATCAATTATTTGTAATAGTGTATTTCGGAAAGAAACAGATTTGTCCTTACAAAAAAAAAAAAAAAAAAAAAAAAAAAAACCTTTATAATGAAGAAATTTTAGAGTGAAGGCATTATTTGTCTACTACTGCAGTTCCGTAGCTAGCTTTTCTATCTATGGAGCGAAAGATTCTTTATTGAAAATCATAGTGTGCTTACGAATTGAACGTATCTGAAGTATAATAAGCAAAAATTGGTCTGAAGTATCAATTTGAATAAACGTCGATATGAAAGTACTATCCCTTAATTATGGAGTATCCTCGTAAAATAAAAACACTTCATTATTTATACTTCTTTTTCTTCTAGCCAATTCTCCAACTATATTGAAGACATAGAAGCTTCTGTATCAGCCCTCACCAATTTGCAATATTTATCGTCATACTCAATAGTTTCGTTCATACTACCTTATAAAAATTTTTTACTGTATCTTCCATGAGGTTTAAGAGCTTGTAAATATCTCTTCCGCGACTGAAAAAATCCTTATGTACACTTTGAAAAACATGCATTGATCTCCTTCGATCGTGAAATCTGCCGTAGCATTTAGTTTCATCATTCTCTTGTACTATTCGTTTACAGAAGGGGCAGTAAAACAAGTTCTCGGTATGGTAATAATTTTCTATTTTCTCAAAGACGGCATCATAGCGTTCTTTTATCTTATCAAAGATCCTTGTTTCAGACATATGTTTCGCTTCTACCAAGAATAATTGATGAAAGAAATGACGAAGTAGCTACCATATACCTTTGACAATTTATAAAGGGCAGAACGACCTGTTTATCTGTTAGAGTATTAATCACTCTCATATGATATATATATATGTATATATCCCTAACTTAGCCATAATTGTAAAAAGTTAGAGCTAATACTCTACATCAATTACAGTTGGACTAACAGTATCCAAAACAACAGTTGCCTCGATTGATAATAGTGGCTTTCGCTATAATGATCCCTACGCCGATTGACCCGTGTTTATCAAGCCTTTTTTAAACATAGAATTAGATACAGTTCGATGAAGCACAATTAAGGTATGAATTCGATATTAAATTTACAGATTTATTCAGTTTGGAATAAGCATAAAACATATCGCAATCAATTCAAGCAATTAGAAAGCTGATATAGAGTTAAAATTGATATATCTGTGTAAAATTGTATGCGGCTAATACTGCGCAGAAATGCATAATTACCTTCGAACATCCATTACTGTTATTATCTCGTTTCCGTTCATGCTATTTCCATTTTTACCAACAAATTTTTTTTATAGCTACAACAATAGTCCGGTTACTATAATTCTTTCCCATGCTGCGTAAAAACGATGACCAGCCTGGCAAATTTTCTTACACACACAATGCCTTTAGTTTTGCAGAATTTTGGAAATTGGTTTACGCAATTTGATAATGTGCAAAATGAATTCAAACGTCCAAATACACTGCGGGGGTTCACTTTTGATGTACGGTTAGTAAATAAACTCATGTTGTTACTTTGTTTCCTAAAGCCATTGTTTTTCTTTCACAATCGCCTTGTGATCTGCTCTATTGGACATACTATTTCCCATGATTTAGTGTTGTTATCAGGCGTTCATTTATTCGTTACATTATATCATTTTTTTAAAATAAATAAGTAGAGTCGATATAAGAAGGGTCGTATAAATAAGAAAGAATGAGAAGGGTTTATATTCTCTGAATATATTCGCATCCGTTGTATCCATTTGAGTTGCAACATTTTACATAATAGTGGCTATTCATTGCTTGAGTATCTCCAATTCGTATCTCAAATCCTCATTCTCTTTTCGCAATAGATCATTTTCTTTGACTCTTTGCTGTATCAAATTTTCTAAATGATCGATTGTAGCCAACAATTCCTCGTTCACATTATTGTTAGAAGCTGCAACGGTATTAGTAGGAATATTAGAGGATGGTTTTTTTGCTACAAAGGAAGCTGTTGTAGCAGCATTAAAATTGGAATAGATATCTTGTAATAATTGCCTTTGAGAGTCGTTGATGCGCAGCAATTCTTCTATTTGGTAATAAGGATTTGTCAATAAAGATCCATGCAAAGGATGGGAAGATAAAGAGGAAACGGAAATAGACTGAGAATGTTGATGGTGATGTGGTTGATGATGACTTGGGGGTAACTGTGGAGATGAGAACTGATTATGGTCCGAAAAGCTGCCATGTCTTGAAACGTTTGAACTAGTCACTGACATGAGATCATTGTTTGCATTACTTGTTAGTTCAAAGCGTCCAATTTTTCGTGACTGTTGCTGTTGATGCTGATCCGCCGTCATTAACAATTGATCGTCTACTGCTGACACTTTTTTATCTCTAGTGACAGATAGGGGAGGGGACGATACAATATGAATGGCTGCTGCTGCTGCCGCCGTGTTATTGGGCGGTATAGGAGCTGCTGCCGTAGTTGTAGAGGTTGAAGTGGAAGAGTAAGACGAGCTATCGCGTGATAAGGGAACAGATTGGTATATCATTGACGACGATACTTCAAAGCGTGATGGTTTTGTTGCAGCGATACGGTCAGAAGATGTAGAGCTGGAAGAAATATTGTCATGACTTGGCATTTTGTGCATACTCAAAGAACTTTGTAGCTGTAATTGCCTTTCCTCATCCTCAACGCCTGTTGCTGTAGAAGGATCTGCAGCTGCCTCTTCGATAACGAACCTTGATTTCCTGATGGTAGGTGGAGTACTACCTGACAATATGGAAGGTGATGTCATCATTCCTGTAGTTGTTGTATTATTGTTGTTATTGTTATTGTAGTTGTCAGATGGATGGGTCATGTTATCATTACTAGTGCTACTGTTTCCCTTGACTATCACATCACCAAATGAAATATGTTTTTTTGTTTGTTGTTGACGAGAAGAGGTGATTGGCTTTATAGTCGATTTCGTATTTTCTTGAGCATGTGAGTCACTTCTATTGTTTTCATCTATGTTGGTATCTTCATCGTCGTCAAAGTTCCATTCATCATCATTGTCATTTTCTTCCTCGTTTCTTGCAAGGCTGCTATCACCAAACTGTTTGATAGCTGTTTTGTTATTGAGATGGTTTTTAGGTAACCTTTTTCTGGGTCTTTGTTCCAATGGCGGCAAATCAGACAAGATTGTTTTCAATAAATGCTCTTTCCTTTTTGCTTGTTTAAAAAATGGATGCAAGATTAATTTATCCGCCGTTGGACGCTTCGTTGGGTCCTTTACTAAACACATATCGATCATATCCTTGAAAGTCTTTGAATACCTATGGTACGTATGCTCCCTATCTAATGTCGGCGGCTCGCTGGCCAAGGTCATCATTAACACTTTGAGTGGTGGATATTTTGCAAAAGGCGCATGCCCTGTTGCCAATTCTAATGCAGTGATACCGAAACTCCAAATGTCTGCTTTGTAGTCGTACGCTTCTTGTTCCATGACTTCAGGGGCCATCCAGCACGGCGTACCGACAAACGTCTTTCGCATACCCTTCTCACCTGTTTCCATCAAGGAAGAAGACACACCAAAATCAGCTAGTAAGACTGTACCGTCGTCATTGTTTACCAGTAAATTACCGGCTTTCACATCACGGTGAATATGTCCGTTCTTGTGAAGATAGATGAGGCCTTCGAGTGTTTGTTTCAAAATGGTTGCGATACTCGACTCATCCATACCCTCTGGAAATTTAGTTTTCATGATATCTAGACAAGAACCACCAGCAAGGAAAGGAGTAACAATGTAGAGTTTAGAGCCATGAACGAAAGAACCATAAACACGAAGCACGTTAGGGTGCTTTGATAGAGCCATTAAAGCTGTCTCTCTCTAAAATTATGGTTGATTAAATAAGAAATAGAAAAAAAGTCGGGTTGTCCCAAAGCTTGTTACTAAAATGAACAATAGTAGAACTAGTAGTAGTTGTCATACTTTACTCGAAGTTCATCAATTTGATTTCTTTCAAATTTATCAAGATCAATCTCTTTTAGTGCCATAGGCTTATCGAGTGGTTTGTAGATAGCTTTGTATACAATGGCTGATGACCCATAGCCTGTAAATGTATATAATTACCAAAGCTAGGATGAGTATTACATAGATGGAATGGGAAAGTAGAATTCTTTTCGCTTACCTATTGGATCTGTTATTTCGAAATCTTCAATATGGTTTGGTGAAAAATGATTTTGAAAGGACGTATTGGTTGTAAAGATATCTGTTGCTACTGACGCTGATGGTGGTGTTGTTGTTGTTGTTGTTGTTGTTGTTGTTGCTGATGATGGTACAGGTGTATTGGGTATAGTATCATTGTTATTGATATTAGTGTGATGATGAAGGTGGGTATTGGTTGTAATTTTAAGTCCATTTAGAATATCCATACCACTGACTGATCGCCTTGGGTGATGACCGCCGCCATTCGCACTACTACTAGAGCCGCTGCTATTGCCAGAGTGAGGCGGAACAACAGCACTTGGAGTACTTGGATAAGTCGTTGGCGTCATAGGTTTCAAAATTGTTGAGTTGTGTTGCTGTTGTGGGGAATACTGTGCGCTGTCAATAAACTCCATTATTGTTTAAATGAAGGGTATGTACAAGAGCTGTAGCTATAGGATATCGATGCTAGAAGAAGTTATCTTACAAAAAGATAAGTGCAAAAAGAAAAGTATGGAAAAGAAGCGAAAAAGGTAAAAGAATGAATAACCATGATCATAAGCTCTGAAACCCAATTTTGAGTCAACAAGAAATTATAAGGCAAAAAAAAAAGGTACAGTTTCTTTTTCCTTTTCATGACGTAGAAATTGAAAGGTTTGTCGTGCTTTTTTTTTTTTTTTTTTTTTTTTTTGTTTAAACAATCCATACTTTGTGTTCCAGAGAACGTAAGCAATTCCAGATAAAAAAAAGTTCTCCCACTGCTGTCAATGTGCTTTAATAAAGAAGCAGAATCATGAGCCTATCGTAATACTGCTGAGCGCCGTAATGAAACATTGTTCGAAAATGGCAGAATATTTTCGCCTTCAATTTCGAAATATCCACAAATTACATTTAGCTTGTACAACTAGCTCTAACACACATTAAGGCTCTGTTTCATGATGCACAAACACACACTCAATTGATTAATAAAGTTCCATGGGGAAAGCTTCTCTACAATACTTTGAGGCCCTATCAACGTTACTACTCTATAAATCTTATACAGTCAATAGCAGAAAGAACGACCTCGGTGGGTTTTCTTAATGAGCAGAATTTGCAGATATTCAGCATAGAATCATAATGAATAAAGCTTATAAAAAAAAAGTTCAAAGTGCTTTTTCACCTTCAGCAGCAATGACTAAGTTAAACCAATGTAATGTATTACGTAAGAAAATGTTCTTTCTGAATTCCAAACCTAAACTTTTTCAAAGCATAAAAAATTCAGGAACGAACAAAAAAAAAAAAAAAAAAAAAAGGAAGTTTCATATTCATTTTGCTGTCACTGTAAACTAGCGGACTGAAAGTACATAATGAAACCAGAGATCAAAAAAGGCCATACCAATGAAAAATAGTCTTGCTCTAAGTAAGCATAATGAACCCATGAGGCTATAAGCCAGGAGGGAGTGGCTCTTGCAAACGATAATGCCTGTGAACCCTATCTGCCCCCGCCCCTTTTTTTTATGTGTGGGGAAATGACCAAAGCCTTTTTTTTTTTTTTTTTTTTTTGTGTGCCTTTAGCTAACAGGAAAACAATTTGTTGTTCCCTTGTTCTACAGTTAGATGATAATTTCTTGATTCCAGCCTATTCACATTCATAAGCCTCTATAGCTTGATACAATTCCATTGTCTATTATACGTTCTAAATATACCTCAAAAAACTATTGACATTTTGTCCACAATCTACTAATGTCTCATTCGACATCTACAGCTAATTCTAATAATAAACTTTCTTCAAGTTGGGACAATAAACAACATTCTGAATTGTCTTTCTTTAATCGTGTGTTTGGTCACCACTCTTCTTCTGAGTCATCTCGAGGTAAAGTATAGCAGTGATTTAAGGAGGAAAAGAGACAAAGAAACCTATTTTGAAGCAATTGTTTTACTCGAATATAAAAAGAAGGAGAAAAGCAAAACAAAACTACAGTTGATAACCCTTCTTTTCTCTCACTTTACTTATCTTTCAATTTTCAATTACTTATAGCTGGATCACCTATACCATCGTCATCAAGTTCATCTCATCTCACCATAACTACTAACACTTCTCCTACAACCAGTGCCCATAACAACAAACGTAAACATTCGCGTCATAACCGTAATTCTTCTACTGGCCAGTTATCCACTTACTTATCGCATAAAAATAACTCTGCTACAACCGTTGTTACCGCACCCATATCTGTTCTGTCAACTCAACATATGAGGCAGCACCAACACCAACAGCATCGAAGACGTTCATTCGACAACACTAAACATACCAATATAATACCCGATACCTCTAACATGAAGGATGTTATCGCCCCCAGCACTGCAAACTACAACAATAAAGAGCTATCACCTATACCATATTCCTCAACATCTGCCAAAATCAGCTCCAAACATCAACATTATCAACAACCTTTACCCTTCCCTAGAGGGGGCAGACAAGTAGGAGGCGGAGATACATTGCGGCGAAGTAACTCTATTGAAAGACAGTATTTTAAGCCGACCACCAACGAACAACCTCAGCAGCAACCGCGGAAAAGGCATCTTTTCAGATTTGGAAAGAAGAAAAGTGAGTTCTTTATGTTTAGTATATCCGCACATAGAACACTAATCCTGCCTCTGCCATTGCAATAGGTCATGGTCTTACAAATCATGCTAATCAATATCATGATTCCTCGAACACCCTTATTCCACGTAAAGTGTCGAATGATAATGCAAGCTTATTAAACGATTTATCATCTGCATCCGATGTCCAACGCTACTATTATCAACATCAACAAACAAAGGAAGATCACAATCATAATAATAAGAAAAAGGGCTCATCGTTTTCATCTTCTTCGTCTTCTGCTGCCACAACAATGAGCAACAGCCATAACAATAGTAGCAGTAACATCAATTCCAACGGTGGCAGTGGAAACAGTAAAAAGAACCACCACTTCCATTATGGCCATCTTCATTATCCTCATCCACATATATTGCATCATCATCACCATCAAGGCAGTAGCAGCAGTAGTAATAGTAACAATAAAAATGACAAAGATTCATTGTTGCAATTAAAACGTGAGTACTATTGTTGAGTTCATTCCATCGAAAACAGATGACTAACCTATTCAATATCACAGTGGACCAAAATTTTGAAAAAATGGATGGGATTGTCAATAAGGAGTATTATCATGAGTTAAGCACAGCACCTACTGCTACAGTGTCCCCCATACCATCTGTGCTTCAGCAACAAGAGGCTCCTAAGAATAGTAACTATGACGTTTTGGAAGCCTGGGCTCCACCCGATAGTTGGGGCGTACAACTACCTTCTACAACTACAGCAGTGAATCTACTGGATGAAGATACACAGCAGCAGCAACAGCAGCCATCAGGAGAATTTGTTGATTATCACATGGATGTTCAAAATGAGGCACCGCCTATAAAATATGTAAAAGTCATTTGTTGACATTTGTACGCCTCTTTTATTTGGGCGATAGGAATGAGCTGACATTATGCTAATTTATTGTTGTAGGCAAATATCAAGGTGTACAGACCGGATGAAACCTATAATACCCTGCATGTTCCTTTGGACACAACCGTCATGGAAATATTACATAAAATAGCCAACAAATACTTCATGTCGCTCGATATTAACAAGGTCAACCTCGTCATGCGAAGACATAATAAAGAACGCGTCCTGCACTTACCAGAGCGCCCTTTGCAACTACAAAAATTATTGCAAGAACAAATGGGCTATATGGAAAGTGATAAGATTGATGACTGCACTTATCTCGTCAGATTCCAATTGATGCCTAACAACATGGCAACAACCACCCCTTCACACCAGTTATCGCTACAGAACGAAAAAGATATGGTGGGTCAACATATTGATTTGCAGTCAAGGTGTCTGAATACAATTCCTATATTCCTATATCACCATGCACACCGTATTGTTTCACTCGATATTTCCAAAAACCTTCAAATCATCATTCCGCAAGATTTCGCACAGCAGTGTAGTAGTGCGCACTTCAAACAATTGTGTATTGCCGATAACGAATATGTTCAATTGCCTTCTTCACTGAAACACATGATCTCACTAGAACATTTGAATATCTCTGGTAATAAGCTCAAAGAGCTGGATCATGCTGATCTACATGTATTGTCTCAGTTGAGAACTTTGCGAGCTATCAACAATAAGTTGGAAGCATTGCCTGCATCCTTTGCTACATGCTTCAAGCGCTTAACATCCCTTTACATATCCAACAATGCATTTACAAAGTTTCCTTTGGTCGTCTGTAGTATCAATTCTTTAACTTATTTGGATGTTAGTTTCAATAAGATACAAGTATTTCCCGACGAAATCAGCCAGTTAACAAACTTGGTGGGTCTATATGCTATCGCAAACCGTTTAACTGGCGCTTTACCTTTAAGCTTCACTTATCTGACGAAGCTAAGAGAACTGGATTTACGTCAAAACTTGATATCAGACTTGGAAGTAGTGTCTCATTTGCCAAGCTTGGAAGTGTTACTCATGGACTATAACCCTACCAGCATCGTTCATTTTCGACTCAGGAACTTGAGGCAGCTGAAAATGTATAAAAATCACCTTACGCAATTTAACCTCTCTCTACCATCTGCGAATGCTTTATCCGCTTTGACCGAACTCAATTTGTCTTGCTGTAAATTGTCCAGTTTGTCGGAAGACCTCTTCCATAATGTTCTCAACTTGGAGCGCCTTATTTTGGACAGTAATACCTTAAATCGTCTTCCTTCCAGCATTGGTGCCCTACGAAAATTGGTTAGATTATCGATTCAAAATAATAACTTGGAAACACTACCTGATGAAGTGGGTCAATTGGCTGAATTAAGAACATTGGATGCTCAGAAAAATAACTTGAAAGTGTTGCCTCAAGAAATATGGTTATGTGCTTCTCTACAAACATTGAATTGTTCTTCCAATTTATTGGAATCTTTTCCAGAACCAATCTGTATGACAGCAGTGGCAGTAGCAGCAGCAGCAGCAGCAGCAGCAGCGGCCGCATCTTCTGCATCTTCCTCTTTCAGCCATACCAACAGCCTTTATGTCAATACAAACGCGACGGAATCACCAGCTATTTCTGACACTACTAGTAGTATGAAAGCTAGTAGTCGTAAAGCATCATTAACAACCGTAACAATCAATAACAGCAGCACCGCTACTGCAGCTACTACTGCATCACAACAACAACAGCAACAGCAAATGGATTATTTCTCCTCGGATGTACATTCGCTTGCAACACCCATATTGAACAATAACAACTCCCCCTCATATCCTCATCTGGTATCGTCTTCCTATTCATCTGACCAAGTAATGGTTCATCCTCACCAGCAATTACCTTCACAGCCACAGTCGACCCCCCTGTTACAACCGCCCTCACAACAGACGCAATTACAACAGCCAAACTTCAATCCTCCTAGCTTCTTCGCTAGTCCGCGCAATCATCCTCCTCCACTCTCTCTTTCACTTCGTCAGCTGTTTTTGGGCGATAACCGTCTCACTGATGACGTCTGGTCTCCTCTTTCTCTATTTCTTGAGTTGAGAACCCTAAATTTGTCCTTCAATGATTTGTACGAGATCCCCCCGGACGGCCTCTGTCATCAACATCTATACGAACTATACTTATCTGGAAACCACTTGACTTCGTTACCTGCCGATGACATTGAGCGGCTTCAGTATCTACGCGTGTTGGCCGTCAACGGCAACAAGTTACAAACATTGCCTGCTGAAATTGGCAAGCTACGTAAACTGCTCGTATTAGATGTCGGTAACAATGTTCTGAAATACAACATTGCTAATTGGCCTTATGATTGGAACTGGAACTGGAATTTGGGGTTGAAATATCTGAACTTATCAGGAAATAAACGCTTAGAAATACAGAAAAGCACAGCGCAGCTTGTCCCTAGTACAGGTGGAGTAAGCAACGAACATGATATGCATGTTGAGGCCAACCTGAACGGTACCTCCTCCGTAGGAGCACATGGAGATTATTATCACCAGCATCATTATCATCATCCTTACGCTATCAACAAGAAACAACAGCAGCAGCAGCAACAAAGAAAGGATTTAAGTGATTTTAGTGCTCTTACGCGGCTTCGTATGCTGGGGCTTATGGATATTACTATTTTAGGCGTGTCAATACCAGAGGAATTCCATGATCGACGTGTTCGTACTTCACCTTCTGAGGTGAACCGTATGTCTTACGGCGTAGCAGATTGGTTGGGCCCGAGTGATCATCTGTCCACTTGGGATTTGGTAATGCCTCGTTTCAGGGGAAAGGATAATGAATGTCTATTTGCTTTATTTGACGGATGCCACGGCGGTAGTACCAATACGACCACGAATAGTACTACAACGAATGCGAACAAATATCATCATCAAAACTATAAAGGTGGAACAGCAGCTTCGACGGCTTCTACCGCAGCAATACCAACGACGCATATCAATACAACGAGTGCGGCTAACACTAATTCTAATACTAGCTTGAACAGTAGCAAACTGACGAAGGAATTAAACGATATGTTCACCTTACAATTTACTAAAGAATTGGCCTCACTTAAAAGTGACGATACTATTGTTTCCGCTGTGCGTAGAGCGTTTCTTAGTATGGAGCAACATTTAGGCCAACAACAACAACAACTACAATTACAAAGCCAGCATAATTATCAGCACACAAATACGAATTCTTCATTGCCTTATCAGCATCCTTCATCATCACCCAACGTTGCTGGCAATAGTGGTGGGGCTTCAGCTGTTGTTTGTTATATTGCAGGTACCAAACTCTATGTTGCCAATGTTGGTGATGCTCTAGCTGTTATCTCTCGCAACAACGGCCAAGCATTTGAGATCACCCAAAAACATATTCCTCTGAATCCTAGTGAAGTGTCCCGTATTCGTGCAGCTGGAGGTTATGTTTCTAACTCAGGGCTCCTTAACAATGAACTGAATGTGTCGCGGAACTTTGGTCATTTCCACTTGATTCCTGCGGTAAACTGTAATCCATTCGTGTCCACCATTGATTTGGCAGAAAATGACGAGTTTGTAATTATCGCATCGAGAGGATTATGGGACAGGATGACGTACCAGACAGCGGTCGATATTGCACGAACGGAAAAGGATGATTTGATGGCAGCAGCACAAAAACTAAGGGATTTTGCTATAACCTATGGTGCGAATGATAATCTAATGGTGATGGTGATCGGTGTCGGCGACTTGTTCATGAATAAACGTGGAAATAAAAGATACAACAAGTATAACAACCGTAGTAACGCGGGAGCCGGAAGAGTTATCGGTGGCGGTAGCAATGGTAGTGGATCAGGTGTAGATATATTGGATGATGGAATGATGGTAAAGAGTAGCAATAAACGAAATAGAGGAAAAGAAGAAATACCCGTGGATTCCGTAAGCATCAAAACATATATGATATGTAGATTTACAAAATGTGAACAATGTTTTTTTTAATGCTCTCCTTGTCTCATCATTAGACACTGGCCAGATTAGAAAGAGAAGTGGCACCTCCTATTGATGAATTGGCACTTGTGTTTACTGATATCAAAAGCTCTACTCAATTTTGGGAAACGCAACCTGAAAACATGCGGGCCGCCATCAAGATTCACGATGCTATTATGCGTCGTACACTACGTAGTGTTGGTGGCTATGAAGTGAAAACGGAAGGTGATGCGTTTATGGTCTGTTTCAAAAACATAACAGCTGCTCTTTTATGGTGTTTTACTGTCCAGCTTCAGTTGTTAGAAGCTGACTGGCCGGCAGGAATATTGGATACAGAAGAAGGTCGTGAAATAGAAAAAGATGGCGTCATAGTTTATCGTGGACTTTCCGTTCGAATGGGTATCCATTTTGGTTCACCTGTATTTGAACGAAATCCAATTACGAAGAGAATGGATTATTTCGGTCCTGTGGTGAATAAAGCAAGTCGAATTTGTAATGCTGCCGATGGTGGACAGATTTGTGTTTCTATGGACGTGATAACGGCATTGAGAAATTTCCCTAGTATGTTTGAACAACAGCAAGAGGCTATGTTAGGAAATCAAAGTCGGCATAATAGCAGTAGTAGCAATGGCCTTGAGCCTACAACGACAATGATCTCTATTGCTGCTAATGACGACTTCTTGGACAGCTTCCCTATCAATCGAGATTTGATACAATTGAAGCAATTGGGTTTCCATGTGGTTGAACTAGGTGAACGTCGTTTAAAGGGATTAGAAACGCCAGAAACTCTAAGTTTGGTTTACCCAAAACAACTATTGAGCCGTATCGAAGTAGATAAAAGTCAGGCTATTACTGCTACTGCGAATACCGCTGCTAATAATGGAAACAACGTTACAATGTCGGCTATAGCTACAGCAACAACAACAGGCGCCAGCAGTGTCGTATCAGCCAAAGAACTCGGAACGTCCTCGCTAGGGGTTTCGCCTAGTGTATCAAATACGAACAGTATAGGTCCTGCGTCGCTTCTTACAAGCCCTGAACTAAATGCTAGCCAAGCCTCGACTGATTATTTGTCTCCGCGCCCATTTATAAATGGTAATAGCAGCAACAGGAAGGCAATTCGTACCATTGATCCAAATTTGGTCTGTGCTATGAGTAATCTGGCTATACGATTAGAACGCTTAACTTCTGGAAATGTACAACTCACACGGCATCAAGCAGGCAGCACCATAAACAATCAGTACACTCTTCAACAACAACAGAACTCTTCTTCTACCAGTTTGTTAGATACCACCACCAGTAACAATAACTCAATGATACCATATACTAAAAGTACAGCCTTTAATGGTCTTGGATTAATGTTGGATAGACACTTACGAGAAGATGCTACGGATGAAGAACTGATCATGATGATGGAAAACTGTGTAACGCGAGTCGAAAATGCTGTTTCTTCTTTATATTTGTCAAAAATGGGACGCTTTGCTAATGTATTAGAGAAACTAGCTGAAGCTACCAATTTGGATGATTCCCATATTTTGAAAGCTTTACAAATGTACGCTGAGATTCAAAAGCAACAAGAGCAAGACGAACAAGTTAAATTATAGTTTCATTCGCCCTCATACCAACACTTTACACTTATATCCATTATTCATATCACTTATACTGTATCATATAACATAAAATAAATAGTAATTTACTTGTAGAGAATCATGTTTTATTTATATACGATAAAGAGCAAGTCAAAAGTAATGCTAAAAGGCCCAGGGATATCTATAAGACTCCATTAAAAGATGAGCAGGGAGCAAATGATGCAATCCTATAACCATAAAGTAATAGTCTTATCCATGGAAAAAAGAAAGCAATCTTGATTATAAAATAGGGATATAACTGTTGATTCTATCTTTCTGATTTTGTGAAATACATTCTGCGATCCAAACAATATTTCTGATTTCCTGCTCCTTCAGTTTGATATAAGCATAAAAGACACCGTAGTTAAATTGTTGTTGGAAAGCTTGTCGGTTTAAGAATACCTCCATTTCAAAGAATTTATCCTCTAATGTCTTGCCGTTTGTACTGTCAAAGAAATTGCGGTACTCGTGAATTATTTCACAAGTAGACTTCACTTGATCCATTTCGTCAGCAATGGCTAAGCGCGCATTTCCTTCAGGATACAAACGACCAATAGTAGGGAAAAGCTTTCTACGGTCTTCTTTTGGCAATTCTGTACCAAAGGAGTTGATGGTTATATTGATCGTACGTCTGTCCGCTTCAAACTGGAACAAACAATTTTCATAAGAATAAAAGAATCAAAAGTACCATTCACTTACTCTGTTAACAAAAGGCATCGTACGAGGACATTTATAACTTTTTCTCATTTCAGCAATACTTACACGAAGGATATCAGTCATGACTTCAGCAGTGGGTCCGCCGATATTTTGGCAAAAATTGAAAAAATCTTCAAGATAGGCTTTATATAGGGTATTACGGATAATTTCAATGTTGAGCTCGTCCAAGTCGTGAGCACTTAAGCAGTTGGCAAAGTATGGCGCTGTTAAATATAGCGTTAAAATACTTATTCTAGCTTCAGACGCGTCACTGTTCGCATTTTTGAATTACCTAAAGGTGTTTCAACTAAAACGGTGTTGTAAAGTTCGGATACCGTGGTCGCAACACATAAAGCAGGCATTGTATCGAAAACACCAAGAGGATGACAACGGTCAAGTAATTCGTGAGTATCACGTTCATGAAGTGTGCCCGTTATAATCAAAATGACATTATCAATCATATATCCATATCTAGATTAGGGGAGTAACTGTCATATCAGTACATGTACATGAAACATTTGAGATTTTTTGATCCATCATATAAGAAAATAGTTAGTATTTCTTACTAATATTAATATCACATACGTAATATAATCCAGGAACTTAGATAGAGGTTGAACAGCATTACTGCGAACGTACTCAAATTCTTCTACAAGCTTTTGTGTCAATCTTTCAGAGATTGTGGAAGTGGCAATCGGTGAAGGTTCGTTTTGTAAAAGTGTGCCGTAGTCAGTTGCTCCCAATTGAAGACGAAGGTCTGGTAGAAACAAAGTTTTGTATGAATTTTTTTGGTTTCTGAATCTGTTAGTATTGAGGAGTATGAGTTTCTCGGTTCTAACATTGCAAGCTTATACCTTCAAGTGTTTCACATTGTGTAAAGTTTAAGTATTGTGTGGAATTGAGGATGCCTGAATAGTAACCCCTCAGAATGCCATCGACAAAACCATCATTCTCGTTGTAGATGAGTGCACTGGCCATGATGTGTAAGTTGAAACAAAACAAGTGTTTTGAAATGTCCTGTGTGGTTACAAGAAAAGAAGGTCCAAAAAATAAAGAAACACACACATAAAAGGATAAGTTAAGTCAGTGGTGTTTGAATTCTCTCTGCGCTGCTCAATGCCATATAAAGTATGTAAGAAAGGACTATCTGAAAATAAGGATTATTCTGCCGTATATTGCTGCTTTAACCAACAATTCTCCTGTTAAAAGCCATCCATAGATTTTTCATCAAAACACTTAGTTAAATATGTTTACTAAAACAGAGTTATCTTCCTTGTAAGAATGCTTATTGCTTTGGATCCATCACTTTATCAAGATCAAATCAAGTGAACGTAAATAATATTATGTGCAATGGAAGGATCTTGAAGAATGATGACCAGAATAAGTGTGTCTATATTAACTATGCTAAATGCTTCAGATCATATTTATAGTGATACAATAAATACATATAGTAGAAGATTAAAAAATAAAGCGATGAGAATAACGATGAATTTCTGTCCATCTTTTTTATACTATTTCTTCCTGAATCATGGTATATCTTCAGATTTCTCCACCTATGATGCTGTTGTAAAGGGTAAGAAGGTTGCAAACGTCAAATAGCTAGTATGTCCTCTTGTTTCGCCTATTGTTTTCGAAACTAACATCAAATTTGCCGCTTCTTCAATCTCTTGAGGTGTCACTGTACGTTCATCTCTAGCTAATCTTCGTTTTACACCAAAAGAATCCGATGGAGGCAAACCCTTTTCTTTTCTTTCTCTTGCATCTTGCAGGGCTGCTGAAAAGTCGAACTTTTGTAAAGGTGTAACTATATGTTCTTTGATCAAACATTCATACATTGTAATTTCTAAGGCACAATTCCATAAATGATAGTTAGATCAACAGTAGCACGGGTGGTATAAAACCATCAAAATCAAAAGTGGGAAGAATAGCATACCGACAAAACCATGCTGCTCTAAAGCGGTTACTGACCGCGCTACTTGTTCAATACAAGGACTGAAACAACAAATCTTTCCCGTTCTATCTTGTTTAAATGCTTGTTTAGCTGAAGCAATTGCATCCCAAGGCGCTGGTAAATCTAAAAATACAGCATCCACCAAATCATGCAACTGAAAGCCTTCTTTACAGACATCACGGTGATGCATTTTTATTATATCTCCATATCCGTGTTCCTTGAATTCCCTTTCAGCCATTTTGGCACGCTCTTCATGATATTCGAATGAATACAATGTACCAGTAGGTGCAATAGTACGGGCAATGGAATGAGAGAATGACCCTGATCCAGTGCCAGACTCTATCATTTTAACACCTGGCTTTAGACCAAGTTGTGCTGTGATGAATGAAATGTCGGCTATATACAAGATCTGTGTACGATGAGGAAGAACAAGTGTCCATAATTCCGGTGTAGGGTGTAATAAATAAACAAAACCTCTATAATTGGATGAAACCATCTAGATGTATGGACAAAGTATAAATAACTACTATCTCTATGTTAAAGCTTGTTGACTAATTTACCTTGGAACCGAATTCTTTTCCGATCATGTCATCATGATGGAAAGTACCAAATCGATTATTTAAGGTTTCCCCTCTCTTCACGTAGATCGGAGACATGTTTTCTCTTGTCTAAAGTAGAAAAAAGGACCCTTTGAACAATTGCGCCTTTCAACCACCATGAGGTAATAAATAGGTTACTTACAACGTATACGATGACAAGATCATCTTCTTCAATATACTTTTTCCAACCACTGAAACTCATCTATAACTAATCAATTTCAAAACCAAAGAGAAAAATTCAAACCGGTCAAAAAAGAATGATTTTTTCTTCACTGTCCGACATTTGTTATTTTGAATCAAGTTAAGTTCAAAGAGAAGAAAAAAATTTCTACTACAAACATTTTCTACTGCAAAAAAATTTACCCCAGTTGAGCAAACCGTATCAGTGCTCCACTTTAAATTTCTGAACACTCCCCCTTTGGCTGCTGTACTATTCTCGGTCCTACTTTGCCAACTTATTTCATTATTGGATTTCAAAGTAAAGAGTATGCTAACACAATAGCTATTGCCCCCCCATATGCAAAAGCATTCTTCATTATCCTGTCAACATTTATATCCACTAAACTACATATTTATCCATTTCAGTCACACTCTGTTCTTCAACGTTTTTGTAATGGTTACAACCTCTCTTTTCAGATATAGCCTGCAATGCTCGTGCATTGTTTTCTCAACGATTGTATAATACTATCAATAAAAAACTCTGTCGTATCCATCTCAACCAAAGAAAATTGCATTCCGTATCATGACAAATAGGCATAACTTTTCAAACCTTCTAATTGTCCTTTGTCAGTTGTAGTTCAATATAGAAACTTCATTCTACAATCTAGCCTGCGCTTTGAACGTATCTTTACCACAAATGAAGGTTTATCTTTTTGAGGGTTTTTATCAGTATAGCAATTCACAGATTTGCCCTTTTTCCTTCTTACAAAATTACAATAGGTTATACATGAAGAAACTATGATAGTATACTAAGGTTCTTCAGCGTTTTACTTGCGAGTTGCTCTCTTCTTAGCTTTAGGTGAACCTTTGCTTAAATTGAGATGTTGCTCAGGAATCCAGGATTGATCCAAAACCATCTCACCCTTCTCATCACGATGGGTGGGCTTTTCATTGCTTTCAATCACCTTTTTAGCCTTGAGAAGAGAGAGAGAGATGAGTTAGTATAAAGTCCTTTCAGAAGGGCCAAATCTCCCGAATATTATCCTTACTTTCTTTGTCTTCTTTTTGGTGTCTGCAAAGAATGCTTCACGGATAACATAGCCAACACCAACAGCACCAGCAATCAAGACAATATACAAAACAATGCTATTTCGACCATCATCATGGCAAATGAAGCGAGTCAAATGAGTCCTAGGTGGCGAACACTATTGCAATAAAAATACTTACAGTTGGGGGTCAAAGAAGGAATTCTCTGGATCAGTCACTGTAATGGTACCGTTATAGCCTACAATACGAGTGACAGTTTTCTATAAAGCATGATGTAAGCAAACAATGGGTAAGCATTGTGTTTCTCAAGATGCTATGGAATTGACTTTCACTTACTTCGTTTAATAAGTCAACGTAAACTGTCAAACCATGATCTCCAGGAGCAAATTCAGAGTAAAAGTTATAAGGAATTTGTAATGTGGAGCCAGGTTGTAATAACTTTTCATAACGACTGGCTGTCAACTACAAAATGAGCATGAAAAGAGAAGAGAGACCACAAAGTGAGCCTACAAGTACGTATCATTTCTGCCACAATTTTTTAATTGGGTTTCAAGACTTACGTTACGGACAGATTGACTGAAATCATCAGCTTTAAACACTTGTCCGGAAATAGCAAACACAGTATAAGGTGTATCTTCTTTGCTAGTAACGTCCAAAAGTACTTGGTTACGCTGACCGTTCACAATCACTAGGTAATCAAGCTACGTTAGACAATGGTGAGCGTCAAAAAAGTGTAGAACCCATTGAGATGCTTACATCCGAAAGGATTATTTGGAAATTGAGATGTAACCGAGATTTTCGTAGGAACGTGATCGGCAGAAAGTTCAGCAGAGACTATATTCATATGGGTCAGTTGTTCAATCGGACACCTATACCAAAGACCCTTATGCGCGTCTAATTATCTCTCGATGTATATACCTAATCCACTGATGACAGTCAGACCAAAAGCCAGAACAGAAGTCAACTTGACCATTATAATTGAAATAACAGCAGGAAAAAAGGGAAGTGTATAAAATGTCAAAGAGAAAGGAATAGAACGAAATAAAAGAGGGATTGTGTTGCAAGCGCACAAAATTTTGCTTGTTTGCTATTGGTTGGTTTATTTCGCCAAAAGTACAGAGATAAATTGGATTCCGTCTAAAATCGTGGTATGAGTTTCTAGGACGCTTAATTCACAATGGATAGCCTTCAGACGTTGCAATTTGGGTTAAAGGTTCTTTTAGGTGGGATTTTATAGCTTCTGCTTTTGCCTTCAAAATGCCCAAGTCAGTAGAGGGCAATGCAACCAAACATAGTAACATGTTACCGACACAAGTGACGAGAACAACTCCGTTCTATTGGAAAACGTCAAATTAGCAAAATAGCGTAATCCCGTTTGAGATTTCTAGCATATTCACCTCACAATAAACAAGCTGCGACTGTAACTTTTTGTAAGCCCCGGTATTCATTTTTTTGTAAGTGTTCCATATGTTTGCGCATATTGCTGAATAAGTGCTTGCATCTTTGTCGTTGTCTGCAGCAAACGATATTAGAGATCCTTCACTTGTCATTATACTAACAAATGTCATAAGAATAAAGTCGACGCATATAAAAAAAAAGAGAGAGAACAGAAGTTTTTGATTTACATTGATGCTTTGATGCCATTATTTGTTGTTTGACTTAGGACATTAGCGATGACTTTGGGTTTTAACATGAGCAGCAAATTAATTTTACAGAAAGGGAAAAAGGCAGACTGAAATTTAGAATTTTCATGAGTGCGAATTACATTGATTTTTTCAATGATATTTGTAGTACTTATGATTTGAATCACGCGGATGTAGTTTTTAGGCAACTCAGCACCAAAACAGATAAAGAAATGCTCAAATCTGAACTATACACTGTCAAAATTGACTTTGCTGGGATAAAGCTTACGGGTAAAATGGTTGTAAGCCTTTACAAATGTTTGTATCCATCTCGAGCATGTGGAAGCATTCAAGCAGGATAGCCCACTTTTAGCTGCGCGTGTCTGCTTTAACAGTCTATGCCACAACTTAGGTACGAAACTGTCCCTTTCGAGTGTTGAAATTGAAATGACAAGCTCTGTGTTTATTAAATAGTGATAATGTGCTTTTGAAAATGTAAACATCCTTTTGGACATAGTCTATATTGATATCCTGCCTCGAATAAGTAAACTTATGCTTTTTCCTCTTCCCATTCGAACTCTCCTTCCATTTCTGATTCTCCCTCATCAGACACAAATTCAACGTCCTATGATTTGACAAATGGTTAAACATCAACGAGCCTTCTCAATAAATAACTAGAGGTGTATGAAACTTACTTCGTCTTCTTCTTCTTCTTCTTCTTCGTCTTCTTCTTCTTCTTCTTCTTCTTCTTCTTCTTCTTCTTCTGCATCTCCATTTTCGTCTTCCAAAACCTTCTTCCAGATTTCTTCACTGACATTGAGCGGTGCATCACCATATGCCTTACTCTTCAATCGTTCAATTAATTCCTTCTCAATCGATTTCTCAATACGTGCCGCTGCTTCTGCTTTACGTTCACGGTTCGCTTCACGTCTTTCTAACTTCTTCTTAATACCGACCAACTGAGGTCTATCCCTAAATTATTGTGCAAAACAATTTGATAAAGCTTATCAGTATATAAATGAATAAACTAAAAATTTGGCAAGTTTTTCCTTACTTTTCTTTAAGTTTCAATTTACGCATACGAATCAACATCTGAGTGAGTTTTGTGAGACGTTGTTTGCATTTGTGAATCAAAAAGTTGGGCCAATATTGTAATTCTTTGTCGATCTACAGGTAAAATAAGTGAAAAAGGATGGCAAGAATGAATTTTTGTGTGAATGAAATCGAATAGCGACAAAATGAAATGCTGCTTGTTCGTATTACATACTTGTGCTAATGCTTCTGCGTAATTCTTTGATAACTTTTTCTTTTCCCACATTTTTGCTGGACTATGTGCACGTTCAGGTGTTTTCATATAGAGATACAGAATGCCTAATGGGAAAATTGCTCGTCAAAACCGGAGTTGCATGGATGCTCTTAAAGTACCAATGCGTACCTTTCTCTTCTCTTACTGTAGCATATCTACTATTAGACAAGGGACATGATTGTCTATTGAAAAGACCAGTGACATTATATGGATTTCGATCGAATGTACCCGTCTTTGTTCTAACAGCAAAAATACAAGTTTCCTTGAGTTCACGGCAGGCTAATCAGAAGCAACCCCATAACAGCTACTTACTTGACTTTATATGAAGAGAAATTATGATTGAGAATTTGCCAAACAACTTCGTCAGATTGCATATTACAGATTTTTACAGTTGATAATAACGAACGATGGATTTGATTCCGTTCAAAAAGAGTAATTTGTTGCGGAAGAGCATAAATTCAAAATCCCCCTCCTCACATGCGGACAGTTTTTCATTGCACAAATAAGCCACAAAAGTTGAAAATCCCAATATTCCTCAATGTTACATTATAGAATTTTTGTTAAACGCAATCTATTGTTCACAAGACTCTATAAAGATCATCTGCAATATCTGGAACACTGCTTTGTTTCCCTTACTGCCTTTGTTCAGTCAACAAGGAACATTCTTGTCAGTCATTTAAGATTAAACCGGCGAAAACGCTCACTTGGGGAATTTTGTTGGAACTGTGTTTTGCAGGAAAAAGGGGGGTTTCCAATCCCAATTTTACGAGTCACACCGGCAAATCAACGATTACCGTATTAAATTAAAAAGATACTTGAAACTTCTAACCTTTATACATTAATAAAATTGAACTTGTATTTTGTAACTTTTTGGCAACGGCAACAAAAATCCGTATAGCAGAACGAAACTAGAAATATCTGAATACAATGACAGAGAAGGATGTCGGAATGAAACGGACTTCAGAGGAACCATCCGATCCCTCAACCGATAAGTATAAAAAGCAGAAATTGAGCGATGAGTCACAAGTTGAACAAGCATCATCAACTGTTGAAGACTCGAACTTAGGAATAAGCCAGGATGACGAACATACAGTGCAAATTGTGGAAAAGGGTTTGCAAGACACAAATGTTCTGTCAGGGCAAGGTAAGCAAATTGGATAGCAATACCTCTCTCTTCCATTCATGGCTAACTAGTGTCATCGATAATAACAGAAGTGGACTCAGCAGCTCATTCTTCGACCTGTAATAATAGTTCCTTTGGGTTGTTTTGAATTTTTAAATTTTGTGCAATATCATTTATACTGATGGTGTTTACGCTTTCCTTCAAACTATAGCAACGTCCATTAAACAAGGAAGAACGGATATCCGAGCCTCAACGGACAACTCACAATCAGAACAAATCACTAATGAGCAACTGGTATTAGCGCTTACATCTGTTCAGGATGCAGAAGCACCTGTGGACTCTAATACTGCAACTGATGGCGAAAAAACCGTAGGAACAACGGGTGGTCTGGTACAACAGCGAGAAGCCGAAACAAAGACAGTCGATGATGCCCTTACACAAGCAGTGGGAGCAAACACAGTGTCATCAACAAGTTCAGAACCTGTTACATCAGATCCATCATTGTCATCCACATCAGTCCAAGAACAGTCATCTTTTCCCGCTTCCGCCGTTGGACCAGAACATATAAATTCTAAAGCACCTTCCACAATGCCACCGTCGACAACCCTTGAGTCAGTTCCAGCAATTACCACTGCAGATATTCCGCCGATAGTGCCAGTATCTCCACTAGCGAAGCAATCTTCTATTCCCGATGCATCAAATAAAACAACTTCAAGCTCTCCCATTGTTATTCCTGCACCTACTATACCCACAACTTCCAATAATACTTTGAATAATAATAATACACCTATTGTAAAGATGACGCCTTCGCCAGCTGTAACCACTTCAGTCAGCAATCATCATAATAACAGCAATGTAAACAATATGGCTCCTAACCAACAACAACAGTCTTTATCTGCCGCTCTGAATAGTTTACCGGATATCAGTGCCGCTTTGCGTCGTTTAAGTAATGCTAGTGTATCAGCTTCGGTTATTGAGCAACTATCCTCGCCACGCTTGCCAAACATGGGAAATTTACATGATCGTAAAGGGTCTATTGAAAGCTTGCCATCCGAGATTTTAGGTAATGCATTAGCGGCTGTGGCAGCTGTTAGAAATAACCAGGTACCCCACAATAGTGCTTTAACAATACAGAACCGGCAGCAACAACAACAACAACAACAGCAGCAGCAGCAGCAGCAGCAGCAGCAGCATCCATTACAGCAGCAGCAAAACAACACTAATGCACATGCAACAGCCACCGCTATAGGTAACCTAGCGGCAATTACTGCCAATATCAGTAACTTATTACATTCAGGCGGTTTCCACCGTAATTCATTCAGTCAGGAAGATACCCAGAAATTAGCTGCTGCTGTAGCAGTGGCACGTAGCAATAGTATCAGTCAACAAGGTCAATTACCAGTACAGGAGCAACAACGTCGTAAAAGCTCAATGAATTTGATGGGAAATGCTTTTTCGAATATGATTGATCAAGCAGCTATGATGTTGGGAAGGAATAAAAGTTTTGGAAGTGAAGGAGGAAAAGTGCCCCCACAGCAGCACCATCAGCCTTATTATACTAATTCATCGCTAAAAGCCAACAACCTTACCCATTTCTATTCATCGCCGCAACAACAGCAACAACAGCCACATTCTGTGAATCATCAATCTCTTCTTAGTATACCATTACAGCCTCAACAACGCCCGCCGGCGCAGAAAGATGTCAAACCTACATTGAAAGTGAATAATGATCAAGTATGGAAGTCGATAGAAGGAACAAAGGAATCCTTTCTAGGCTTTTATCTGTATTCACCGCAATTTTTGCTGCCAAACCTAGAACGCAATGTGAATGGCATCATAGAGATTCGAGTACCTGCGAAATATCTCACTTATGGAAATGTTAAAGTGAAAAAGAGAGCATTATGGGGAACCGAAATATATACGGATGATTCGGATATAGTAGCAAGTAAGTATTTGGTCAAGTTATTTGAATGAAATTGAATGAAACGTTCTGACCAATTTGGCCCCCATATTGTTATAGTGGCTATTCATTCTGGTAAATTTGAACCTCAGTTTATTGAGTCAACGTTGGATACGGAAGATCCATTTGTGTTAGCCGTGTCTGGTAAATACAAAGAATCCTGTAAAGCAGCCAAGAAGCTGGCTCTTCGTGGCAAAAAATACATCAATCGCAACAATCGGCTTTTCCCTGACTTTGATCTGAAAGTCACTGTACGCGTTTTACCAACACTACAACACTATGCAAGCTCTGTACGACATAAGATAAAATCACGAGAATGGAGAAAACATGATGGAATGAGCCTTTTTGTGACCAAAGTCGAAAAAATAAAGGTAACAAAAAAAAAAAAATGGATACTGTGGCGCAATTGGAGACTGAAGCATTGGTTTTTATGTTGAAATAGCGAGGAGAAGCTCAGTTGAGAGGACGCATTGGACTTAAATCAAATCATCATCATAAAAGTCCTCGGAAACAATTGTTTGAATGTGATGACTGTAAAAAAGTCCAGCCCGAGGAAAAAACGAATATAGCATCTTCAATGACAAGTATACCTGATTCTGTCGGCTCGATCGTAAGGTATCGAAGAACGGAGAAAGGTCGTGTAAAAAAGCCTCCTAGAGTGCTACGGGTATCTCAAATAAAGCACTAAAAACGTCAGATCAAAGACGTTGTAATGAACCCAAGCCACCTAATGCCTTGTACCTCTCTATGTCTATTACAAATACTAGATTGTCGTTTGAACTGAATTAAAGAGTGAAGTAATGAAAAATCCACTTTTTATTTCCTTGCTTTCTTCAAATTTGAGGGAATAAAAATATAAGTTTGTTCAGGGTATTTCATGAATAGGAGTCTTCTATTTAAATATAGCTCTCATTTCATTATAAATCCTCGAATTGACGTGCTAATTCTTCTAATTCAGCCTTTGAACTCTTATGCTTCTCTTCCAGCTCTTCATATTTGGCTTCCATTTCACTCAACTCTTGTTCAAGTTTGATTACTTTGCGCTCGGATTCCTCCGCTTTTAAATCAGCATCGTTGAAACTAAAGTTATTGTTACTAAAATTAGAACATGCACAAATTAACTAACAATATGACAAGGGAAAGTTTACTTTTGGGTCGCTTCTTTGAGTTGTTCTTCAGTCTTCTCTAACTGTTCTTCCAACAATTTCACTCTGTTCTGAAGAGAAGACAACTCATGGTCCTTGGCGATATGTTCTGTTTCCAATTGTTTGACCTGCGCTTCGAGTTCGTCCGCACGAGCGGTTGCATTTTCTGCTTCAGCGCGAAGAGCTGCAATTTTCTATAAAAAGTGTGTATAGCAATATCACGATATCAGAAATGCTGCAAAATGATAAATCAAACAAACAAAAAAACACGTAAAGCTCATCATGTCCTTCTTTATTCTCCTTACCTCTTTAAACTTTTCCATGATATCTAGCAACTTAGATGAGAGGAATAAAAAATGAAGAAAAAGGAAAGGAATGAACTGGGGGCTTTTTCTAATTTTAAAGAAATAATGAAAAAGGGAACGGGATATGAAAAGAAACATGCGAATGAATGTCTAAAAGGGAAATGGATGCAAATGAATATAAGGAAAAGCGTTTGGCTAACTTTATCATTTTCTTTTGTATTGTTATGGGCTCTTAGTAAAACATAAAGAGTATAGACCTTTTTCCTAAGAGTCATGCAACAAGACACTCTTGTTGGATGAATAGGCTGCTACTTGGAAGTAAGGTATGATTCAAACCTGCTTTAAAATCATTGCTTCTCTGCACTCCGAGTATGTCTTTATGTACATAGATAGATTCGCTCGGAGCAATAATAACTGGAAATCGACATTAGTCAAAGCACCCCAGCAGATACCATATTAGGGATAGGCAAATTCCAACCTTACGCTCGTAGATGAAGCATACTTGAGCCGTATTGAAGAACGCATTACAGACGTGTTACGCTCAAAAATTTCTGAAAAGTAAAGTATTCATTCAAAAGCTTTATTCGACTGTCTACAGTATTTTAACTAATATTTTAGATGAAATACATTTTTTTTTGGACGATTAATATTTTCATTTTAGATGAGTTGCAATTGTGTTGTAGACCAAAATATAAACCGTTTAAACAATGATTCAAATTCCAAAAACTTGTTAGCAGTGCGAAACAAAAAAAAAAAAAAAGAAAAAAAAACCGTACTATTCCTCACCTGTAATGATCTAAATCCTTGAAATACAAGGAAAACCGTGTTTATTACGGCGATTATTTCTTCTTCTTCGCTGGCTTGAAAATGTCGGGTCTTCCCGCTCCAGACCAAACTGCTTGGGATATAGTCATCATGTTGATAGCGGCGTTAATGTCTCTCTGCCATAGCTTTAGACATTGCTTGCAATGAAGAACGCCGGTACCCTTGAATCCAGGGGTATTAACAATTTGCATATCATCATAGAAACAGAGGCTGCATGTTTTAGAGGTTTTGAATTCATTGATTGTGACAACAATCAATTGACCTTCAGCTTCACGTTTCTTCAGAGTTGCAAAAAGTTTACCGACAACACCACATCTTTGCCCTTTCAGCTTGACTACATCTTTTCCAAACATTCCAGCACCAAACACAATCAGTGGTACCCTTCTAGGGAATCCTGAGTACTTATCGGCCTTCCACTTCTTGTCACTTCTAAAAATTATCAATCAGTGCGTAAGCTAAACGATGAACATGTAATTCATTGATACTCACTTGATTGGCGGCTGTTTGTCAACATTCTTTCCTTTCTTCTTCTTCTTCTTCTGCTGTTTTTTCCTCTTCCTTGCCTTGCTTCTCTTTTTGCGATTGTACTTGGCCGTTCCATGAGTCAACATGTTGGCCATAGTTTCGGGTGCTCTTTGCCTTCCTTGGTACAACGTAAACCGGTCCTTTGCTGTTTCATGTCCATAAAAACTAAAGAGAGCGTCTAAGTTATTGAGCATATAACTGGTGAACGCCTCATATACTCCTAGACGAGAGGTCTTTGACGAGGGGATTTGACTTTCTACTAGATCTATTCCTGTAACAGCTTTTATACTGTTCAATTTCTTACAATATTTCGTTGACCCTGCCATATGATAGTATTCGGATGTAGTGCATCTTCGCACTTGTCTGTTATATTCAAGGCCAATAGCAGCAGTAAAAACAGACTTTCTTCCGGGATCCAGGGTAATAGGTAAATAAGTATTGTCAACTTCATCCAGAGAGAAATCATCAAGAGTGAGGTCAAATTTTTGGAACGAGGCACCATGGCCAGATTGTTGTCTTTTATAAAAAAGAAAGTCAACTGAAAACCCATCCGTTCTGACAATATTACCAAAGAGCTCTTTGTTATCACCATTCGGTGTTAGTTCAGAGATACTACAAGTGCCCAAGAAGTTAAAGCTCATACATTATACTCGACTGCATACCGTATTAACTGTATGCTTACCTTTTGTACCTGAGTTTCTTGAAATCAAAGACATGGAAAAACAGCTCTAATTGGCTTTGGTAATTGCGGGGTAAAGAACGTTTCACAAAAGAAGACAGAGCGTTCACGCTCAAGGTAATGAACCTCCATTGAACGGAAACCTTTGGCAGTAAGGATAGCAATTTTGGAAGAGGACGTCGTCGTACGTCAAATGGTTTATGATCATCGTGTTCGCTCTCAAATTCTGCGTTCAAAGATAACAAAAAGGGTACGAAAGACCCAGGATCAGCAGATAATGTCTTCATGTTCACTTTCTTCCCCAGCTTCTTCTTCCAAGGTTCACAAAAGGTTTGGATCTTTGCTTTTATATCTTTGGTAAGGTAGTCATCAGTTGGCCATTTAGGTTTTCCTTGGCATATCTCTTGATAGCAGAAATCACTTGTGACCTTTTTGACAAGCTTCCAAGGCATACACTACGCAAGATGAGAGCTTTTTTTAAAATTCATGTAAGACCCCAAGTAATATTGAGTTGCAACTTACCACAAATGCCGTTTGTATTTTATATATCAAAAAATAGAGAAGTTTCTCCTCAAAATTTTCCACTATACTGTTCGTATAGGAAGTAGCAATTTCGGTGCATGCTTCTGTAATGGCTTGACTAAGTCCAGGAAAGAGCTTGACAGGGAAGACAATCTTAGGGTAAGTCGTTTTAAAAGAATCAAACGAGCTCAGTAATTGTTGTGATATCAGCCTACTATTTGTTGGTCTTTGTCCATTCACTAGCTGTATCATAGAGTACCAGAAATTTTGTGTAAAGATACATTTAATACACTTTGGCTCAGCAAGAGCTGCATTTTCCAAGACGTAATAATTCACAAAGAGCTTCGCTCTAAGAACCAAGTTGCGAATAACAGAACAAGCTTCAACAGCTTTTGACTTGAATGTGTTACGATAGTCACCAAAAACGCAGTTATCAAGAGGCAACCTTCTTGTAAACGCCTTGTAATTACTTCCCAAATGATGTTGAAAGACCTCTGCCTTTGATAATACATGTTGAGGACACAGAGGAGAACGCACCGATTTATGTCCTGGTTGCTTGCATTTGGTACAACAGGTATTGTCTTTATCCGGTTCTTCATTATTCTCTTTCCTTGCTTTCTTCTTTTCCTTCTTGATTTCAAAGTTCTGTTTGCGTTTTCTGCCTATCGAACCAACTATAGGTACAATGAGGTCGCTTACTAACGATGAATTTACCAACTTTTGAAGCCACATGAGGTGCTTACCTTGATCTGCAGTTTCTGTCTCATACAATTGACATTTAAAGTATTGTTGGGTGTAATGACCCCCTTTACCGCAATCAATACACGTTACATCTAACAGTACACGATGATTAATCTCTACGTATATATATGATCAGGTATATAGGCTTTCAAAAGGCAAGTTACCATTAACAGCACTTGATTTTTTCTTTTCAAAAATTTGCTTTTTCTTTTCATAAATTATTGTTTTGAACATGGGTCATAGTATGTATCTTAAAAACGTGAAATAAAAGTGAAAGAGACAACATTTGACTCTAAGAAAGCAATATATTTTATAGTGCTTATCTTTGAAAGTCACCCATGAACGCATACAAAAACATTGACAACAGTTAATATAACCATCCCATTCCGCTATGGTATCTGTTATACTATGGCCCTCAGCCCTCTATCTATGGTTTGATGTCAATCAGTTCAAAGTTAACCTTTTTTGGAATTCTTGTCCAAAAAAGGTACCAACGAATATCTGGTTGGGGTCTCGGAACACATCGTCATTTACTAAAAAAGTTGTCAAGCTTTTTGTAGTTTGTCCTATTGCAAGGTAACATCAATAAAACCATTATTGGCGACTTTCTTACTGATAGAGACTAATTTCTAGGGTTCGATTCTATGTCATCCTTAATGCTGCTTGAATATCACTGAATAATTGAGTATCCAAATATCCAAATACTATGGACTTTTCTAAAAATATTTTTTACTAAATCTAAAATTAAAATGTATATTGTCCATTAAAAATTGTAAATCGTCTAAAATATAAGGTAAAATACTGTATTGAAATTAGACAATCTCCGATATTACCCTTCACGTATTAAAAAGCTGGAACAGACAGTTTATGCGCCAAGTATCACATAAACAAGTTCAATATTTTGCCTGCCATATCAGCCATTTTTGCTAAAAGGTTAAATACGATTTAACGGTACCTCTTGGTTTTACTATCAAAATGAACATGCTGTTGCTTGTTTGATATCAAATTATTTGATATTGGCTATAGTGGCATGAAGGTTACAACAGATACAATGTTCGATTTTCAGATTAAAAACTGTTTACTACTAACACTTCTTTTCTCCTTTAAGCGTCCTTGGCTGTCGAACTACATCAGGTCGGTCCAGCATTTGACATAACCAGTGCAGTCGGGTATGTTGTCATGCCTAAGCTTCTGGTTTTACAGCAATGCGAAGTGCGCCAACATTAAGTTACGTTTCGATAGAACAACATAATGCGTGTCTCATTCTCTTATCAATCGTAAGAACTAATTGATAGTAGCAGTAGCAATACTGGGGGCTTCTCGTCGGATAATATATGAATTTCTTATGTACAATAAGTACTCCTATCTCGAAAATACAATGTTATGCCGCTGTGCCAAATGTGGTTGCACAGCTCGCCTAAACGTCTCGTTTATTTCTACATTTAAGTTTCTCATTGTGGTTGAAAGATTAACTAAATTATTGATTATAGGGACGAAGGCTGGCGAAATCTCGTTTTTTTTTAACATTTTTAACTACCCTATCTGTCGCTCGACCGGAAAGATGGGGCGTGGCTATTTATTGTTTTGTGTTATGCTTATCATTCAGATCGGAAATGAATGTTTACCTCTTTTATTCAGCGAGGATGGACAGCATTTGGAAAGTTATGGAAGCACGCATTGTTCTTTGATATCGGGGTAAGACCTAAACTTTACCAGAGAATGCTATCAGTACTAATCTTTTGAATGCAATACAGCATCAGTAAGTCCGCTTATTCCTACGGACAGCCAGGAAAATGAATGCAATATTCCATTTGTTGTTTCAGCCAGTGCAAAGCAGCAGATTTTTAATACAAAATTAACGGAGGGAGGGCATCTTGTTCATAATATTTCGTCTCTCTTACTATTCAGAATAACGGATATACAAAAAGTTTATACAATTTAAAACATAAATAAGGGTTGAAAAGATATATATCTACATAAATAGGTCTTCGCAAGAAAGATAAAGGATACTTTTTAAGATGAAGGCTTCTTTCCCACAGCAATAACATCGATCTTGGGTGGTATAGGTGACGCCGGTCTACTACTGGGCCGTTTCTTCTTTTCCTTCTCTGCAACTACTCCCGGCGGTTCAGTTGTAATGACAACAAGATTATCTCGTGAATCCGTTGGTGAAGGGGGTGTTAATACGTGATGGACATGATTTTTACCGGGATCATGAACTTGGCAAACATCGATTTGTTGAACCCAATTGTCTTCCAATATGTTTGAGATATCAGGGCGTCGGTTAGGATCTATAACTAATATTCTTGCCATCACGGGCCTTGCTTCACGTGGTAATAGTTTGAGGAGGCGGAATTGTTGTTGATTCTGGTTTGTAGCAAAAGCGCGAAAAGATGAATCTGTTAAGCGTGGTATCCTCCAAGGAAATCGACGAATGGTCATACAGATAAATACTACTGCACAAGACCAAATGTCTGCTAATCGAGGATCATAGGTTGTTTGTGTGTACTGTTCAGGTGCAATGTAAGGGTCTGAACCATAAATACCTAAGTGAAGAAATAGGCAACAAAAGCAAAGGCTTAATATCATTGAATGTTCACGCAATACAAAACGGGCAACTCGCGCTTGGATAGTCCCCAGTGAATATTTCCATCGTACCTTTTGTGAAATTGATTGTATCCTCAAAAGGGTATTTATAAACGGTGGAGCAGCCAAAATCAATGATCTTTAAAATACCGTGATGATCCAAGACAAGATTATCTAATTTGAGATCTCGGTGTGCAATCCCCATTGACTGTAAATATTGTACCCCATTTAGTAACTGGCGCCAACAACAGGCAATTTCTTCTCTCGACATCATGCCGCTCATCACAACATTAAATAAGTCATTGGGTGCATATTCCATTATTTCGTAAAAAACTGACCCTTCTTGTATAATATCCAGTGTTTCAATAATATTTGGATGATGTAGGGTTGATCCTATGCAGAATTCTGCTGTCACTTTTTTTACATAATCTTTTTCGCTTTCTGTTGGTAATCGCTTTCGAAATTGCTTTACTGCAAATGTTTTCTGATCTGAAGCTCTTCTAATTAATCTTACCGAACCACCTGCTCCTTTACCAATATATTTGCCTGTTCGGTGCAAAGGGAAAGGAAGTCAGCAAACGTTACATCTTTTTTTCCTTTTTTTTAAAATTTCTAATTTTTACCCCAGGTTCCATATCTTCCACCAATGCCTCTACGAAATTGATTAGCAAATGTTGTATCAAACTTAGTAGCAGTATTGAAAAGGTCCTCTTGTGAATGATGCGACTGAGTCGGTGATGTAGGTGACACAGGTCCAGAATTCTGCGAGTTTACGAAGAATCGACGTAAATCAGACCATGCCAAAAATAGATCGTTTTTATCGTGTTGCTTCTGACTACTTCTATGAAAATGGGTTTGATGATATCGTTCATCATATTCAGGCTTTCTGAATATAAATTGGGATGGAGTGTTACAGCTTGCAGGTCGATGATGTAAGTTTGGACGTTGCTGTTGTTGTTTCTGCTGAAGATGATGATGTGATAAAATAGGCGCAACTGCGCTGGAGTTTACGTAAAAGGTAGGTTCTGCAGATGACGTAGAGAGTGTCGGTGAGGGTGGTTTAGAGGCTTGGAATAATTGTGAACGAGGTCGAGCTTTGGTATTTTTTCTGTTGGTACTGAGTAATAGTTTTGATAATTCTGATAAATCGACAGCTGAAGGGTCCCAGGAATTCCTTTCAGATTTACCGCTGGTGGCAACTGTATGAGTTACAACAGCTGGTGACAGTGTCGGGCTTGAAGGAACAGATCTATCTGGAGTCACAATATCATACCGTTGATTTACGAGGTGAAGCATCTAAATCTGTATTGAACAAGTGAGCTTTGTGATGCAATTGTAGAATGTATAAAAGCGAATAAATAGATAGGACTGAAGCAAAACGAAAGGAAAAGGAAACAATAAACAAAGAAATGCTGGGAATCACATAGTTTCTTTTTTATAGTAGACTCCATTCGGGATTTGTTGGAATAAAATAAAATCGGTATGGTGGAAAGAAAAAACGAAACGGAGTTTTTACTTGCAGCAGACAAATAAAAAAGGGGTTTGCATTTGTTGGTTAGATTATGAACGAAAGTTATTATATAGAACTTGCATGCACAACTGTCTACGATGGAACCACATATTTATTTAAGCGCAACAATAGGAATACTAATAGAAAACTCGCTTTTCCTCTTTTCTGTCTGCCTAGAAATTTTGATTTTCCTTCTTGCAGTCAATCATCACTGGCATCCTTTTTGCCCTTAACAATGTTTCGTAAATCTGTTTCCATTGATTTAGTAGAGCCTACTGTTTGTTTACGAGGCGATCCCAAAGATAAGCATGCTATCAACATTCTTCGTGGAGTGGTTCGCTTAAGGCTGCCACATTCTCTTGTGGTTCATGATATCGTCGTACAATTTGTTGGTGTCTCCAAAACATTGTGGCCTGAAGGTTTTGTCGCATGAATAACTTGTCAATTACAGTCTAGCGAGAATATACTCATGGAACAAAAATCTGTTTATTCCTTCGTTTTTAACCAGCTATACAACAATGGGATAGACACATTCTGGTAGACATTGTAATTCCAATTTGTAAAGATTCGGTCTTGCTCAAGAAAGGTATACATACTTTTCCATTCGAAATCCCATTGTCCAATGCTCTGTCAGAATCGATTGAATGCGGACTAGGCAGTGTTCGCTACAAACTCCACTGCCAGGTGCATGTGAAACCTAGGTTCCTGCTCGTAAAATCTATCCTTCAAACTCAGAGGCCTATCGTCCTGGTTCGATTGCCTAGCTTGGAAAATCAACAACAATGTATCATTCAAACACATCTCATCAATGAAACAGGAGGGCAGCTTACACTCATGTTAGAAAGAGCTCATTTGATTCCAGGAATTAATGTACCTATATCTCTCTATTTTAATCAACAATGTAATGTATATGCCGTGGATCAAATGGATGTTAAACTAGTCGAGCGGCAGAAATATAGAGCTCCTTTAAAGCAAACGACCCGCATTTTGCATCAGGAAATCACACTGTCGTCTTTTGTTAGTACTTTTGAAGTGGATCAGTATAATATTGAGATGCAGTCTGTATATACACTACCGGAGAGGAAATCGTTACGTTTACGCGCTTCGACATCACACCCACATATTCGAGTTCGGCATTGGATCCAAATAACCTTAATATTAATTTTGCAAGATGGTTCTCTTAAAGAACTGCAGATGAATATGCCTGTTACTCTGTCACTGAAAGCTATGGACGATTATCTGAACCTCCCGGTATATGATCGACCGCCACGAGAGGAGGAAACAAACGATGATATTGTACATGGAGTGGAGGCAACATCGAGAGGTATTCATACAAGCGAAGATAGTGCTAGAGGTTCGGAGCATATCATGCATCGAACAAATTCATTTGGTTCTTCGTTTAGTTTTGATAATCTTAGAAGAAATTCTTCCATTATATTTCAGAAACTACGTCCCACGAGTACAATAACAATGCATAGTTTACATAGCGAGAATTTCAATGATCATTGCTGCAAGAAACGAAAATCAGTTCAATTTAGCAGTTCTATAATGACTCTTTTGACTGCACCACCTCCATCTTATGAAGATAGTGGAGTAAACCACCGATAAGAACAACAGATCTGTGAATTGTTCAAAATCAGCCTTAATTACTCAACTGTATAACATATTATGCACTCGTTTGAAAACAAAAGAGAATAAAGCCCTATCTTAATAAAAGAAGCATCTTCCAATCATAGCAATAGGGAATAAGTTGATCGTATAAAATCTCTTGGCAAAACAGAACAAAATGCATTCTTATGCAAGACGTACTGAAAATGTGGGTACAACAAGGGAAAGATAGGAGATGAATGTTCAAGTTTTGAATAAAACATGCATTTGACGTTGATGAAGTTAGTATAGAAACGAATTTGATAATTATGTACACAAAATACTGTGTGTGTATCTGTTCATATTTGTTTTCGAATTCGTTCTATAAGTAGGTATACTGAATATCTATTTGTATATCTTTTCTTATGCTAATGGTAAGGCTATAAGATATGCATTAAGTTGAAAATAATAAAAAACTAAAGATCTGTGGCCTGAGGGCGTCTAATACTAAATACGTATTTATGTCTAGTTTTTATAAAAAATGGTTTTTTTTATTTAGGTTTTTCAATAAAGGTTATTATAGGAGATCACAGATAGCTAATATCATTTGGTGACGTTGAAAGCCCGGCGAAGTCAATGATGACAAGGCGGAAAGGTTTTTGGCTGAAATGGACGCGTGCAACTAAATCTATAATAACCTTCAGTTATTATAACTATTATGCTGAACCTTGATGTACCTGAGATATCGCCATGGGATCCTTTTAAATGCAGCAGTAAATCATCCTGCTCTGGGGTGTCTCTTCCTAATATTGGTTGGTCTGCTGTGCAAATTGGGCTCATGAAGACTTCTTCGCACTTTCCGAGGAAGTATAGTTTGTTCACCATTAACTGTAATAAACGTATTCGTGATTCTTTTGTTTCGTCAGTTGGCGATTTACGTGCGTATCAAACTGTTATGTATTTGACATCTTATTGTCGATATTTCCGGTTAACGACGAAGATCCATCAAGTCAAGGTAGAATATATTTACTATAAACATAACAATAATTAGTAGTATTCTTAGTCAAGCTAATCCCCTCATTCACTCTAACATTGATTACTTACGTAAACATCACCAACACGGTGTTTTGGAAGTCGGGACTTGATGGTTCCGCAAGAGAGAAAGACCAATATTCGGAAACGTAAAAGAACGAGTCAAGGTCAACACTGACAGAAACCTGGTCAGAATTAACACCACAACCAAATTCAAGCGAAAACTTGCGATCACTAAGACTACCACGAACAAAATATTCAAAGAGAGCAAGTTCCTTTAGCAAAAGCGTTAGAAGCATGCCTTGACTGAGTTGGAAGTATCCGTCGCGAACGCTACAGAATAAGATTGTTAAAATATTGAAACCCAAATGATTTTACCCCTTCATCAACCAAAATCATGTTTCTGTTTTCATATTTTGCCCGCTTAATGGAATCGTTATTACTGCTACAGCAGGAAATAAATCTAATATTAAGCTTAGTTGTTCATCAACCACTTATGCTTCGTCCGGGTTTTCACTGATTTTTTCGTGAACGTCCTGATTTCCCCAAACCTTTGCCTGTTCAATCCAATATTGAAGCTGATTTACGCTACAATGATTTTTCAGACGCGGGAACACACAGCACATTACTTAGTATTGATTATTTGCAGTTAGGAACTGTTTGGAATAACAATTGTTGTTCAAAGGATTTTCATCGGTGGCAATTTCTTTCATAAGGTTTAGCAGACGATCCTTGCAAATGGTATAACCGTGTCATCAAGCTTCCGTTTTTCAGACCAAATGTGCTTATCATTGGAGATTGATAACGGTTATAAGTCAATGACTATGAACTTTAGTGGTTTTATTGTTCTCTAGATGAAGTAGAAAAATTATTTACTCTGTAAGGTTTAGAGGGAATTTATACAATTGTGGGGAAATGTTGCTAGTCATTAATTTCAAATTCAAATGCTTCTTGTGTTTACTGTTTATACTTCCAATCCTCTATCGTGTTATATACTTGTACGTAACCTTTATTAGATTCAATATAGATAGATTGTAACAGAAACTACTTGATTGTACGTAATCGAGTATTGTAGTTGTTATCTCACCAAACACATCGTGAGAAGAGGAAGAAGCTATATTGTCTACTGCCAGAACCTTTCAATAAAGTTGCGTACAATTTCTTATCGGATGCTAGACTAAAGAAAACTGTTATAAAGCTGACAAAGTAAAAGCATAATTTTAGAGTGATGATGTTTTTCTGTAAAATAGCAGTTGTTCTTTTTTTATTCTTCATCTTCAGCTCAAATTCATTATAACAAACTTTTGTTTGTCACCCTTATGAAGAAAAACTTGAATAGTACTCATCATTTGTCTAATTTAACACTACCATAAATTTCTCACAAAACGATCATTTTCATTTGTAATTATTTAAACAGGATCACCTAACATATTCTTACAAATATAATTCTGTCATTTGTAAATGGACATTGCTGCTATGATAGTCTAGTTTTTTTTTTGTTTTTTTTCAATGATATATGTATTCTTACTGCTTCTGACGGACTTTATGATCTGTAATCTATCACACAACTACTACGACTCTTTGAACCTAATACAATGCTATTGATGAATAGCTATTGTATTATTACATCAACATTCGTATAATTATCTGGTAGCAGATTTTGAATAAGATTACCCTACCGGTCTTCTCTTACTGAGTAGGTTAGTACCGCTCTTAGTTTCAACTTCAAGAGCTTCGTACGCCCGTACAGTTCATATAGCACTTTGATTAATGCACATAAATAATAGTGTTTATATTTATTGAAGTCTAGTTTATGGATACTAGTTATTGAGTCGAGTCCAACCACTTATTCCTTAATTAGCTTGCAATTATACAAAATAAAATAAAGACAAGTTATTTAAGCAATTAAAAGAAAAAGGCAAACATGTACGCATTTATTTCTATTTATACTATTGATTGGATAATTCAAGAAAGGACTGATAATGATTTACTCATTGCTATCGTTGCTTAAGGGCATGAACCGGAAACTCTTACATATTGGCCTTTGAATGTGTCTTCACAGATAGTTCTTGGCGCAGTACAATTCGTAGGGTTTTGACGGCTGCCGTATAAGCAGTTGACGGTTGTTCCACTTGGTTGACTATTGCACATCAGTTGTATATCGGATTGCTGTTGCTGCTGCAATTTTGAAAAAGAAAGCGGTTGCCTGCCGGGAGCTGAGAAATCGCAGTTGAACCTAGCTTCACTATTTCTATCGAGATAGTATATGAAGGATACAGTCTGCAATTGCGTATCTTGTTGTTGGCCTTGAGCTTCGGAGGTACAAACCAGGAAAACCATGGCAAGGATCACTAGCAGACGAAAGATTTTGATAGTGCGCATAGATAGACTGGTAGAATTACTAACACTAGTAGTCATTGTGCTCGATTCACGACGTTGTATTAAAAAAGCAAGAAGAAAGTAAAATACCTATCGATCGAAGCACTTTTATGTTCAAGATAGGTAATGCACAATTGGAATGTGTCCTCTAGGTTAGAAACTATTTCTTGGTATTCTAAAAGGAAGTGCTTCACCTGCATGCTGTAAATCAGAACGTTGCAATCCATACTGTTGGCTCGCCAATGATAATACAGCTTCTATGATAGACAACAGCGCTCTCAATAAACGTTTCAAACAACACAATCGCAGTTTTTGTATTATCGTGAATTAAATCTCACTTAAAGTGAGTTAGGGCTTATCAATATCCTACATCCTGCTGTAGGCCAACAGAAATACCCTCCTTGTCGAACATGCTTCTTCATTTTCTCTGATGCGCCATGAATTCACTAGTATAAAAACTTTAAGCGATTCATCTGACTCTCGATAAGAGTAGAATTACCCCTTAATATAATCTAGAAAATACGATATGGCGGTTAACTGACCAAGGGCGTAATACCGATTAATTACAGAAAGCCCTGAAGATGACCCGCTTTGCATATTGCTGTACAATCTTAGCTCTCAATAACAAAAACAAATATGAAAGGAGGATACTAACTCGTAAACGCACAGAGCACCCGGTTATTTGTACTTATCTCTCATAGTGTGGAATATATTTGGGATTTTATTAATCCTTAACTTCACGGGAATCCTAACAATAAGTAGAGATATATTTCTGTAAATTTTTAATTATGTTAAGTGCTCAAGAAATTCAAACATATTGAATTGAGTGTCTATTTTAGTTGCAAGTAAGGAGCGGATGGCATTGCCAGGTGTAAGAAGTTGGGTTTTTTGCTTAGTGCAACTATTGCTGTCTTACTATAGTGTTCAAACTGTCGTATTTGAGGGTAGATGATATACAAATATTAAAGATATATAATTCACTTTATGGAGGATAAAGATGAATTATACAATATTGCAAACCAAAAATAATTAGAAACTACATAAACTCTAATATATGAGTACCGTGAATTAAGTGTTGTGTTTAGTTGACAGCATCATATGAGATGTGGAGAACTCGTATACAAATTATACAAGATCCTCACACCTCATTACTGCTGAAATAATATAAAGTAGAGTAGGAAACGAATATAGAATAAGTGATGATTCTTATACGAGATTAGCTACCTCGTATAAGGCTGAACGGATTGTCATTTAGGATATATAGTTTACTTATTTTACTGTAATACGTTACTATATGACATAGGATATATAGTAGAATTAATATATGGACATGCAGGATATATTGATTCAACACCAAGGTATAATAGGTTATAAGTACTATTCTCTGCCTTCGGCATAAAAAATGTTTACAAGATAATAGGTTGTGATCATCCTTTACAGTAACTGTTCACTCAACTCAAACACCACGCACGAATACCATTTTCTTAATTTTTATTATTCTCCTGCAAGCAGTGCTACATAATGGTTTACACGGAAAATAGGTTAGTTGCAAGATGACTAGATCAAGCCATGGATACGTTTACAAGTTCACCCGCTCCGGGTAGATGCGTAATCTTCTCAAGGGAGAATTCTATTCTTTTACGGTTCAGAAGACGTACGTCTTCTTTGAGTAGAATAACTCAGCTGTCAGTTTCTTAGTTCCGCAATATGAAGAAGCTTTTTATTGCTTTAAATAAGTGATATTCTACTCTACAAGTCGTCAAATACCACACAAACATTTATCTTAAGAATAGGTATGCGGATAGCACCGTTTTGAGAATGATGACTATTTAAGCGTACTCTTGTGAGGAATCAATGTTATACATTGAATAGTAAAGCACAACTAACAGTCAAATATCAGTGCTGCTAATGAAAATCGAAATTAAAAGTAGTTGTTCTCTTAGACGATGCACTGACGCCTGTGTACTAAGAGAGTTGCGCAGCAGCTGCCACCAACCAGTGGCAACTCTAAGGATAGTCTTAAAGACCAGAACACTTTTTTTGTTTTTTTTTTTTTTTTTTGTTTAAATTCAGGTACGATTTATTCAACAATAAAAAATAAAGATATAGAATTATTAAAAAGTGAGGAAAAGAGCATCTATGATGTACAACAGAACGAATGTTACCACCAAACCCAGCAAGGCAGTTAGTCTGCGGCTTGCGGGGACAAGGGTGCAGCACTGCTTAAAGTAATCGTCAAGTTGACTGAGGACTTAAGCCTTTGTAAGGCATTATCGGTGGACCAACTTTCTCTAGTGATAATCGTATGCCAATGGTATTTCCAAAGTGTTTCCAAAATGTTTCCCACCAGTTCCAAAGTGTAATTCTCAGTATATACGATAGCTGTTGGCAGCTTCAGATTGAGCAAAATATGCCAGACATCTGCAGGAGACCTCAATACATCCGTGAGAGACAAATGAGCCAGAGCTGCTGCCCAATAGGACCATTTTACAGGGCAACCAACAACAAAATGATAGTCGTCTTCAATTGATGCTGGACAGAATTGACATGCTGGTGAAGGCCATCGCCGAGGTCGAAGACGATGTAACGATAACTGGGTGCTTAGAGAAGCACGTAGCAAGCGCCACCAACAAGTACAGACTTGGTGGGATAAGCGCAAAGACCAGAAAGTCTTCCAAATCCGTGGATGACAGAAACCTGGAGGGCATATATAGGGGACCTGTGGAATACCAAGCAATGATAATTGACCCGGTAGCTTTTCCTGAAGATATCTCTGCGACCAGAACTGTCTCAATAGTCCCGGAGTCAATTTATAAAATGGAACCTTTCTAAGATCACCGATTCGAAATACCCAGTGATTGCAAAGGGGGACCCAGAAAGAGGGATCGAGAGTAACTATCAGGGATAATCGCTGATCAGCACTATGAATTCGCTTCTCAGGTGGTGGAACATCCTGGCAAAAATCACGCGGCAGAAACTTCTTAATGCTGGGGCGCCAAACGATGGGAGGATTGTCAGTACGCAGCAACCGGAGCACTTCGTCGACCTTGTTGGAGTGGGTATGATCAGCTCTAAGAAAATTGGTGAACATATCATATGTATAGGACCAAGAGAACGCATTCGCTACCGTATAACCCAATGGTATCTGAGTCAGGTCAAAATACTCAGCGTCCGATGGTGAAGCGACAGATTTGAGAGCAAAGCGTAACGGTGTGTCCGCATACCAGCGCCCTGGCCAACTGGAATGATCCTGTAGAGCTGGAAGTTCAATCAAAAGCCGTGTTAGAATAGATAACGTCGGGAGCTGCTTAAAGAGAGGCAAAAAGGATCGAGGATGCTGCAGCCAAGGGACAAAAGAGTGGTGACCAGTACAAAGATAAATGCAATAGCCAATCAATGGAGTAACGAAATCATAGATGCTTTTTGGCCGAAGAATACGTTGAATGAAGATAAGTTGAAGGGCCAAATGTTGCTGATGCAGATCAATGACACCTAAACCGCCGCTACGCTTGGGCAGGCAGATAGAACGCCAGGATGGAGCTGGACGGAAAGGTAATACAAACGTTCGAGCGATAGTACGGATCTCATTCAGCCACGTCTTGGGAACTGGTACCACCCGTAGTAGATGCCAGATCTTGCTGAGAACTTGTGAGTTGACCAACAATGACAAACCGCGGACGGAAAGACCTCGCTCCTTCATCTTACTGCAATGGATTTTGATGATGTTCGTTATACGGTTCAAGTACCGATGTAATTGTTGGGACGTTGAATGGAGCGGATACCCTAAATAACGTACAATTGTACCACTATGCTTGGTATGGTAGTCGATACCCTCAGAGTTGGCAATATTGACCCAAGATGGACAGCTCTCACCTGATAGAGAAACAATTTCAGTCTTGCGAAGATTGACTTTGGCATTACTGGCTGACCCATACAATGACAGAAGTTGGCATAAAAGAGGCCACTCGTCAGGGGATTCCAAAAACACTTCCAGATCATCAGCATAACTAAGCAACTTAAAGGACGGTGGTTGAGACCACGGTATTAAACTGTCGTCTGCCCCAGTGAACGGATGCCGAATGGTGGGTGTCTTAGCCCTTGAGAAGACTGGCGTTGTAAGAGGTAGCATTGAAACGCCCTTTAGAGCAGAAGCCAGAATGGTACGCAAGAAAGGCTCGAACATAAGATTGAATAGCAAAGGGGACAAAGGATCCCCTTGGCGTAACCCACGACCTTGTCGCAGAGGCTGTCCCAAGAAACCGTTGATAGACACAGAAATGGCGGTCGAGAAAAACAAAGACGACAAAGCGGAAACTAGATGAGCTGGAAAGCTGAATCGTCTCAAGACAAGACGGAAATATTCTGGATGAACCCGATCATAGGCTTTTTCTTGATCCAGCATGACGGCCACAGCAGTAGAAGCAGGTGCAGCTTTACTACGCCGGTAGTTGTCCATTAATGTCAAATTAACCCAGCCATTATCCGAAATCAGGCGATGTGGCATAAAGCCTGTCTGGTACGGGTTGATCAGGTTTGGCAGTACAAGATTGAAGCGGTTCGCAAGCAGTTTGGTGAAGATTTTTGCATCGGAATTGATAAGTGACAAAGGCCGCCAGTTACTCAATAACGTGGGGTCTCCTTTCTTAAACAACAATACCATCCTGGTTTGCTTCCACGACAACGGGATATTGCCATGTAGTGCCTCGTTCAACACCGTCAAAAATAAGAGTTTAGCCTTAGGGAACTTGTGGAATAAAAATTTGTATACTTCAAAGGGCAACCCATCCAATCCAGGACTCTTGTCATTGGGAGTGTGGTTCACGACATCGATCACGTCGGCGGAAGAAAAGTCAGCTCCTACGGCAGTAGAAGCTTGCGCTGATAAAACCGCATCGTCTGGAAGGTTTGCCAAAAGTGAGTCAACTGCTCCAAGGTCAATGTCCTCCGGTGTATATAGATGACTATAGAATCGATGGGACTCCTGCAAAATCTCTGGGGTCGTTTCTAATAGTCTACCATCGACGCTGCATCGTAAGGCATGAATAGTCTGCTGCATTTGTCGCTTCTTGATAACCCGATAGAAATACTTCGTATTTCGTTCTCCTTTCTCATGCCACCTGGTAGCGGATCGAAGTAACACGTTTTCCATTTCGTCCTTTGCTTCCTTCTCCAACGTATCGTTCAACTGTTGTATCAATGTCTGTTGGCGGGTGGCATTTTGTGAGTCGCGGGAAACAGTACTATCAGCAAGCAATTGCTGAAGCTGTTGCT